TGCGCGCATACAGCAGATTAAAATTGAATTTTGAGTCTAGACGCTGATCATCTCTCTTTCTTTATTTTGGCTTCTGCGCGTTGTTTTATCTTTTTCGTTTCTGCACGCATCAAAGGCAAGCTCAACAACTTTGCCGCATATTATACAGTCCTGTTTTTTTATTTATATTGCATTTACTGATGTACGTTCGTGAAACAGCAGCTCGACTTGATCATCCATTCTAACAAATGTGATTTTCATCATCAATGGTTTATTCGAAACATTTTATTCTCCATCGTAATTTATAACCAGTCCATCATTTTCTTTTTTTTATTAAGTAGTTACATTATTCTAAATATTTATTTGGGGACCGAACCAATGGATAAATAGGTAGTCGATTGTTTATTTCAATGATTATTACAATGATTTTATGGTGTTCAATTTTTAATTAAAAGTATATCTACAACCATTGAACATTATAAAATAATTTTAATAATCATTAAAATAACCAACCATGTATTTATTCGCTTGCTTTACATTACGCTCATAATACAGGCTGTCTTGTCCATGCGAGTTTGTGACGATTTAAAGCGCGTGTGACTAATCTTTTTACCCTGTCACCGTATTTTTCTTACGACTTTTTCTGTTTGCAATGAGTTCCTGCTTTTGAACTTTATTTCTAATTCTTATTCTGTGTGCTATTTCCTACATAAATATTGTCTCATCGACCATCTGAAAAATTTTCGAGATTACAATCTGCGCGGTGGGAATATTTTTGGGGAACCTTACAATATAACTGGATTATATAGATGCGGATACTCACGTAGAAAACGTCTTCGCCCTTCATTCATGGTTTTTCATATGATGAAAAAAGAAAAATAAATGATGAAAGGCAAGTGTAAAAAAGTTGTTCGTTTTATCCGCGGGGAAAAATTGATGAGTCCAGGCGCTTATGCTCTTGCTTGTACCTGATATTAAATGTATATCAAGAACACGTCAAGCTCAAACAAGCTAGATAATATTTATCTCATGGTGTCACTCGTTAAAAATACGTACATATAATAGGTGTGGGCTTGGGTTACTTGAGTTACAAACTTTGGCGCCTACTTTATCAAAAAAGAAACAACAGTTTCGTGACGCGAGTATGAACCTTCGCTTCAAATTACTCTTTCCCTAACTTTTTTCTTTTCGATCATTTTGAAAAATGAAAAAATTCAGGTGACTTTGTCTCACGATAACAAATGAATTCGTTCGATATAAAAAACGAGTTAATTCAGTGATGGGTATAAACTGCGTATAAAGCAAGTCGGTGCTATGACCGTTGGCGGTATTTGCGTTAGGCATCGAGACTCGGCAGATTACATCTAGCTTTGCTAAATGATTAAAAATACGTGTAGCGCAATGCTATCACCAAGCTGAGAATAATTCTTATGAGCAGGTAAAAAGAAAATGAGTCAGATATATCACTTCCTTACATACGTGCACGTGTGAACATGAATGAAAAAAAGACCTTGTAAGAGTCTCGAGGTTAGAAAAATCGCAAGATTTGACGCAGCAACTACACAGTTTGTAAAGAGAAGAGCCGAGTGCGAGGATAAAGATGAGCGAAAGATCATCCCGGTGTGGCGTCTGCCGTAGGCCGCCTAATCGACCTTGCGCATGTGTTTGCAAACGCATGGAATATAATCATCTTTTTACAGCTACACGAGTTAGAGTAGAATCTAACGTTTTATACTTTTCCGTAGTTTGAGTATAAATTTTATAACATTTCAAGATAATTTCTTTGTTGCTTTTGTTTGAGTCGCTTCTTTATTTTGTCTCAGTTGTAAATTAGCTCAATAAAAGATCGTTAGATTTTCATAATCGAATTATGAGAGTTTGTCAAGCTGCATGGAGATACGGAATTTTTTTTCGCCCCAAAGATATATTTCATTTTGATCGAAAATTTCAGTGCGTTTATTATGTTTAAATGATTATGCGTTATTCTTTGTGTACTTAATTGTTTTTTTAAATATCATTATCTTTTCTTTGTTTGTAACTGTCTGAGTTGTTAAGAATTAATTTCATTTTAAAAATGAACAATCGAGTTTGAGACAAACTAAGATTCATTTACACGCGTATCCTCGCAGCGCAGGCCGAGATCGCGCCGTAACAGTCTTACACATAGCAACGTTACAATACATAAATATAGTCTATACTTGTGCATTGAATTACTCACGATGAGATTAAAATTTTAAGGTCACTATAATTTTATGAGACATTAAAAAGATGTGACAAGGAAATGAGCTAGTGAAAATAAAGAATAAAATTATGCATCTTGACAATAGTTCAGAATAAGATATTCTCTTTTTGTTATAAATAAAAGGATGGTTTATACCGCTCTTCTTATTGTAATCGGATCAATTATTTCGTAAGATTATTGTACAACATTATACTTACACGGTGTTAATGCATTGCACATGAAACTTTGGCAACGTCGTTTATTTCATCAATCATGAGACGGACTTGCTGCCGTGATGCAAGCTACTTGCCATTGAATCGACAGTGGTTTCTTTTAGTGAACAAAGCATTTGTATTTTGATAGAAAAAAGCTAATCCTCAGAATCAGCTTGATCTTGCTGCAAGACTCGAATAATTCTTTTAGCAGATTCTTGTCGTGAGCTTCGTCTGATACACTTTAAATATTAACCCAAGTTGGCGGCTCTATAACGCATTGATCGTCTGCTATACCATAATAAAAGTACATTGGTTGATAAGACAGAGCCTCTGTTAGGATAGATTCACTGTTTTTTTTTGCAGAAGCAGTTTTAGACTAGAACTGTGTGCACTAACACACGCAATGTTTACTCTGTACTTTGTGAGGCCTCAAGGCGAAAAACGAGCATCATTAATCTCATAGAGGTGGCCAAGCCCGATAGAAATTGTATTAAATCATCTTCCAACTGTATTCCTCCCTTTCTTAATTCTTTAGTACGATAGTGCTGCATGTAGATCATCGAAAAAAGAACTAACCTGCACAAGGTTACGCTGTACACATTATATAGAAGTCGGAAGGAAAGAAAGGGAGAGAGAAAGGGTGAAAGGGTAGGTAGACGCATATATACGTTTGTATAGTGGTGTGTGTAACAGCGCCAGTTTCTCGGTGAGGGGTTGAGCGCGATATACACAGACGATCGCGTATAGATGTGTGGGTGCGTGCGCGCTCAGGGGAAGGGTTGTCCCAATGACCCGGTTTCTTTCTTTACTTCATACCGCCTCCGTGTGCATGTGTCCGTATACATGCAAGATACTGCACCAACACCAACACATATTTACATTTTCATTCGTATTTCTTGGCTCTCTGCAGCTCCGTGCGCGCTAAAGTCAAGGTGAGACACAAGAGCCCGCAAGAGCTGTAGACCGAGAACAAGAGGAACACGTGTACACGGCCAACTGCTCGGCTGCATTTGGAAAATCGAATGAAAAAACGTTTTGACGTACCCCTAGGCTGCTGCTCTCTCAGCAGATGCTCCACTTGTCGTGAGCAAATCGGCATTTTTCAAAAGGGCCACGCACACCGACTGAATCTATTTAACATTGCTTATCCTTAGACGTACAACAAATTTTAATGCGAACCTGCGCGCAAGACGAGTGAATCGTAGCACTCGACACGAGAGTGTGAGAGCTAACAATGAGTCGTCAGCGAAAAGATACCATATTTCGGAAAAAAAATTTATGAACGATTGAATCTCAAAAATTTGTTCTCTTTTCGCGTCAATAATGATTTTCAATTATTTTTTTATCCAATGCCTTATATTACTTAACTTATACTTTTTTACATTCATCGACTAATCTGTCATAAGAAGCGCAATCGAATAATTAACACGCAGTAGTAAGTGATGAAGTCATCATTTTTGGATTACTGTTGATGAAAAATTTGAAATGGTTATAATAAAATAACCGAAAACACAAATTTTATATCACAAAAGACTCTTGATAGTCGATCGAATGGATTTAGCATGCTTGACGCCGATCTATTGTTTTTTTCCTTTGTTCATCTTATTTATATTCACAAAAACATCGGTAAGATACGCGGGCTAGAAAAATAACCAACAGTTGAATTATTTCTTTGCTAACGTTATTCATGAATGCATTCATAGATCACAAAAACATTTCCTTTGACGCTTAGATACAGCTATACGGATATAATATGTATATAACTACTGAAACTACCGTTGAGAAAAGTAAAAAACTATCAGACATATCGTTTCTTCCTTGTTTCTCTCTTTCCCTCTCACGCTTTTTTACAATCGCAATAACTGCTGTTACTACTAACAAACTACAGTTTTTTTGCCTTTGTTCCACTTGATTTTACAACTTGTCTTAAGACCTTTATTTCCCTCCTTTTTTTATTTTGAGCAAAATGTAATAATCATTCTGGGACAGGCAAGTGTATTTAAATTGCGTAAAGCATGAATTATATTTGATAATGATTCCTTACGTAAAAAAGTCTGTAAAACTACTCTAGAACAGCTAGATATTGTAAAGCGTGTTAGATCTGGAATAATAACCAAAAAAATACGAACGCTTGTCCAATTAGACGTAAATAATAATTTTTGATCTATCGAATGAAATTATTACCAGAAACATTACTGTTTGACTGCTTACGTGTATTGCGTTTTCTTTGACAAGCAGCAAAGCAGCTGAAGCACTGTTATATTTGAGCGAATCAAAGCTAATGTACTGTTTTGGTTCTAATTCCTCATCAAAATTGTCACATGTGCTTGAATAACCGAAAATCTTTTTATCAAGAAGATAAAGAAACATGTGTGCTTTGTCTGAAATATGTTCCGAAGCCTAAAATAAACATTGTTGAATTACCACTGGGGTGCATTAAATCGCGTGTAATATAATTTTTTTCACCAATCGCAATATTTCTTTACCTATAAGCAATGAATTCATATGAAATTAATACATTGAAAATATTATTTTATCATTCTTTTTAATCATTCTTTTTAATCATTGTTTATTTTTTATTACAGATTAATCTGCGTCTCATACTCGTAAGTGGCAAAACAAAAGAGTTCCTATTCAGCCCGAGCGATTCTGCGGGTGACATAGCTTATCATGTCTTCGAAAATTGGCCTGAAGGTAAGCTTGCACGAAGATGATACAAAGCAAATCGCGTTTAATTTTTTCAATTCATATTTGTTTCAATCTATTACATAATCGATTTATTTAAAGAACGGTGTTTATAACATCGTGTCATTTTTTCAATGACTACAGAAGAATTTGTAATATAAAAATCTTTTATGCAAGGGAAAAGGATTTGTTGTATGAAAGGGCATAAAAAGTATGACTCATGTGTTTCCTTAATCGGCTGAAGTAATTTAATATCTACATATTAACTTCAAATTTCGCGTTGATAAAATAAATGTAATCATTGGTAGGTAAAATCCAGCTATTGGCTTCTGAAAGTGAGCATGACGAAAGTGGCTCTTGAATTTCGTTCAATTTTTCATTCATTTTGATTTAAATTTATTAAACTGCATAATATGACAAATTAAATTCTCTATAAATTTGATAATTTGCTCTGTAAGCAGCAGCTGTAAATAAAAAAAATCTTTTTGTAATTGTAATGTTAGAGGCTCGACCTTTGCGGCATCTTAATAAAAACTACGATACAGCTAGTAGTCGCGAAATAGATTAATTTGCGCCTTGGACGCTAATGTCGATTACACGGCTGTGCGAATGTGTGTCCTCTCGTGCAATAGGTTCATTTTCAAGGCTCCAATCCTAGCTTTTCTTAAATAAACGTGTAAGAACTCGTACGTTTGCTAGCGATGCAAGATTACGTAAAAAATTAATTTAAAAAAAATGTAATATACGATACGCCCACTCGTATGATTAATTTACTAAATTATTTCTAAATTGTTTGTTTCGTCCACAGATTGGTCAGAGGAGGCGGTAGCCAAAGCGGAAATCTTGCGGCTAATATACCAGGGTCGCTTTCTGCACAGCAATGTTACGCTGGGAGCTCTTGGTCTTCCATTCGGAAAGACGACGGTGATGCATCTGGTGCCACGGGAAAACCTTCCCGAACCCAATTCTCAAGGTAAAAAATCTTGTGTCTTGCATTTGATGTACAGATCTAGCATAATATACGCATATATTGTAATCGCATTTATTTATCTTGGTTGCGCACGTGGGTTTGTTTGCTACTTTGAGTTGAAATATCTTCAATCCTTTAATACTATTGCTCAGCAAAAAAGTCGTATTGTATCTTTTCCAGGTATCCTACCGAACGGCGATTACATGTTTGTGATGCCGCCTGAAGACAACTAAGCCTAGAACTGCTTCTTCCTTCTATCTGCACATTTTCTACCTCCCTGCAATAATCCAAAATTTTAAGCGTTTTTTTGCTTTTATACTTATATTCAATGTTCGCACTGATATACGATATGTACGAAGAAAATTTATTTGAAAAGAAAAAATATATAAGAATACACATCTTGTAAAAGTACATTATTTCTCTTTTGTGGCTACCAAATTTATTTTGATAAAATTTCAAATAAATACTTAACGATTCGACACGATAGCTTTTTAATTAAGCATACTCGCGGATATTAGAAGCGTCCGCTACAATTAAATGAAAAATGAAAATACGTTATTACAGCATGCGTTTTAGCGTAACGTACGCTGAATCTATTTCTTCCATCAGCAGTTTCCTTGTTGATTTGCGTAAAATATGCCGCGTTTGTGCGACCATATATAATTAAATTCATATGCCAGTACGAGCAAACACTCTTAAAAATATCAACGCAATGACGCGCAATAAGATTTCTTTATTTCCATCACTGAAGTACGAAAAAATGATTGCACGCTTTGCTCGTTTATAAAAAATGCTAATTTTTTTTTATGCATGCACTTAGATCGGTGTTTATCACTCATTAGGCACATTTATAGTAGCTTCATGGTATACGTTGATTTATTTATTGAAATTAATTTTTATGTTATTTCAATGAACTGGAATTAGTGCAAAAAAAATCTTTTCAAATATCAATGATAAGTGAAGAGTTAAAAACAAGTTGGCGACTTTATAATGTAAAGTATTGTAATGGTGTAAATTTTCTTTTCAGATCAGAGACAAAAGAGCAAAGGCGGAGGGAGTAGCTGCTGTTCGGCGTCCTGTTGTATCCTGTAAAATGTCTACATCGCTACACAAAAACACGTACATACAAGCGTATATACACCCACAAATACACGCAGAAAATGGCACATAAATGTGTTTATCGATGGCGATTGATTGATATTTCCTGCTTATGGTCTTATGTTTTATTTTGATTCTACTCGCGCATCGGCCATTAATTTTTATCAGACTCTGAAAGAAATCGAGAATCGCTCTGCAAGGAGACACGAGCAATGCCTGTTCATACATCCATGAGTAAAGTGTACACGGCATATTATAATTTTCAATCTATCAAAAGTAGTAAAATCAGACTATGCTGCCGATAAAAAAACATATGCATCGTCCTAGAGCGAACACGATGAAGGACAACGACTCATCATCTGGTACTGTTTCAGCTACATTACATCTACGAAGGTTGAAATCGTCATGATAAAAAGAAAACTTGTAAATCAAGCTGCAATGTGGCCAAAAGAATTGTTTCGTTTGCAAAGATGCAAAAAGGGAGAGAGTGAGAGCGAATGAGATACCGATAGACGCGAGAGCAAAATCAGAGCGCACTCTTAATTTTGAATATAAAGCCGATCGTGTATAAGTACAGATTTATCTGAAACGAATTATAGTCAATTTCCGCTCGTTGTTGAATTTCCAGAGAAAATAAAATATAATGTCCGATAAATTATACTGTGTTACGTATACATTTATGGTATATGATTTAATCATATAAATGTGAGCATGACGAGGAGGATGTTAAGATAATAAATAAATATTATAATGACAAATAGCTAAAGCAATGAAATGGTTGTGTAGAAAAAGGTGCGAATCAATTCATAATATATTTTTATTAATATTAATTCTACGTTCGATTCCCTAATAGGAAAAAAGTTAAAAATATTGTCATTATAAGTATTTATTGATAAGCGATGAATATATAGTATGAAAAAAAGTAACTCAGATCACAGACGAGATTTTATAAAAAAAAATACGAGTATAAAAAAAGGATCAAGAGAACAAATGCGGTTTATTGACTTTCATACATTACCTAAGCCAGAGACAAAAATTGCATATAATTACAAGGAGAAAGAGTCATCACTTTCGATAAAGATCGGGGGAAAAAGCTTTTACTTCTATGCATACGATATATAATTTTCTACTTTAGACACAAGCCTGTAGTTTACACATGCACATACATTCATATACATACACACGCGCGCACGCGTTAATGAGTAAATAAAAATTTTCTTATTCGTGTCGTCACTAAAAAAATTTTCCTTTAAGATAATATATATACTGACTTTTCGATCTTTTGAAGAGTTTTCAATGTATATTTATAATCATGAACGCGAAAAAACTCGAAGGATACGTCTTTACGTATGTATAAGTGTTTATGTAACCATATGGATATTATTCCTTCTTTCATTACTTCTTTTTCAGCCTTTCACTTTTTTACAAATTGAAGCGTCGTGACGTGATAACCACGAAGCTAAAACGTAAATCGGCCAAAAAATACATCACTTTGCTTACAAAAATCAATTCGTTGATATTAATTAGTTAATTGCTTAAATTATTAAGGTGTGCAAACCATGTCACCTCTACTCTCTCCCTTTTCTTCGTTAAGATGAAAATTGCGATTATGTTTCACTCATCATGACATGTTATTTAATAACATTAGTACCATCGTTTTTCGCCATTTTTTATGTACAAATACTAGAATAAGAAAAAATAAAACCGCATGATTTCTTTATTTGCAGTAAAAAACTTATTGTATAATTGCTATCGAGAAAGAAAAGTAAACAGAGTCGTATTATGCGTAATTTTTTCTGTAAACAAGAAGCTTGATAAAAACTCGATGTATCCTACATAACGAAAATCGATATACGTGGTATATGTGACTATAAATAAAAATCAAGCGCGACAATTAATTAGTTGCAAACGTCATTCAAAATTGATGCAAGTACATGCTTATAAATTATGTTACAACTTGCTGTAACGAATGCATATTGGTATAAACGTGTTCCAACAATTGCACTATGCAATACCCTAAAGTTTTTTTAATTCATATGCCGTACCTAAAAGAATATCTAATATGTCGTTTAAAAGACGTGAAAGCCAAAAAATTGAAATGGCCTATGTGGATGTGAACCGACGCTTTTTGTTCTAACTCGAACTATTAAAAATGAGCAACAGTATCGCGAAAATGTGACTTCTTTGTTTTTCATGTACTTTACCTTTTCGAAGGATACAAAACTGGTATCAATAAAATAAGTGTATAAATACATAAAATTTGGGGCAGTAAAACAATCATTCGTTGACATTTTGGTGTATAATGTACGTTGTACGAAGTGTAAGAATAGAAAGTGTATCGATGGGAAAAAATACAATAGTTAAACAAGAGCAAAATGTGATGATATTTGCGATGTTAAATGAAAATTTTAAAAAGACGATGAGAATGAAATGATTTATAATTGATATGTTTGATGATGGTGTGCAATCGAATATCCATGTACCGTTTTTATTTCTGTGGATGAATGAAATGTGCTTGAACAAGTAAACAAAAAATTGATGTTACAGACAGGAGGTGTTTCAAAAAATCGATCTGAATCATTGCGAGCCAAATTTACTATGCTACCGCTGAAGGTACTGATATCAAAAGATAATAAAAAAGCACCTCCGACTGACACACACATACATAATTATTATATTATAAAGTATGATACAACCCTGGGAAAAATGTCTCCGTGAATTAAAAGAAATTAAGTAGTAAAGGCAGTGACGACGACGATGGCACGCGTAAATAATGGACGTGAAGCAAAACAAAATTTTCACATCAACTGCAAAGCCATTGTTTATTCCCTCCTAAATAACTAGCTGATAGAAGAGCTAGAGTTAAAAAAAAATTAAATGTGTAAAAGTTAAAAATTTTCTTCTTAAAAATACGTGCTATACTTATACAAATAAATACGATATCTAATTATTATTGATAATATACCAAATTCATCACCGAGCAATTTTTCACCAGGGCTGCTTTTTATCGCAAGGAGAAAAAAAGGTTGATAATGCGTGAGAAATAAGAAAATATTATCATTATTAAGTTTAACATGAAAATAAAAGATATTGTAATGAAAAACGATGTCGAAGGCTAAATATTAGGCATGAGTTGACTTTTTTGGGCAAGAAAAAACTCAACACCTATACACCATACATTATTATATATAAATATATATATATTTTATTGCTAGTAAAATTATCACATAAGTACGGCAATGTAACATTCATCTGTACATAGAAACAATAACAATTAATTATGAATTAAACTTTCAAACTGACTAATAAGTGTTTTAGGGGTCAGAAATTGAGAAAAAAAAGTTGAAATTAAATTTTACCGCGTATGGAATGGATTGTCATTGATTAACAATGGTGAACTTTCCAGAGTACGTTTGTTATTATTTTCACAATATGATTGTTATTGCGATTGTGAAAACCAATTTATTATTATTATGAATGAGAAAAAGAAATAATAACTAGACAAAATGCGGATTTTTAGGAGAGTCAAAATGATTCAATGAATAAAAGCATAGAGTTACAAAATAACTAAGTAATTTTGAGGTCACAAAAGTAAATGTAAACGAGCGAAAGATTCAGCGGCACTCGTCTCGTCGAGGACGGATACGATAATTTGAAAATACATATGCAATAAATGATGTATTTTGAAAGGTAAAAAAAAAATATAAAACAACAAAATAACGTAACGTTTTCACATTTAGATCAATTGTACAACGCATAAAAGTACATTATAGTATCTTCATAATCGATTTTTGCTTTTTTAATGTCTGTCCAAAATTTTTTATTGCTTACAACTCAATGATCGTTTTATTGTATCCTTCATACTTTCTATGCATAGATCTTCTTGTATTCGCACAAGGTTCAATTTTTAACTTCTGTCGCGAATAAGATCAATCATAAATAAGAACGAAAATAAATTAGTTGACTATTTACGTAGATGCGTACTAATTATGATTATTGTAAAAGAGTATGAGGGAAGAAAAAATAGCATCATCTTATGCTCGTGTCCATTCTATCGACGAGATGCTGAGTCGATTTTTTGCAGATTTATTATACCTATATTAGGCTTACGTTACATACCTCATTTGTAAATATTAGAACGTATTTTTGTCGTCTATGTAAAATCAAGAAGAATTTTAACTAATGGCTTAGTTCTTAGCATAACGAAAAATAAAGTTGAGAACATAATGGGAAAAAATAATAGATTGCATTGTCATTTTATGTCCTTTTCCTTTTCCAAATTTTCCGTTCTGCTGATTTCTTCAAACAAAATTTAAAAAAGTATCATTTTGACCCATTGAGTCATTTCATGTCAAGTCTTTTTGAGATATTTGAGTTGAAAGGTTTTTCGACGATTTTCTCTAGGAAAATGAAAAACTTTTGAAAATCTTACTTCACCATTGGAAAGCTAAGGTAATTTCCCATTGAAATGGTGGGTTACTTTTTTCTTCTAGGGGAATTTAGGTACTTTTACAGCGAGTGAGAAATTGGATGATTACGCCTAATAATTCCGTGCGCGCCTCGCGCTGGAGACTTGACGTGAAATGACTCATATTGATTTTAGTTATTGAATAGACTGGATAGACAGTTTATTTCCAAAATTAGTTTCGACTAAATATTTTATCAGTTATAGTATGAAATAATGGATAAAAATGAATGGTATTGGTTTTACAAAATAGGCTTTTATTCTGTTTTTATTTCATCTACTCTTTAATTACAATAAAAAATCTATGTACAAGTATCGGTTCAATAAATCCGTTGTCTTTACCTTTGATTATAATCAAATACTTTAGTTGGAAAGAAAACGACGGAAAATATCGCTTTTTCCTCGTTACGTATCGCACTTAAAAATCGAGTATAAGTATGACTTTAACTTATGAAATATATTTTTTCTTATGTTGATAACTTCAATCGATTGGTGGTGACAACGACTGATATAACTTCGATACAGCTGTATGTACAATTTGTTGGAATGTATCGTCTTCCGGACACGAAACTTCTAGTGTCATAAGGTCGATGTGTGCTTTCTTTTTATCTACTGTAACGTATAATTTGTCACCTTTAAATATCTTTGGCACAGAGTCTTCACCAAACATCTCTTGTAGCATTTCTATAAGGCATTCTTTAAAATGCATTTTATCCATTTTAGTTGGTGCAGTAAGCATTTTCGGATTATTTTCCATGGATTCAGCTTGCAATAGAGCGGTGAGAACGGCGTCAGCATACATGTCGTTCACTGGTGTCGCCAGCCATTCCATCGTGATAATTTTACCCTCGATGGTGAGATCGACATTTTTGAAAACGCGTAATTTTTTGTCATCTATAGTTTCAAGGGTACCAGCTATTTGCGTCAACAAATGCTTCAAGGTCGGTAATGGTGCAGAGTAATATACGCTTTGACGTTGAACAACTTGACTTATACTCATTTCACTGTATCTATTAAGGTCGCAAGGATCCAGTAGGTGATAATTAAAGTTTCTTTTGACCAAAACACCAGAGAGTTTTTGTCCTGGTTTTGGGGTAGTCATGGCTAATGTACCCATCACTTTGGCTGTTTTTTCACCACTAAAATAAAGTTCAACAGCAACTGTATTTCTTGGATTATGAATTTCCATAACTGTATCTGGGTCATCTTCATACTCACGCTGCAGAGCAGCTTTGAGTCTGCCCATTTCATTTTGTTCACCATGGACTAGGATAACATGAAGAGGTTTCAAAACTCTTATGAACTCTGAAGTCTGCTGATAATCTGTATGGGCTGAAAATGAAATATAATCAACAGACATTTTCAATGGTAATTTTTGTCCACCCATTGTTGTAATTTCTTCTGGTTCTGATAAAATAGTTTTAGCCAGAGTTCCTTCTACACAATAACCCGCTATTATTACCCCATTTTTGTGATCTGTACACCATAATTCAAACAGTTCTCTGGACAATCCACTTTGCATCATACCTGGTGAAGCCATTACAACACATGGTCCAATATCTTCAAAATGATCGATGCCTTTTAGATTAGAGATATGTTTAAATACAAAAGGATTGTTGATAGCTATTTGTCTGCGTATTTTGTCATTCATGGCATTGATAAAAGTTTGGTATACAGCCATACATTTTTTAGCTAAAGATGATGCATAGTAAATTGGAATTTCATGGAGTTCTGGATGTTGAGACCAATATTCATCAAGAATAAGTAGGAGTTCTTGGGCTCGACCCAAAGCAAATACAGGAATAAGGCAGCGTCCACCACGATTAACAATCTCATGAACAAGAGTTGTAAAGCGTCCCTCGCGATCTTCACGTTTTTCATGAATATGTGTACCATATGTTGCTTCAGTTATAAGTACATCTGGGCGCACATTTGGAATTTCAGCTGCCATTAAATGTCTATCCTCTTGCCTGCTAAAGTCACCAGTGTATAGAATTTTAACCCCTAAAAAGAAAATAAAAAATTTAATAATAAAATTAAATTCAAATGAGTTATTAAAGTCATTTACCAGCAATCTCAATCATAAACATAGCTGCACCAAGAACATGTCCAGCATTATAAGCCCAAAATTTGATACCAAATACATCTTTTTCTTCATGAAAGTTTAACGTCTCAATTTTATCCATACTAGCTTCTAAATCTGCTTCTGTATAAAGCATTTGCTCAGTTGCGATATTACTGACTTTGATATAATCAGATAATAACCACCGATAAATTGCTTTTGTAGCATGTGTCATGAAACATCTGCCTTTGAAGCTGGTTTTTAGTAAAAACCAGGGTAAAGCACCACTGTGGTCAAGATGAAAATGAGAAATCAATAATAAATCTATTTCGTCAGCTTCAACAATATCAACAAATGGAAGGGCATCCATGCCACTGAGTCCTGGGTGAATACCACAATCAAGCATAATCTTTTTTCCTTTAAACTCCAACATTATACAAGAACGTCCTACTTCTTGTCCAGCACCTAAGGGTCTGATGGTAAGCAAATCATTTTCTTCAGATGGAACCATTCCTTCAACCTGTTTTCTTTTGGTTGACATCTGTCAAAATAAATGTAACATTGAGTTTTATGAAATGAATTCACAGTAATTAGCACTACACTTTCGCCAATATAAAATGTAATTATTTTTAGTCAATTATAAATTATGATTGCCGGTGTTATCTACTATTCGAGGTTATCCATGACAAGTGCGTTTAAAAACACCAGGAAACATCAATGAACAATTTGGTGATGCGTTCACCATGCATAGCATCAGTAATTATAATGATTAAGATTGTAACGAAAAACTTACGTTGCTCTGCATACTTGTGAAAATTCAGTCAAAAAAATAAAAGGTTTTGAATTGATGTGTTTTCTTTTCATAAATAAACACACAATACAAGCGAGACGCGCTTGAACTGGCGGCACATTGATCACAGATGTCGGCAGCGCCAATTATATTCGAAGTTTTGAATACTTAGCTGTCGGTAAGGTCAAATTTGATTTTCATGAAAAAGCGCGAACAGGTGTCAAAAACAGCGAGGCCCTTATGTATTTGCGAATTCCTGATTGTATTTGTACATACAAAAGAAATTCTTAGCGATACTCCTTTTACCTTGGTCGGTTTATCATGATGAAAATTTAGTATGGTCAGTTTTCATAGTATACAATTAATATTATAATCGGGCCATAAATGTATTCGCTTCAAGTGCTAATAAATTAATTATATTTAGGATAAACCTTGAAAGAAGAAAAAAAAACATTTATTAGCTCATTGGATTGATTCACTCTATAATAGGGAATAGTACTGAATTAGAAAAATGAGTTGTAATGGTGACTTCTACATTACGACGTTGTCGTAAGGCGGAAAAGAAAGATACAAAATTATCCCGAAATGGTACTTTTATAAATTTAGATATGATTTATCATAATTTACCATTCGATATTTAATTTTTAACCACAACGGTAGAGTCTGCTTAGTGAGTAGAAAACATGGATGTGTTTGTAGCGATAACGAATGATATAGGCTTGATTATATGCGCCATTCCCTCTTACCGCTTCATGATTTTCGCAAATAGTCTGATCGTGTGTGGTCGAAATTTTAGCTGGCTTGTTATGCGAGCGGTTCGCTCAGCAATCTCGCGATTAAATAATAATCGATACGGACTTTGCTACAGGACTCGTATAGCCATACTTAGTACCTTTCATACAATTCTAATTCCAATTTCAAGTTTAAAATAGCTAATTAATGTTTATTGAAGGCTATATCTTCTTGTGAATCCATTTTTTATTATAATTATTGGATTTAATATATACTTCGATCGAGATCGCTACTAGATTAAAAAAGAAGACACATTATTGTTTTTACAATTTAATAACTCGTTTTTACAAAATATCGCTGATTCACGATATTTTCAATCGACAACTTCATACGAATTATTGATCAGCTTTTGAGATTTCTGTTAAATATTTTTCGAAAACTACGCAAATGTCCAGAAAACCACCACAATTGCGAAATTCACGCAATTTTTAGAAAAAAATATTTAATAAAAATCCGGGAAAATGTGTGAGGCAAGGATAATAATCTGGATGTGCTTTATGCTTATTCAATGTAAATAATAGGCTATGGAGTTTTTGTTGCACGAGAGACAGGTTGATGAGCTGGCAGCATGTGATCGGCATTGAGCTACACCTAATAAATCTTCCATTGCAGAGTCACGATGCGACGGTGAATTGACATGGAGCAATTAGCGCTAATGACAATGCAGCTGTCATACATGGGTAAAAACGCGAATAATACTCCAGCGCCACGCGCGAGAAGCGAAAACGGCCGGATTGCTCAGTTTTCAACTCGCTCACAAAGGGTTAAATAAAATTCAGAAAAATAAACCAACTTAGGTTATCGATAGGTTTTTACCTCAGCTTTCTACTGGTGAGATTGAAAATGCACAAATATGCCTCCATAACCTAAAAAAATGGACTTGAAGGTAAAACACGTTGTAACTTCCAGAGTTCAACTCCGATCGACTTTCTGAGTAACTAGATCGAAAGATCTTGCGATTTTACATAAGTAATGACTCTAAAAAAGGGACTTTTTCGATTTTCTCGAGCGCAGAAGAGGGAAAGAGTTGCTTTGTTTTGCGAATGAAACAAAAATAATGAAACTATTAATCAAAAAAGTTAATTTATCTTTTAAAAAAGGCCTATTTTCCCAAAACTAATTGCACCATTGGAAAGATGAGAAAAAAATACACAAAAACCATGTATTCGTTTATTTTTATGGCGAAAGCCTAACGCCTGAAAAGTAAAGAAACGTAAAGTGTAGCGAAAAAACCAACCGACCGGGCGCTCTTTCCCTCTTCACCACTCGAGAAAATCGAAAAAGTCCCCCTTTTTAGAGTCTTTACCTAGGTAAAATCGCGAGATCTTTCGATCTAGCTAGTCAGAAAGTCTATCGGAATTGAACTCTGGAAGTTACAACGTGTTTTATCTCCAAGTCCATTTTTTTAGGTTATGGAGGCATATTTGTGCATTTTCGATCTCACCCGTAAAAAGCTGAGGTAAAAACCTATCAAAAACCCATGTTGGTTTATTTTTTTGAATTTCATTTAACCCTTTGCGAGCGAGTTGAAAACTGAGCAATCCGACCGTTTTAGCGGGGCATTATTCGCGTTTTTAACCACATACGCTGCACTTTGCACGCATGAGTTCTGCGAGAGGAGGGGCCGGTCGCCGAGCGCCAACTGCACGCTATAGGTACGAGGCAAAAAATCCAGTCGCCGAGCAGAAATCGTCGCGTTCGTGTCGCAGCTCCGCTGATTTGAGGTAATTTTGTACCTCGCTCACTTTTATTCGCTGTATACTAGCTCTGTTTTTCATTTTCATAGTTATCGATCATGTCCAACTACAAATTGACGTACTTCAACTTCAAAGGCTTGGGAGAGCCGATCCGTATGCTCTTGACCTACGGTGGCGTCGATTTCAAGGACCACAGGATCGAAATGGAGGATTGGCCCGCTTTGAAATCCAGTGAGCACTCGCGAGTACAAAATTATCTTGCGCTTTGCTTCGCCGTCTTTACGTAACTTGAGATAAATTACGTTTTTTCTCGATTGTACTCTTGCGCTTGGAGCATAATGATCGACGGATTCATGCCAATTATACGTGCTTCAACTCACATTTTTATAATTTTCGTCTAATTGGGACATAACTACTTGACGTTGTGTATATATTCACTTCATTTTTAAGTATACGGCCCTACTTTCTGCTATCGAACACAACTATTCCTTTTTTTTGCTAGCTATGAAATATTCATGTCAGTCATTTTTTTTACAAATTACACATCATAGCCGCATTGAAATATATAATTTAATGTCCTCAATTTTTACACAATACGTATAGAAAAAATAGTGGTTTATTATATTTCTCGGCTGTAGTACACATACATATTTTAAAAATGTATATAACACTACCGCGTTTTACAAATCTCGCGCCGATTATCAGCTCAATTAGTCTTACTTGAACATTAATCATTATTATCTCAGAAATGGTGTCCCAAAGGCGTTGTACGATTTGAAAAGTATTACTTAAAATCACTGAAAAACTCACGGGCTCGGGACTTGATGTTCGCAAATATATTATAATTTTCAAAGACAACAGAGGGCCAAGAAAGATCCGAAAATGTGTGGCTTATTTGCATCGATATTAATTACCACTTTTGTATTGTCATGCTACACGCAATTGCATCCTATATACATCATATAAGAATGTAGCGAATTTATGTTGAAAATATTCTTACCTACATAGGCCCTAATTATTACATATTGACTTGCAGCAATGCCCATGGAGCAAATGCCGGTTCTCGAAATTGACGGCAAAGTTTATCACCAATCTATAGCGATAGCCCGTTACCTCGCCAAAAAGTTTGCTCTCTACGGTCGAGATGATCTCGAAGCCATGTCAATCGATGGGTCCGTTGCTGACATAGAAGATTTCCGACAGGGTCAGTAATTTATTTTATATATAATATATAATAAACTTAAAATAGACCCAGTTAAACGCTTATATTAAAATTCATAAACAACGTAGATGCGGCATTGTATTTCCGGGAAAAGGATGAAGATCTCAAAGCTAAATACCTCAAGAACGTCGAAACTAAATCTGTCTTTTTCTTGAATAAATTTGAGGAGAGAGCGAAGAAAAACGGCGGATATTTTGTTGGCAGTAAGGTACCGTATCGACGTCACGTTTTTATATTGCCTCATCGACCGATGACGAATTTTTTCTATTAAATTTTTTTTTTCGTTTTACAGCTGACTTGGGCTGATATTCATTTTACTTGCATGATCGAGCTTGTTTCCACTGTACTAAAGAGAGATCTTTTGCTGAACTATCCAACATTAACGAAACTCTACGATAACGTACGCTCGCACCCGAAACTCAAGGATTATATCCAGAAACGTCCAAAAACTCACATATAAGAAAAGGCTTTGATTATTCTTTCTTATCTTCTTATCGATGCCATATATTCGTTTTATTCTTCTGCACTTTTTCAATCTCACCGATAATATCTTCTTTAAATTAATAGATCAGGTTATATACAACTCTGTAGTTCATAGTAAATAAAAAATTAAATAAAAATTAGCTGTGACAAATAGCTGTTAAGATAACGTTCTTACATTGATTGTTTTCACCTTCTATAAAACTAACATCTTTATCGCAATTTTTTTGTATCGAAGATTGGATATGAAACATAAAGAAGAAAAACGAGACGCTCATCATGATGATTCATGTAGTATATTTAATTTTTATGAATTATGCTACTGTCAAAAGTGTATGCACATTTCCCTGAGACGTGTCAGTCAGCCTCTTTAATCTACTTAAGCATTAATTAATATTTAATTCTCGGGAGTCGAAAGAGAAAAAACAAAGTTCTAGTAATAAGTAGAGCAAAATGTACCTAGGGGTTGCTTTGCTCTCTAAAATCGAAAGGAAAATAAATAAAAGACAACATTTGAGGATTAACACAATCCACTGTGTTATTGTTTATCGACCCTCTGATTGGATCAAGTTGTATTTACAGCTTAAATCAAAATCATACGCGATTATAAAAATAGTTGCTAGATAAAAGATAAAAAGAGAGAAAACATTAAATAAATTATTGTTATTAACGTTCCGATGCAATAAGACTTGGGGGAAGCTACGCAAAAGTAAGCAGAAGTCACCGATTCAAAGCATCTTAGTCATCGAAATGTATCACAGACTAAACTTTGGTGTCTTTTTTAGTAAAAAAAAGTAAGAACTAATATGGCTAAATGGAAATTGAAGGGCTTTTACGAATTAAGGACGGTTATCTGTTTGATCCAGTCGATGAAGGGCAATATTTTGACGTAGACACCGGGTCCTTGTCCGCAGCCGTAGGCCCAGGAAACGAGACCCGCTAGCTCGTAGAAGTCTCCTTGTTTGCACACCAGAGGACTGCCGCCGTCGCCCTGCGCAAAAAGAAAAGCACCAAGGAGGTAATGAATGACTCGAGCTCGAGCGAATAAATAGCATGAGATACGAGACTTACCCGGCACGCGTCGTTGTAAGACTCACCGCCGGCGCAAAAGCTATTGGTCGGCATGATGAAGACCTTCTGGGTTATGGCGTTGATCTTGCGGATGCACTCGCTGTCGGAGACGATCGGTACGTCGGCCGAGCGTATTCGCAGGGCTATCGGTCCTTCTGCGAACGATAAATCGTTAAATCGTTAATAAATCGGTACGCGTAAAATATGTAATCGTTGAAAGTGGTAGCTGACCTTGGCTGGGATAGCCGTAGCCGGTGACGGTGCACCTCGTGCCGGGCCTGTGATCGGACTCTCGGCCCGGCAGGCAGACCAGGCAGACACCCTGACCGAGCTCGACGTCGCGCTCGAGCCTCAGCAGGGCTATGTCGTTGTCGAGAGTCTGGCTGTTGTGGTTGTGGTGGATGTAGGTCGTGTCGACTTGGATCGTGCGCGCCCCCGGGTTGCCATACCTGCGGCTCAGGTCGCTGTCCCCGAGCGTGGCGTAAACGGCTTCGCCGCTCTTGACGGTTCTGTTGGGGTCGAATGTTTTTCTTTACCGATTTCTCGACTCGATCTCGTCTTTTAATTATAAATGCAAGCACTTACTCGGTGACGCAATGCGCCGAGGTGATTACCCATCGTTTGCCGATGAGGGCCCCGCCGCACAGGTACTGATTTCGCGAGTTGAGAATGGCCACCTGCCAGCACCACTCGTTGTAATCGGCATCCTGGCCGCCGATGATACGAGCCTCGCGACGACGCAGCTCGCCGCCACCGCCGCCACCTTCGCTCAGCGAGTACTGACTGCGCTGGGTGCCTTTGGCCCCGCACACGAGCCAGTCGTAGGGGGCCTTCTTCGTCGTGCTCGTGATCGGCGCGTCCACGTAAATCGGCCCGTGGTCGTGGGGGATCGCCTGGGGCGTCACTGGGACGCGGGGATAGTGTCCCGGGAGCAGTGGCGCCAATTCGTAGTCGATTTTGTCCTTGATTTCGTTCGTCGGCGTCTCCTTGATGCCCTGTATCTCGCGTATGACCGACTTGTAGGCGCAGCAGCGCTGCTCCGCCCTCGGGCACTTGAACAGGTCAGTTATCTCGGCGTTTTCTAGATATTGCAAAAAAAAGTTCACTCAACTCCTAATTCCCTTGAGATGCACTGGTTTAAACGAGGTACTCACTGAAGCAGGCCAACGATAAATACGCCTTGATGCAGCTCCCGGGACAATTTGGTCTTGGATCTGGCGTCGGATCTGGCGTTGGATCGACGCGGTCCTCGCGTCTCACCGGAGGTTTCGTCGCGGGTTTTGGTTTTGCTGGAGCAATTTTCTAAAATTACAACGCAACGAATGATTTAGCGATTTTAGACACTTTCCAACATCCAACTATGGGTAAATAAAAAAAATTGATTTTACCGGCAAAGTTAAGTTACGAAACGTCTCGCAACATAATTGATCCTTGGGACAGCCAATACCGCTCTTCTTTTCGCATAATATCGACACGATGTTTGGCAGACAGAAACCACGGCAAGAAGGCCGTTTATTCTGGGGAGCTTGGCTCGTTGTGGATGTTTTCGCTGGCCTCTGCGTAGTCGTTGTAGTGATCACCTCCTAGAAAAGTCAATGAGAGTCCTTGGGGTGAGAAAAATACATGGCCATGCATACGAGTCCATGAGTGGCGAGCATGAGTATCGACCTGTTTTTGCGACTCCTCCTGCTCCTCCTCATCTTCGACGCAGCACAAGCTCATGTCCCCGCAATCGGCATCGGAATCGACCTTTTCGCACAGAAAATTAGCTATATAGATGTTGACGCAACCGCCCCTGCATCTTTTCCTGGTCGTGTTCGTATTGGCATTCGTATTGGTATTCGTGGAAAGCGTCTGCGGCTCGGTAGTGGACGTCGTGGTCGTAGACGTTGTCGCGAGGGGTGTCGAGGGGCCACCGACAACGACCTCGTTGGGAACGACGGGTTCGCCGAATTTCTTGTGGTCGTAGATTCGCAGCTGGGCCGGCGGCGAGTCCCCGAAAAGTTCCCTCGTCACGCAGCAGCGAGTCTTGCTATCGCACAGCGAGTCTACCTCCAGAACGGCCTCGCAGTACCTGACAAAGGAGGTGAGCATGCACGAGCCGGGGCAGACCCTCACTGTATGCATACAAGCACAATTAATTCAAATTTTCCTGTAGCTAACAAAAAGCCCTCCTTTAGCTGCACAAAAAAATACTTACGCGGCAATGGTGCCTCTTGCTGCGATATTTCCTCCTTATCTACCTGAAAATTTTCATTTTTCGAATTGGGAGATTTAAATTTAATGTGGCCTTTTTTAATATCAGCTTGAAATACCAGTCCAACTCTTTAAAACTCGTCTGCTTACCTTTGGCTTGGCTGTCGTTGTAGACGTAGTTGTAGTTGTAGTTGTAGTAGTCCTTTGCGTCGTCGTCGTAGTTGGGACCGCCAATGAAGTCAATGTTTCCGACATGATCGTTGATTCTGCATTTTTACTATCGCTTGGTTTTTCCTCGACTGTGCTGGTACTTTTTGGAGGAGTCATGTCAGGAATTTCGTTGATGAGACTCAAAAGTCCTATGTAAAAAACGCGTGTAACGTTAGAAAGGTAACTTTTTTTTCATGCCAAAGCCCGAATGAGGCCAGCTGATGAAAAATCGTATGCATTCTAAGCTGGTAATGCTAATCACACCCGCTTTGGGACTTTTATATACTTCCCGCCTTGGGCCAGTAATAAACTATATCATTAGCAATTAAAATGTACAAGGCGTTATGCAGAAGACAGAAGTTATTATACACAGATACAGAATTTATCAGATAAGTCTGTCTTTAATAATAGAGAATAAAAAATATCATTAGTGCGAAGAATTATAAATAATTCAATTGCACTATCAACAATGACACAATCAATTATTGATATAATCTCACGGGTTAAAAGAAAAAAAAAGCAATTGAAAGCTTCTACCGAAGTGGGAGCTAAAAAATAAAAATAGAAACTTTGTCTTACCTGATAAAAAGTTAGTGGTCAAATCATTTTGCGCAACAACTGGCTGAACGATTGAACGATCGGAAATGAGAATCAGCCACAACATCAACAGTGCAGCCGATCGCGTCGCTGCACGTTGCATCGTCATATTGTCTGCCGTTGAACGAAAGTACTTATTTCACCTCTGACACTCGTTGAAGAGAACAAAAACAAAAACACAAAAATAAATAAAAAAATTAAGCGGGTGGACCACTGCTCGGGCGGAAAAAACCCGATGAATGAAAAAAAACCAGTAAAAAAAACGGTGCCCTCAAGAGAGAGAAAGAGAAGAGTTGGGATCGCGAGACGATCAGCATGAAATGCTCTCATTGACTGATCGAAAGCGATGACGAAGCTGCGGCGGTGGCGGCGATGATCGAAAGCAATTAGCTAAAAGTAATGTAGGTCCATCGATTTCTATAGGCCGCAGCTAAGCGATTGGTGGCAGCGCCGGCAGAGCAGAGCCACGAAGATCGCGTCCCGCGACAAAAAGAAAGAAGAAGCGCATGGAAAAGAGTACTTACAAAACGCTCGCCTCTCGAGGTACGCAGCGGTGCGGCCAGGAAAAATATCCTACACGAGCGGCGGCATTCAATAATTTAGCGATTTTTCCGCGATCTTTGCTGAATTTTGTCGGGTTCGATTGGCAGTACGGCGATCGGCTCTCGGCTTCGACTGTACGGGTTTTGACCTCGCGTAGACACGAGGAGACTCGCTCTATTTACGTTTTCTGTTATGCTACGTGTATTATGCTAAATAGTCGTGAGCACAAGTGATTGCTTGTAGCTCGGAGCAAATGGCCAAACGGCGTTTACATCGCGGGCCTCGGTATAGATGCGTCGGCCTATGAAGTAGGAATTTGCCGGCTAGACTCGATGATATGTCTCAGCTGATGGTCAATTTTTGCTTGACAAATTACGCCTATTATGCTTCTGATTCTCTTGAACACCTGTTCGTCGATCAGATCGTAAGTTCATGCGACTCTTCGAGCTCGTGTCGGAACCAAGACCAAATCGAATTCGACCCAGATTCGAGCTCGAGTCATTCGTCCTAATGGCCAATGCTATGTATTGCAATATATACGCCGATACTCGTTCGAGAGCCGATGAAATTTTACCGCTTGCACGTGTGACTCTGCCCCCACCCTCGCGCTCGTTCGTGGCTGCTCCACAATCACGATACAGTTATTTTTATCTGCCGATAAATTAATCCTTTATACTTCATACGCAGGCTCGTAATACATATTTTTCCGCTTTTTTCGGGAAAAAGAAAACAAAACCAAACCGGTACTTTTTTCAAGGTCACTTTCTTCTCGTACGCGCTCGATATGGACCAGGCCGACAAAGTCAAAAGTGAAAGGTGCGGATACCACTCATATATTATACGCTCGCTTAATTAATTTTTCTACGTCATTCTTCTACTGACTCACGTATTATTTACTCCTCGGATTTGCAGCCGTGTTTGCATCCATAGGACATTTTTAAATGTTAGTGTATTTTGATAAATGATTTGTTTGAAAATGCAGCTGCCCGCTCAAATGTCAAAGTGTAACATTTGCTCCTAGCTCGTCAGGTGTATAAGTTGTCTTTGTGTCAAGTAGACTCATTGTCGATCGGATCGGATTAAAAAGTGATCCTGTTTACGTATTAGCTTTGCGACCGTAAATTATTAATGAGGATAATAACGATATACGTAGATAGTAGGCGTGCTCGAGTTCGAGAATCATCGTCACTTTGTCAGTCGTCCGAGTAACCCAAGTACCGTTTGAATTCAGTGTTTCGTGGGAGCATCGATTAACAACTTATTACCTTCTACTCTCGGAGGGGATTTCCGGTGGATCTGTGAGTTTTCAAGCATAGATACATTCCTGAATATCAACGACTCCAAGTGTCACGCTCGTGTAATAAGCCTCTCATGCGCTGCTCTATTCCTGACACTTTTCTGTGAACGTGTACTCATTTGATTGCGATTTATAACGATGCTAGATTTTTTTATTTGCATCCTTAATTGTAACAATAATCCATGCGACAATAACATCGCATTTACATGATAAAAACATAAAAATTCTTTACCACATTTAACGAAAAATATAAATTAATTATGATTTGCCTCTAATTGTTTATCGTCATTCGATTAATAAATTGTAATAATTGGGTAATTTCACGAGTTTCATATTTCAAATGTTGTTAAGAATATAACATTATGTAAAAAGATGCATTCCTTATTCGCAATTGTATACCATTTTATGTGTCTCTAATCGACTTGATAATTTAAGAGTTTTACAATATTATAAATACTATGTACTTAACGAGTAGTTTAATAATTGATTGCTCGAAAGTAGTTGAGCAAAGTGGGCATTAATTTTGAGTTTTGCTCTTTGAAATGACTTGTATTGGGTGTGAGCTACCACAGATGCAGGTGAACGGACAGTGGGGAAAGCTACTGGCTTCTTGTTGTTCCGTAATGATTGTAAATTGAATGATATCGGTAGCTTCCTTTCCTTCTGTTCATATACTCAGAGTTCATTTAACTCTCAAAACTCTTTATATTACTTCCCACTCTGATTCGGGGCGCTCTTTTGGATTTCGCGCCATCGGACCACAACACACTTGCGAGTCGTGCGCCTATCTCGCTTTTTTCAATTGGCGCATTCGTCTGCTAGTAGCAGTACAATTGTGCCGGCAAAGTGACGGTTGAACTTAAATCGTATCACAACACATCATGAAAATAATAATATAATAAAATGTTCACTACGTCTTGAAAAATGCCCATGTTGCTCCACGTCTTTGGTGTATTAATTTTTAATCATGTTTCAAAAGTCGAGGAAAAAGAATCACTTCACCGAGTTGGAAATCGTTGGGAAAAACTATTGCGAGTTAGGACATGTCGAAAAAGCTTATGATGAACAACATACTTCAAACAACTCATCTCGAAAGAATAAAAACAAAGAAAATGTCACGAGTGATAAAACAATACGACAACTGGGCAGTAAGCACAGAGCTGAAAGTCAACTATGGGATTCGTTTATGCAAGTAAAAAAGTTGAAAAGTCCTCTGTCCGCTGTTGATGCAAATCAACAACATGAAAACTATTCGGCGTCAACCATTGGAAAATTTCATTTTTCCGGCTCTTATAAAAATAAAAGTAATACATTTAGTAATGTCACCAGCAGCTTTATCAGTTCAAAAATTTTGAGTCTACCAGTTTTGGGTGAAAATGATACACAAAAACGTTTGGAATTATCTAATTGGGGATTGACTCCACTCATTCTTGAGGTACGCATCATTTTTATGGTAGTCACCACTTGCCAATTTTTTGATTTGCTTGGAGGCCAAACAAACAAGGTCTCATGTTTGTTTGATCTGCAACACCTTGTTTGTTTTGCATCTATGCAAATCAGTAAAGTGAGTAACGACCACTGTGATAAAGATCTATATAAACTCAATTTTGTAATTCAAATTTTATAATTCTATTTTTCAATATAATGACCTCTTAAATATACTTGACTTTTATAGAAATACCATACTCGAGGATTAACAAAAATGTTTCCCTGGCAAGTGGAATGTTTAGCTAATAAAAAAATATTACTAGACAATAAGAATCTTGTGTATTCAGCACCTACATCAGCTGGAAAGACATTAGTTTCAGAACTTCTCATTTTGAAAACTGTGTTGGAGAGGAGAAAAAAAGTAATTTTTATTCTGCCATTTGTATCTGTTGTTAGAGAAAAAATGTTTTATTTACAAGTAAGGACATTATTTAACAATGATTAATTTTTTATATTTTAATTCAATGTTTAAAATAATTAAATAAAAAATTTTCAATTGCAAGGATCTTCTTTCGGATAGTGGAGTGAGAGTTGAAGGTTTTATGGGAGGTGTCGCACCAGCTGGAGGTTTTCAATCTGTTCATATTGCCATTGCTACAATAGAAAAAGCAAATTCTTTGATAAATCGTTTGATGCAAGGTGGTGATCTTGATACATTAGGAGCTGTCGTTATAGATGAATTACATTTACTTGGCGACCCTGGAAGAGGATATATATTAGAGTTACTTTTAACTAAATTAAAATATATGTCTGACAAGTATGTATATTTCGGTATTTGTATATATTTGATTATATAATTAAGATAAATTTTTGAAAAACTATGTTTTTAGTTTTGAGCACATTGATATTCAATTAATTGGCATGTCTGCAACTTTACCAAATCTACCATTAATAGCTGATTGGTTAAATGCTGAACTTTATCACACTGACTTTAGGCCCATTCCCCTTGAAGAACGATGCAAAGTTTGTTATAATTTATAATTTACAATACATTTTTCACTAATATAATTAAACATTTTACCAATGTAATAGATTGGATTATCGATAATGAATAAAGAATTCAATCTTGTAAAGGAGCTTACAGTAGCTCCTGATATCATTGATGATTCAGATAATGTAATTCAGCTGTGTATTGAAACAATCAGTACTGGCCGTGGAACATTAATATTTTGCCCTACAAAAAATTGGTGTGAAAAGTTGGCTGTTCAAATGGCAGCCACATTTTTTCAATTGGGTAAATAATTTTTAAGACCTCATCCTCTGCATGAGTTTTCACAGTTTATTGAAGTATTGAATTTAATTAATCAGGTCGTGATAAAACAACCAATGGGATGATTTTACGAAATAATATTGACAGCGATATGGTTCAAGAAGTTTTAGCTCAACTCGAGCACAGTCCTGTAGGTTTAGATAGCGTTCTGAAAAAGACCATTTCATTTGGAGTTGCGTTTCATCATGCTGGTTTGACTATGGATGAACGTGATATCATCGAAGGTGCTTTTCGGTAAATTTATCGATATTATAATAATAATTTGTTATGTAACTTTTATTTTTCAAAAATAAAAATGCTTTTTTAGGACTGGTTCCTTGAAAGTCCTGGTAGCTACATCCACCCTCAGTAGTGGGGTAAATCTACCGGCAAGACGAGTTATTATACGATCGCCAATGTTCAACGGTAATGTTATCGATAAATTGACTTATCAGCAAATGATTGGACGTGCTGGTCGCATGGGCAAAGACACAGCAGGCGAAAGTATACTGATCTGTAAGCACACCGAGAGAAGTGTGGCTGAAAAATTGATAAAATCGACGTTAGAACCGATAAAATCATGCTTGAAAAGCTCAGGTCCGCTTATACGTGCTCTGCTTGAAGCCATCGCCAGTCAAGTTGTCAAAACACCGGCTGATCTCGATCGTTACAGCAAATGTACTTTTATTTACAAGTGTGAAGACAGTGGTGTCAAGAGTATGGTGGAGGAGGCTGTGGAATTTTTGGTAGCCAACGAATTCTTACTGTAAGTCAAATCAATTGAACTACTTACAACTTAAGAAAGATACCATTTCTTTTGGTAATATAATATACTATTACGTATTCAGGGTGAAAAATTCCAACGATAATAATGAAGAGCAAAGAATGATGGCTACCTGTTTGGGAAAAGCATGTCTTTCTGCGTCGATTCCCCCCCGCGATGCGCTTTTTCTCTTCGAAGAGCTTCAACGAGCCCGAAAATGTTTCGTTCTTGACACTGAGCTTCACGTTGTATATCTCGTCACGCCTTTCAATTCTAGTGGTCAAATTAATCAAATCGACTGGATGTCCTTTATGGAACAGTGGCGTAAACTTTCAGAGAGCGAGCGTAGGGTCGGAAATTTAGTCGGCATTGAAGAGCGATTTATCATGTCAGCTATGAGAGGCATCATTAGATCAGAAAAAGCAGTATGTTTACCATTTGATTATTCGATTTAAATGCATTAATTTGACGTATTAAATTAATATTTTTATTTAGCTCAGCATTCATCGCAGATTTTTTACGGCACTCGCGTTACATGATTTGGTACGCGAGGTACCACTCAACGCCGTCTGTAGAAAATACAATTGCTCTCGAGGATTATTGCAAAGCTTACAACAATCATCCGCCACGTTTTCTGGTAACTTGATGATAGCTCCTTTAATAATACTAAAATAATTCATTTTTTAATTCATTGCATTGTTCATATTCGTAGGTATGGTTACAAGCTTCTGCAAGGAATTAAAATGGGACTGCATGGAACTGCTATTTGCTCAGTTTCAAACACGTTTACAATTTGGTGTACAGCGTGAGTTACTCGATTTACTCAGATTACCCAGCATCAATGGATTACGCGCCAGAAGTTTGTTCAAGCACGGTATCACTACTGTTGGTGAACTCTTACTTGCATCTGAGATCGAGATTGAGGAGGCCCTAGAAAAAGCTTTACCCTTCGAAAGGTATTTATCTGAATTAAAATCATTTCCTTCTAAAAAAGCTTATTAATTTTTGTACTTGGGTGACCAATTTTTATAGCGAAAAAGATTTCGATGGTGGAAACAAAGCTGAAGTAGAAAAAAAAATGAAAATGCGTACAATTTTCATAACAGGCAAAGATGGTCTCACTGCGCGCGAAGCTGCTCGTATTGTTATCAATGAAGCGCGATTACTCGTTAAGGTCAGTAAATCTAGTATTAACTAATTTTTTCTTGACAATTTTAAAACGTAATGTAATAAACAAACAATTTTTTAGAATGAGTTAGGACTGCAAGACGTCAAATGGAGTCAAAATAATGATGAAGGATCCAGTCCGACATCTCCATCGTCTTCTTGTTTTTCGCCAACTGCTGAAGCCATGAGCTTACAACCATTGAGTTTGATTCAAGAAGTTACTCCACAACAGCCGAATACGTGTATTAATGCAAAAGAAGAAAAAAACAATTTTGATTCTGAAGTAAAAACTGGTGCCATCGAGGCGCAAACATTGGATAAATCCATGAAATTGACGGAAAATAATGATGCAAAGCAAGTTACTGTAGAATTGCAAAATAAGTTGTCACTCGGACATGTTGACAATCGGTCGAGTGGCGATCTGATATCGCAGGATATAATAAATCAAAGTGATAAAGAACAGCCTGAAAAATCAACGCGAACATTGAGATCAAGACTTACGAGTAAGAATAAAAGTGTCCAAGAAAACAAAACTGTTACAAATATGACCATTTGTACGGCTGATTTTCAAGACGATCTTGATTCTTATTTTGTCGAATCTTCGCAAAATACCGGAATGACACTGAAGAGTAAAATAAGCGCGCAATCAGCAAGAATTGTTGAAAAAATGGAAAGTTTAAAAAAATCAAAACAGATAAGTATTTGCAGTGTAGACTTTCAAGATTCAAAGATGGACGGTGAATCGGTGCTTCAGAAAGTTTTGAAAGTTCATGATAACATTACTGTAGAAAATATAAACTTCACCGAAAACAGCCTAAGCGAAAATCCGCCAGTTAATCAAGAAAAATGCTTGAAGCTGAATTCAAATGTCCAAGCAAAAAATGTTACGTTGTCCAGTCGGAATTTACGAAGTAGGACTATTAATATAGTTGAATCAGATGACAACCACAGAGTTACACACGATGAAAATTTAAAGGTTAAAAATCAAAAATCAAACTGCAAAGTCGAACTAGAAAACAATTTAGTCAGTATTCGTTCATTGGACTTTCAAGATAGTGATATTAAACAAATAAAACCTACGAAACAAGATTCAGAGGAATTTCGAGTAGAATCGTTTCTCAACATGAGCTCTGGTACTCTTAATGAATTACTAAAAAGTACGGATAAAAAGACTGACGATGCGGATAAATTTCAAAAACCAACAACTTTATTGAACTATACCCCAAAGGTAAAAGAGAAAAAACGCGAATCTGCATCATCTATTAACTCATCAAAAAGCATGAGTTTATTTAGCGATAGTTCATTTCTTGATGCTCAAATATGTAGTGTACTGGAAAAAAATGTAATTGAAGGTTCTTGTCTAATTGATTTTGAGAATAGTGAATTCAACCAAAACAAACGTAAGTCTCAAAATGTACCTAGTTCTAAGAGTCAGAATAAAGAGAAAAATTTAATCATTTCGTCACCAAAAATTTCGAACATAAATGCAGTGGAAGAGTTGTTATTCTCTCCAAGAAAATTTAGAACTTTTTCCAAGGAGAAAGGGTCATCGATGCAGCAACAAATTAGGCGACCAGATGATGATCAGTCGAAAAACTTAAGTACCGAGGGTGACCAAAGGGTTTCGAAAAAAACGATTATCGAATCAGATTCAAAAGAAAACAGTCCTACAGTTACAAGAAGCAAGTATATTTTTGCTAGGAAATCGGATGAACAATCGCCGATTGCCGGTATAAGAAGTTATAACAAACGAGTGCCAATTACAACTGCAGTTGGTTCGAGGTACGTTGGTTCCTACAATTGTAAACTAATATAAGCACTGCAGTTATAAAGTCTTGATTTTACAGTCCCGGCGTGTCAGATTCAGACGAATCTATTGTCAATTCACAAGCGATTACTCCTGGAGCAGTAAATAAAACTCGAAATCGTTTACTCGTGGCTACTCAGCGTAAAATTCATCAGAGCAAAACTTCAAAAAAACTCCGTGATCTTATTCCGCCAATACCGAAGACACCAGAATCGTTCTACAAAAGAACTAGCCCAGCACTGATTCGGTGCACAGATGATTCTGATAATTTCGATAATGATAGTGATGATCTCTTCGAATCAGAGAATATAATAAAACCTCTCCAGCAAATTGCAAGTCCATTCAGCTCTTATTTTTATTCGAACTATTTTTTAAGTCTCACTGTATCAATGTTTTTTTTAGAACGCCCTTCACAAAGAATGTGAAAAACCACGAAGATCAGTCAGCCTTACAAAAATCAGTTTAAAATCAATTGATGCAACGTTTGTAGCAAACTCACAACGTCTATTCAAGGATTTTCGAGCAAAAATTGAAATCGAAAAACGCAAAGAAATAGCCGTAGCAATGGTTACCGAATCATATGAACAAGAACCTCAAACGACTATCGGTAATCGAATTGTTAATGAAAGCGCAGAAAAACGTAAAAAAGATCGAAAAAATGAAACGCACATTTACGCTAACAAAAAAATATGTGGCATTGTATTTTCTTGGGGTGTTGGAGCTGTTTTTTATATGGCATTCGAAAATACAGTAGGTAAGATCAGAGTAAAATTTTAAGAAATGAGCTATTAGTAAATCTTATATAAATTTTATAGGTACAAAAGTTACTATCAAAGAAAGGATTTCATTTCTTCGAGATGTTCTTCAGAATCCCTTGATACGGCTGCGATGTTTTAATGTAAAAGAAGTCTTTAAAATGCTGTGCATCCGCACAGAAATTGAACCAATGTGCCACTTTCTTGACCCACGAAGCGGTGATTGGCTTATGAATTCAGAAATTTGTCAAAAATCTTATTCAGAATTAACGGCTCAATATTTTTCACGAGGTCAAGATATCGCAAAAGCATTGGACGATGATGACACTACTCATAGACTCAATCCTTCTTCTAAAGCTGCTGCAAAAGCTCTGTTAGCTTGGTACCTCACTGATGAAATAATAGGAACAATGAAAAAATACAATCCTGCATTATTATCTGCTTACAAAAGTATATATAATTAATTTTTATTTTAAAAAATTTAATTCAAAACTTTTTTTAAACATTTAAATGTATAATTATCTATTATTATCTATTAAAATCATAATTATAGATATTGAAATGCCTACTATAGTGATCTTAGCGAAAATGGAACTGAGAGGTTTCGGCATTAATTCCAAATCATTGCTAGAACTTGCTAGCGTTATAAAACAAGACTTAGCTAGAACAGAAGAAACAGCTTTCCATTTAGCGGGAAGAAAATTCAATTTTTATTCTCCAAAGGATGTTTCACAGGTATGTTAATTCAACATTGCTTTCGAAATAAGTACTCTATGTATAAAAATTCTTTGCTAAAACAAAAAGGTACTTGGCTTAACAAAAAAAGGTCGAAGATGTACGAATAAGAATGCGCTTAAATCGTGCGATAATCCATTATCAGATTTAATAACAATATGGCGCAAGCTCAGCACTGTTCAAACAAAGGTACGCTGCGGTAGCAATAAAAATTTCTTATACTCAATCTCATGAATTAATTAATTTCACTTTAATAATGGTTCCAGATCATTTTCCCGTTATTACAATTAGAAAAAAAGAATGGAAGAATCCATGGCCAGTGCATAACTTATACTGTAACAGGCCGAATATCTATGCATGAACCCAACTTGCAAACCATACCAAGAGATTTCAAATCTGAAATAAGGTTCGTAGATAAATAATATTTTTAATTAAACCCATCTTATTCGTAATGAAATAAAATGAGATGCATTTTCTAGCGGTTACGTACTGAGTCCGCGTATGGCTTTCATCCCAAGCGAAGGAAATATAATGTTGTCAGCTGATTTTTGTCAATTAGAATTGAGAATATTAGCTCACTTTTCAAAAGATCCGGTACTATGTGAACTGATGCTTCAAAAAAATGGAGATATATTTAAAAATATCGCTGCAAGATTAAATAATGTTGCGGAGGAAATGGTAAGAAAAAAATTTTGAGTAGCACTAAACACTTTTTTTGTCCATTTTATTATCCATTTTTGCTTATTCGTGCAGGTGGATGACGATATGCGACAAAGAGCCAAACAATTGTGTTATGCTATGATTTACGGTATGGGAGCCAAATCATTAGCTGAAACCTTATCCATTTCCGAATCTGACGCGAAAGATTATCTTGAAACGTTCATGAGTACTTACAAAGGTATCAAATCGTGGTTGAAAACTATTGCGGAGCAAGCACGCATCGATGGTTTTGTTAACACAATTACCGGTCGGAAACGCGTTTTGCCTAATATAAATAGTAACGTAGCCGCTGTCAAGTGTAAGTTTATAATTAGGTATTTAAGATTTAGTAACTCGTATTTCATCAAAATTGTTTATTCTATAATACAGCACAAGCTGAACGTCAAGCGGTGAATACAAAAGTTCAAGGTTCGGCTGCAGACATAGCAAAAAAAGCTATGGTTTTAATAGAAGATCAAATTCGGAAACACTTTTCATGTATGCCAATTACACCACTGAAATTTCCGAGCAGCAAAAAAAAGTTGGAGGATAACAGTGATAAGGCTAGACCAAACGGTGGTTTTTTAATTTTGCAACTGCACGATGAATTGATTTATGAGGTACATTTACTCTTACGAAAATTTTCAAAAAAAATATATTATTTCAATAATCACATCATAATATACAATTTATGCATAGGTTAATCCAAATGATTTACCAGTAATAGCAAAAATTGTCAAAGAATCAATGGAGAGAGCTTTCAAATTGCGAGTGCCTTTACCAGTAAAAGTGAAAATTGGTACGGCTTGGGGTAATCTTGAAGAGTACAAAGTGTAACGTATACTTTTATGATTCCAAAGTTTTACGTTAGAGTATAAAATTGTAAATATAAAATTGTGTAGGTGTCTCTATTGAGTCATCAGATTTTTACATACTTTTTTAATCATGAAATAATGCTGATGAGTTTTTTCAGTTTTGAATTTTCTTTAATTGTATATAAAAGCAAATGATTATAGACATTCAGTCAGGAATTTTGAGAAAAGACAAATTTATGCAATTGCAATAACATTTATTTTTTTAATGGTTACTTTTAAAGTTTATTTATAGAATCACATATCTTTAAAAAAATATGATGATTCATATTTTATTTTTAAAATTACCTCTGAAATAAATTTTTTTAATCACTAATCCGTGTTTGTTTTTACAGAAAAACAAAAATTCATTTGTTCAATACCTTTTTAATAATTTTTATAAATTATCATCTGTCAAAATGATTGCAAATTATTGCAATAATACTAATCTTAAATAAAATTTATTTCAATTAGAATTTTTATGTTTCAATAATTCAAAATCATATTAATACATGTAAGTATATAATGATTAATTTTGTTTATTATTAACAAGTTTTTAAGGCAAGGTATCATTTGTACACATGAAACTTGTACACAGGCATTTCTGTACATGAGTAAAATGTGTCCAATATTTGTAGAGAAAATCGAACTTTTTTTTAAATTCAAAAACTTAAAAAAAATAATCGTAATCGTAATTTTTTGAATTAAAAAAAAAGTTCGATTGTGTGTACAAATATTGGACACATTTGACTCGTTTATAGAAATGCCCGTGTACAAGTTTCATGTGTACGAATGATACCTTGCCGTTTTTAAAAATATGCTTTTCTAAATTATTTCAACGTTATGGGTTTGAAATAATCAAACGGAGTACAAAAACAAATAATAAGATTCGATCGAACTATAAATAAAGTTGATTTTTTCAATTCATTAAATTTTGTACAATTTTTTGACGCACGTATTTTCTACATGAAAAAGTCCACGATTTAGAACACTTTTCAACATTATATATTTATAAATATATATTTGTCTACTAGTCTATTGTAGCAGCTTTAAAAAGTTTTCATTCAATTTTATTGCTAATTATGATTTGCAGTTAAATTTTTTTCGTTAACAGCTGCAGCAACTATTTCCGTATAATAGTCTCCAAACACGCTCCTGTTATGAGCAAAAAGTATAGCCAACTGAGCTGCTATTTTAGTGAGCCCTTCTCGAAGACACGACAAACCTGGTGGGATTTGTTGAGGAGCTGAAGATTGCGATGTTATGACATTATATAAAAATTGTCGTGTTCTTGATGCTGTAATTTTAAGATGAAATATCATATATAATCATTGATCAATAACTTAATTTAAATTCTAGTGTTCTTACCAACTAGTTGACGAATCCTGTTATCTGATTTATGGAGGTCTAATAATTGATTTTTTATGTATTCAAAAGTTATCTTGTTATTTACCATATCTACTTGTGATTTTACAAGATCTGCTTCCACCTGTACAATGATATCTTTCATAACTGTTTCAAGATCTCTAGAAATGATAATAATTTCAATAATAAATATATTTAAATACATTTTCCTGACCATAAATTAATTCTTACTTATTTGATGTAACTGAATTAAGTAATATTGTTATGTGTTCTCTCATTTCTGTTATTTGTTGATCTGTCAAATGAACTTGTAATGGCTTTAAGAGGATCAAAATAGAACCTTCAGCCACTAGTCTACAGGTTTTATTGCGTAAATCTAGAAGTCTTCCTTGATCCAACATAAGAGTCTATAATTTACGGATTAGCAATAATAATGTATTTTTTGAAAATTTTTGAAATAATTTTAAAATGACTCACTTCTGCATTAGGACTAGAATCAAATTCTAATAAATCCAAATAAGCATTAGCTAAAATGGAATGTGTCATTTGTTTAATGGAGTTGAGATCGCTAGAAGCGGAGTTTATAATTTCTTGACTTAAATGATTCAATAACCAGATTCTTGTATAATGAAGTCCATCTGCTTGAATCTTTAGAAACTCTGCAAATTTTTTTTTTTCGTATTCTATACTGGAAGCAATAATGTTTGGTCTGATCATACTAATAGTGAAATTGGCTAAATCCAATTTCATCAACTGGATTACTTCCATAATTCCTTTGAAAGTTTCAATTACATCTGTACATTTTTTCAATTCTTCTATTTTTTCATCTCTGACAGGTGCACATATTTTGGCCATTAAATTGATAACGTACTGAGCATAATGAGAAAAATCCAGAACTCCTTTTTCAGCTTGTTGCTTGATAAGTTCTATATCAAGAACTTGATTTACTGCTTCCTTTGTTTTAGCATTATGAGGAAGTAATAATTCATCTAATGACTGTTAGTAAGAAACTTTTTTAAAAATGAACATTCAATAGAAATTACACAATTAGAATCAACTTACTTCTTTAATTTCACTTAACAACCTCAAAGCTTGATCATAAACTGGCGGATCTTGAGACAATTCCTCAGATAGTATATCCCAAAATGCTTTGTGTACCATTTCCTTCAGTTTCTTGCGCAATGGGTTTCCATCAGGATCTAGCTTATCTATCTTAAAATTTCCATCAACAGCTATTTCATGTGCTAATGCCATATTTTGCATGCCCTTAGCAGCTTTCATTATTTCTTCAAGAGAAACAAATTTTGGTGGTGAGGCTGCTGCTACCCAACCATCCAACATAAAATCTTTGACTCTGAAAAAATAAAATTTTTTCATTAAAATAAACTACAAATTTTTTAATACTTACAATATTTTTAAAATTTAAATACTTACTTTTCTAAGCTATCATCTGAATTTCCAATTCTGTTAGTAGGTATATTATTGGAAATGGATCCAGAGGCTTCCGAAATGTTCTGATCATTATCAGAATCATTTTTTGTGACTTTCTCACTGAAAAAAATTTTCTTCATATAAATACTATACAAACATTTGAACTCGATTTCTTATGTTTTAGTTACCTATTAGGCATGATGTGGCAGTAATTAAAAATGAACAACGTTTCAGGCAGTTTACAAAGTTGATGATATTTCACAAGTTGAATCTACAAGTTGATGAAAACTTGTAGCAGCTGGCAATAAAACTGCTTGGTATCTGCTGCTACATACGAACAAACGAGGCCAAACTGTATCTATAAAAAGAACTTCCACCATGAGAGTAAAAAAATGACATTGCTATCATAAAAACAAGTCATTCTTGGAAATCAGAATTACCTTATATATCCAATGCTATTGTTCCATTCTTCAGTAAATTTTTTATTTTTTATTTTATTTATGAGACAGATCTATCTACAACCAATAATAAAATTAACATATTTAAAATTGTGGAATGAATTTATACAAGACTGCTGACCGATACAAAATTTATTCAAAGTAATGAAATTGATTTAGAAGGTATCAAAATTAATCAAAGCATTTAAAATATTAAAAAGACTCATAGAAAAACCAGTTATATATACATTAAAAGTATTATTGTGACCTACAAAACCATTTTTTAATTTATATATAATTAAAAAAACTGTCAATTTCATGTGGAAAATCGCGTGAAATCTTAACTATGATTTAGTGTGTCAGTTTAACATTTATTTGCCAGCACCAACAAACACACAAAGGTAAACACAAATCTCAGCTGGGATTGTGATTCAACGCATCGATGCACAAATAGTTGCAAATGCAACTTTATTGTATTTTCCACGTAATTATTTCTGACCATCAACTTCAAGGATAATTACGTACTTGATGCCTTAACTGAATGTGATGAATTATTTTGATTGACAACCTACACTTTGAATTTCGACATTTTAATCGCGTCAACTGCGATGTTGTGGGTGACTCGTATTTTTGCAGCTGATGCGATCGTAAAATCACTAAAATGTGGTAGTGGGGAGGAGCAAAGAAGAAGAGGGGGATAAAGGAACTGGTGAACTGTCATCGGGGTTTTTAACTTTCTTTTTATTATGAATTCGTTTGAATTTTTTTGAGATATGTGCTCATTATTTCCGAATTGCCAATTGCAAAAGTATAAAAATTTGGAAAATTTAATTTGCGGGATTAAATTGCGATTTGAAAAAGTTTACGCAGTAAAATTAATTTTGATTGAAATCAACCGTCTATGATATGCGATGCTCTCTTTTTTTTAAGCTTTTAATGTCAATATCAATGACGATTTTAGCATTAAAATAATAATTTTGATCAATTTTTGGTTATCTAAAGTAATCTTGCCAAAAAGTCGCGGTCGTTTGTATTGAAGAAGTATATCCGGGGGCAATGAGTTGGAAAGGAATATCGGTATTTCGTCAAGCCATAAAGGGTAAATTAAGTTATGCGAATGGATCATGTTTGGTTTTAATTCACGATATCGGTGTTAATGGTTGCAGGCGTTAAAACTAAACTCGGAGGGGTACGTCACGAAGGCGCATGCCGATCCCAGCAATGCGAGCCTTGTCCGGAACCAAAATGCCGACTTGATTTTGCTTGTAAGCCCGAGGGCTGTTGGGCAGATAAATTCGCCCAACGCGATAAAGAGCACACTCAAGTGCTCTACGCTGGATTGGCTTTTTTTACAGTCACAATTTTTATCGTGAGTATTGAGCTTTTGTCGAAGAATTTTATAAATAAAAGTTAAAATTAAATTTTCGTACCAAATTAATTTTTCATTTGAACAGTTTGGTCGAAAACCATTTGATAAAAGAGAGCCAGACGGGCCTACCATATTTGGCTATTTATTTAAATGATTCATGAATTATCAACGTGGAGCAAATGTACAATGTTAATGGTTTTGTTTCTGTGATTTTATTTATAAATCTTAAAAGTTATACATGTTACAATATGGTGTCATTACATAGTAGAGCATTATATTGTACACAATAATAAAGCTTAAACAGTAATTATTATTATTTTAATATATATTCTATATCATTAATATCGCGCACTCATCAAACATCGGCAGTTATTCGTTCAAGCAGGCTTTTTTGACGTTTTAATTAGCGTCCTTGTTTTTGCGTAAGATAACAAAACCTTCCATGATGGGAGTGAGCGGCACATAATCTTCTGTGGCCAGCTCGGCTCTCTCGCCGTGAGCAAGTAGCACAGGTGTAGTATGGGTTTGGAAACCTGTGATGGTTTTCGGATTACCGGCTTGACCCACCACGTCGACGGCCATACCAACTCGAACTGGCACAGCCAGCGGCTGCAGTTCTTCGTCAAACGTTACCAGCATTCTAGGTTGCATTGCTGCTGCCAATGTGTACAACAGGTAGTGAGATCTGCCCAGTATTACTGTAAATTAATGTAAATTGATTACACCATTCATTTTCATTGCGACTAAATATAATTGAAATTTCGAATACTCACTGTTTTTGACATCCAAAAAGCCAATAAGTGCAGCTAATAGACCAGCCAATGCTACAGGGCTTAATAATTGTCTGTCACTATGATAAGGTGACAATGTCATTGTGCCTTTACCTAAATGTACCAGACCTTGAGCAATTCTAACCATGAATAAATTATTTGGATCCTTGGCATGATACTGAGCCAGTTGTCTCAGCATGGCTGCTAATTTTGAATTATTTGTACCAGCGCCTACCAAGCCCATAGCAAAAATAGCATTGTGGGCGACTTCCATGTCACTATCGTGCGAAAACTTTGACAAAGTATCAAGAATATTTAATTTTGGATTCGATACTGAGATAAGACCTAAAGCCAAAGGTACAGAGCGTCTTATTACTGGTTCGCAGTATCTTAACAAATGGCCGAACGTTCTATACGCCATTTCAGCACCGATTTCCTCTCCCATTGCTATAAGAGCAATACCCAAAACGGCCACAGCTTGCTTCGAGCTCAAGTCTTTTTCCTTTTCTTCTTTCTTTTCCTCGCTATTTTTTTTATCGTCCTTCTTGCTGGATTTTTCTTCTTTTTCATTAGTTGGTTCGTAATGTTCAGAACAAATGTGTAAAAGGTTCTGAATTTTCAAAACGTTGCCAGTTCCTGCATAAGCGCAAACTTCAACAAGAGTCATTGACATGGATTTAAATGGCTCGGGAATAACTTCGAGGGCGGCGATTATAGCTTCTGCAGCTTCTTGTTTACCCAAGAAGCATAGACCGATACCTAGAGGTAGGAATCGAGCGTATGTATCCTGAAAAATTATTTGGGTTTAATAAAAGTATTAATTCTAGTTTCATTACAGATTTCATTGATGCATGATTTATTAAAATTTTAAGAAACATGAAATACTAATTTTAGATTACCTTAAGTTCAGTCTCAGTTTTTTCCATTAAAACAGACATAATTGCAGTAGTAACAGTAGAATTGCAAGAGCCAACAGCTACCATACCCAAGGCAAGACCAGTCACGCCAATTACTTCCCAGTTAGACTTTGGATCACTGAGGACTGGTATCAGTAGGCTTAAAACTGCTTCACGATTGGATCCAGCATAAGAAAGACCCAAACCAACAATTGCTCCAATTCTCATGGTATTACTGTTGTGCATTACATAATCTGATAATAAAGCCAGAGCAGGCTCACATTCATTTCTAACACCACAGTTAACGATACCACAAGCCAGTAAAGCTCCGGATTTAATGTAGTCTTCAGACGAGTACAAATATTTGTCGATGGGAGTCAGACCACCGTCAACATCCCAAAGCAGAATAAGACCAAGGGAAGCGGTAGCACTCAGCATACCATGTTCTTTATTTTTGTAAAGCCACTTGTTTCCATCTTCAATGAGCAATTTATCATGCCCAAAAGCAGCATTTACAAAACCATTGACAAAGCTAGCGGCCAGATTTTGGCGAGCTGAATCAACTTGATTACCACCAAATGGTGGTCTTGAATTATCTAAATGAGATTTATAAACATCTTCTGGAGTTTTAGCTTCCATTATATCAAGTTCTCGTGCCAGATTTAGGAAGTGATTATTCAAATGTGAATTAGTCATTATTTCAACCAAATCATCATACCAATCTAATGAGATTGGAAGCTCAAGGAAAATTTGTTGACGCCCAAGCATAAAAGCTAATTGCTTTTGAACAGACCTGAAAAAATTCAGTTTTTTGATTTACCAATTTTAAAGATACAGATGAATCTTTTTGTTGAAATAAGTAAAAAGGGATTTAATCAATTAAAGTACTTACAAATCTGGACAAGATGTAAAAATATCTTCAATCAAACTTAAATCGTTGAGTTGCATAGCCAATCTGAGGGCTTGAGGATATTGATTGAATTTTTTGTACAACTTTAACGATGTATGTAACAAAGTGCTATTTTCTGGATCAGCAACATAAGGTACATTATTTGTTAAATACAAGCAAACTCTTTGATAAGAACTTTCATCCACATATTGCTCTAATAAGTCATAACGATCAATTTCCATGAGTAAATCACAGGCTTCAACTTCAGCATTATGAGCCATATTATATGGAACTATTTCATGAACTAATCCAGTTAATTTTGCAACCATTTCGCTGCTGCCTTCGCTTGCTAGTTCTTCCCATTCACTTGCTAGTTCTCCTGACAGATGCCGAATATACTCATGTCCCCATTCACCAATATTTTTGGCTGAACCTACAGATGAAAATTTTATGAATACAATAAAATATTTCAATCAATTCTTATGTGTAATGCGTAATCTTCTTACTCATCAGTCTATATTTTAAGCACTCTTTGTTTTCCCCCATTGTCATTGCCAACACAGAAATAATATCGCAGCAAAGCTCTTTGCATTTCATTTCCGTCAGTTTGTCGAGAATTTGCTTCATCGTATCGTAATGAGGACGCATGAATTTCAAAGGTTTGGGTACACTTGTCATAGAGGTGGTAGAACTTCGAATTTGCGATGCCAACGCGTCCAATGCATTAAAATACAAAGACGCATTATCAGCTTGTAGTTGTTCTACGTGCTGATTTAGCTCTTCTTGCAACAATCTATCTTCATCAGACTGCAAAAACATAAGCAAAAAAAGAATGATAGCCAGCAATGAAAATTGCTCAAAAGTACGTAAACATAAACATGGGAGCATTGGAAAACATAGACGTACCAGATCGCTTTTATCTTCATCTTTGACATTATTTTTCTTCTCGGGCAGTGGCTTGGGAGCATCGACTTTCGTTGCTTCAGGCATGATGATTATCCAGTGAAAATTTCAAAGATTTTGGATGAAACTCGTAGATTACGTTGATATTAGCGGACGCTTCGAAAGCCTCAAATGTTGAGGTTATGAAGTGTGCCGTACGGATTTGCGAAGTCACTTTTCGGCTTCAAGCAGGCAGAACAAATCTGCTCTGAGCCTAGAGCCAGTGAATGTAATATGATTGGCCGCCGCGCTCGGGACTATAATATTTGGCGCTTGCATCAGTAGCGAATTTTTGAAGTAATATTTTTTGCTCAAATTGAAAACGATTCTCGTAAGTCAGCGAAAGTTATTTAATAAATACAATGCAAAATATGATTCACGCCAACGAAGCTTTCCTCCTTTTCATAAAATTAATTTATAAATTAAAAGTTATTTATTATGATAAATAAGAGTTTCGATGTTATAAAAATATTGTTATAAATTGAAGGGTTTCAATTAGTATAATATATACACAGCTAGCTGTATAGAGATACGTATAAAGCAAATAACATGCATAAAGAAAAAATCTATGCTATATTTCAAAGATGAAGATGAATAAAAGTGGCTCTCCTTGTCGAGCTTTATGACAGTCGAGAAATTACGAGGAATGTTGTTATGTACTTGATTCAGGTGAATTGTAGTTTTTCCAGATTCATAATTTTAGCATAGAGCAACTTTTTACGAGTACTCGAGCGAAAAAAAAAGTAGTCGAGAGATGTTGTCGATCGTTGAGTTGGATCGCAATCGAGCTGGAAAAGCTGAGCAGCTTTTGAGCGATCGTCATCATCGCATTAAAAAGTATCGAAGGAAGTCGCCGAGACGGCGAAAGCAATCACGAAACGGAGAAGAAAAAAACACGAACTCGTGTCATTTTGAAGCGCCGTAGGTAAGTATAAGCGTAAGATAGGTAGCTGCGATGGTGGATCGCGTGCGCGACCGCTGGCAAAAAAGAGACTGGCGCACATACGTATTACGTTAGGGTGATAATTTCGTCCTCCGTATACACAGCACTACGTAGAGGCTTGACAGACTGTAGACGCAGGCAGGCAGTGGCAGAGAGACGACGACGACTGCCACAATATTGGAATAAATCGTCGCCGCAGTGGATCGCGTCTGCTCGAGCGCGTTGGACGAGGCGCCTGCAGCTATATCATCGATGCTCGATGCGCTCCGGTGCGGGACAGCACACTTATTAGTGGACTCGCGTGAGTAAATCCGCCATCGTAATCGGACTCAATTTGAGCGGACTCTGAAACGAGTGGCAGAGAGAGAGAAAGAGAGAGAGCTCGATCTCGGCCTGCGAGAAACGATCGCTAATCGTTATTTCATCGTTTCGTTGCGCGCGATAATCGTTTTATCTCTGTGTATAGTTGCAATAATTAACATCTATCGTAGAAGCGCAAACAAGCGTACAATAGTTGCAGTTGTAAATTATCAATAGCTGCACAAAAGACTGTTGTATTGAATAGCGCGCAGAAAGGACGGGACTCGCCGAGATTAGAGCGCGTCCTATTATCTTTGCTATTATGCGCTTGCGATACGTGCTACGTACGGCGCGAATGGCTAGCGAATTATTCGCAACGACGATTTTTACCTCGCTCGCGTTGCATTTGTTCTCCCCTTTGCTAGAGTCTCAATCAACGAGATGAAAATAATATCACACGTAGACCGACGATCGACTTGCTTTCATTGCTACTTTTTACGATCAAAATACGTCATATGTATTTATGCCCTGCTCACTCGGTTTTACATAACTATTTCAACAAAGTTAAAAGTGCAGATCTAATTGAATTATTGAATGGACTATAAAGATGTTGCACTATTCGCGCGACAGTTCTAGAAAAGTTTCAAATTCGCTAATAATACATATCGTAATTAGTAAGTTAATTCGCTTGGTGAAAAAACGACGCAACGGTATTCGACTTTGTTTTGCAGCGTCGCAATTGCGCTCGTGATTTATCTCTTAATATTATTCCGATAAGCTCATTTTGACAGAATTTCGCCTCTAAGAAACGACGAGGAGACGCTCGTGTAAATTTTAGCCCACCACGAAGAAACGATCGGGGCCGATCGGCTCACTTTTATCGTGTCTACTTAGTTTTAGAATATCGAGCTCGGGTCAATCGAGATGCCTGACACGGCGAGATCGGAGAAGACGACCGGGCACCGATCGGCAAGCACCTTGGCTTTCGTGATCCTTGCCGCTACCATTGGCTACTCCAGTTTCAAAATGTCCGCTTCGATCGCTTGGTAAGTGCACACCAACGAGTAAAGCTCATGACTCGAGAGAACTGCGACTCGGATCGGATAGCCGAAGCGACTCTGAAATCCATTGTTTGCGTATGCACAGGTGCTGGACGTTCGCCGGCGATTATTTACAAGCACAATGGAATAGACTGATCGATACTTTCGGAGACGATCCAGCGCTTTATTGGATATACGGTGAGTATATATCGATGCCGCTGCACCGACTATAACAGCCGTGGTGTAAAAATTTAACTTAAAGCTCTGCTTTTTATGTGGAGATAATTCTCTGGACTTTTATCTTACAGCTATCAATATGAATACAAAAAATAATTTAACTGACTCTTTGTGTTCGACAATCGAAGCCAAAAAATTACTGAAAAAAGTCACCAAATGTCCATTAATTAAAATGATTGTTTGTGGCCTAGGTACGACACTGGTAGCTTTCGTAACTTACTGGTTTGTGGGCGGCCTCTTCCTGATCGTTGACCTGACTGGTTTCCCATCCTTTATTCGCCGCTACAAAATCCAACCGGGCGTGAACGAGCCCGTGTCGAAAATCCGCATCCTGCCGGTGCTCTTTCAAGTACTCTTCAATCAGATCGTCGTCGGTTTACCAGTGGCTTACGGATTCTATAGGCTGGTCGTTTGGCGCCAAGTACCGGAGCTCCGCCAGCTGCCGAGCTTCCGGACGGCCTTCGGCCAACTGCTCACGATGATCGTGATCGAGGAGATCGGCTTCTATTACTCGCACCGGCTGCTGCACCATCCTTCGATCTATCGCTTCGTGCACAAGCGCCACCACGAGTGGCAGGCGCCCATCGCCATCGTCTCCATCTATTGCCATCCCCTCGAGCATGTGCTGTCGAATCTGTTGCCGATCGCCTCTGGCATACTGATCGTCGGTGCTCACGTCTTCGTCGCTAAAATTTGGATCTTCATTGCGATCGTTAATACTCTCAACTCGCATTCGGGCTATCATTTGCCCTTCGCCATGTCGCCGGAGATGCACGATTTTCATCATTTGAAGTAAGCCATTTCACGATCCTCCTGCACTGACCTTTGTCCAACTTTTTTCATTTTTCCATCTTTTTTAATTGTTTTCACCGTAGATTTACCGAGTGTTACGGTATACTAGGCGTACTGGACTTCGTTCACGGCACCGATCGATTATTTCGTCAAACTAAAGCTTACCAGCGCAACATCATTTCGTTCAATTTGAAACCTCTGCGTGAACTCATATCCGACCGTGACCAAGATCTGTTGGACGGAGACACATGTAGTACCAGTGAGTCTATTTTCCCAAAGGTACCAAAGACTTTTTCCCCTGAATGAGTCAAATGTTTTCGTTGATAATCTTTCGTCGATGATACATGCAGTAAAACCAAAAGTTCATCTATTCAACGACGATTAGGTTTGACATTAGGATTATAAAAAATTTAAACACATTGAATGATATATTATTTTCTGTAATCAAAATAATTTTTTACTTTATTTTTATAAAATGTACAATAGTTTAACGTTACAAGTGTAGTGCGTTCATATGGTGGTACTGAGTGGTTTTCGGTGAATTATATTAAAGTAATGCGGTTCACTGAAATATTTTCTTAATATAAATAAATGAAAAAACATTTTTTAATCAGAAAACTCTCATTTTTTTATTTCACTTCACAAAAATTTTAACAACCGCCATTTCATTTTGGGTTATAGTAAATACAAATTTTTCTTGTTACATTTTGATGTTGTTTTTTATCAAGAAAGTTCTTCTCTAATAAAATTATTTTAAACAAAAGCCAAACATAATCATTTTACAAATGAAAATAGGTTGAAAACATAAATATTTTTATAAATACTTAAGGCATGCAATTTTATTGCTTTTGTAATGGATATAATTTTTTTAAAATAAGTTTATACTAAATTATGAGTAAACATTTCAAAAATCCAAATCATTGAGACAAACATTTTTAATGTTTAAATATATAAAAGTTACTGAAGTAAATATATTTCCCACATATATGAGATTAAATATGCAGCCATTTTTTCAATATAAAAAAGAGTTGTAAATTACACTTTCACATTTTATTTACAAAAACTATTTAATATAGTTTAAAATTTTAAGAAAATGATGGAATTTTTATGAAAAATGCTCATATTTCCGGTTCAAATTCTTTTTTTACAAAAATACTTTTTTACAAATATATGAATATAAAATAATTTATTCATTGTACATCCCATCAATAAGAAAATCCATTCTTCTATAATGTCTTTTATCCCAATAATCTCTGCCGCGCTTATATAATACATAAAAAGTAATACCCAATAAAGGTAATGCTGTAATAGTTATTACAACAGGTACAATGTAATCAATTTTCCTTGGCATACCTAATGGAGAAGTTTTAGTTGGAGAAGCTGGGATAGGTTCATCTGCCTCATTTCCACCAATTGTCACTAAAGGTTTGTGTTTAGCTTTCCTAACAGGTTTTTCTCTTAAAATGTCAATATTAGTAAATGATAACTCAGTAACTGGTTTAACTATTTCCACTTTAACAGTAGTAGATGATATGACTTTATTAACGAGTGTTTTATTTTTATTCGTATTTTCTACTCTTGATATTGATTTTTTAGTTGAGTCATTTTTTATTTCAGTTGCATTACGAATATTAACATCCGTACCAACGAATGATTTACTTTTATCTACACTTTCCATTACTGGTGTAGATGACTTAATTTGTAAATCTTTAGTTTCTGTATCATTGTATGTGGCTGCATCAGTACCTTTTCTAGCGACAATTTTACTTTTCACAGTCTTCAAATGGCTATTATTTTGCTTATCATTTTTGATTTTAACTGGTTTTATTTGACCTTCCATTGCAATACTTATTTCCTGTAAATTGATTCCCCATAATTATGTAAATATTTTATAGAATAGTGCAATATAAAAAAAGAATTTTAATCTATAAACATACTTCTTTAGCATCAGTAGGTTCTGTAGTAACATTATGGCTTGCTGAATTATTTGGAAATTTGGCATTCACTGTTTCTTCACCAATTGATAATTGTAAAAAAATAAAAAAAATTACAAAAATAAAACTTTTGATCATCATTTTTGACATATTTATTAAGTTGTAGAACGTCAAATTTTGCCAATATGAAACCTAATTCTTCATTGGTGTTTGCTAAACGAGAAAGAACGATTTTAACCAAAAATAAAAAACAACACTCTGATCACATGAAGAACAAAAATCACCACCAATGCGTCTACATCATCAGAATCGTTTAAATGATTTTTGTCGCGATGCAAGCTACCCGCAAAGAAAATATGAGAAAATTGGAGCTGGCGTTGAGATTTTTACTCAATCCTGCCAGCAGCGTCTACTGAAGCAGAGCGGACGCAATAACAGCACAGTCTGGTTCGCAACGTTTCTACATAAATGTGTGTGTAGTGTATTGTGCACTTACCCATACCTTTATATATATGCTTACAAAACTTTCACATGCGAGCAGCAAGACAGGCAATTTCGCAGTGCATCAGTAGCGCCAATTTTCATCATTTCAATGGACTCCAAGCTTTTCGATGTTTAATTTGAAATTTTTACTTTACTCGCTTTAAAAAAATAAACAGAAAAAAAAATGGACACTGTAAATGAAGACCATATTAATAATATTTTCCAACAAATTTCCGAGTAAAATTGCAAGGATCAATGAATAATAGACGTGAAGCTGCTTTACTGACCGATTTAAATGCAACGCGCGGCCGAATATTCTTACATTCGTATTCACGGCTTATTTTTGTATATAAACATTCTGACACATATGTATACTGGCATATTGTACTGTATATGTAGAGAGCGAGCAGACCCCAAGACGGTGCTTGACATTCGTTTAACATTGCTTCAATTCAGTAATGCACGCAGCATCAATAATAGAGCAGCGGCATACGACTTGATCTGTTGCCATTTGTAACGAGTACCGAGCCAAGTGCCATTGCGCACTTACGAGAGTTTTTTAATTATGCAGGGAAAAATAATCTTTTAAGAATATATAGTAATTAAGAATTAGTTTATTACCTGTTACTTTTTTATGTGCATATGAATTTCAACATGACTCGTCTACTTAGAAAACATTTTCCAAAAAATCGTTAAATATTTTTTCCACATAAAATTACTTATCAGTGAGTATTAGTTATCTTCAATTGTCAACTAATCTAATTCAATTACTATGTACAATAAATCAGATCATTTTTATTTAGGTTTTGATATTTTTAAGTTTTTGAGCTGATATACCTTATAGTAAAACGCCATCATGAGAACCAGAAGTAATTCAGGGGTTCGCTTGGAGTATTACCAGCGGATAGTCCACAAAATTATTATGGATCATCAAAATCCAGTGACAGGATTATTTCCTGCTAGTCAAGAGAATAATCATGCTTGGATTCGAGACAATGTTTATACTATTTTGGCCGTTTGGGGATTATCTATGGCATATAAAAAGACTGCTGATGCAGATGAAGACAGAGCCAAAACATATGAGTTAGAGCAAAGCTGTGTCAAACTTATGAGAGGTTTACTAATGGCTATGATGCAGCAAAAAGAAAAAGTAGAAAAATTCAAGTCCACGCAAAATCCTCTAGATGCACTGCACGCAAAGTATAGCTCTGTAACTGGACAAACTGTAGTTGGAGATAATGAATGGGGACATCTACAAATTGATTCCATTTCTTTGTATCTATTAATTTTAGCACAAATGACAGCTTCTGGATTACAAATTGTTTTTAATTTGGATGAAGTAGCTTTTATTCAAAATTTAGTATTTTACATTGAATCCGCATACTGCACACCTGATTATGGAATATGGGAGAGAGGTGACAAGACAAATCATGGTCAACCTGAACTCAATGCTAGCAGTATAGGTATGGCAAAAGCTGCCATGGAAGCAATGAACGAATTGGATTTATTTGGAGCTAGAGGAGGTCCAACTTCAGTCATTCATATACTAGCTGATGAAGCTCAAAAATGTCAAGCCGTTTTACAGTCAATGCTCCCCAGAGAATCCAATTCTAAAGAGCTTGATAGTGGTTTATTATCCATTATTAGTTTTCCTGCTTTTGCTGTAGATGAACCATTTCTTATAAAACTCACAAGGGAAGCAATTACAAAAAAATTGCAAGGAAAATATGGCTGTAAAAGATTCTTAAGAGATGGTTACCGCACACCAAAGGAAGACCCAAATAGGTAAATTTAATTTAAAAATGTCACGGACAATAAGCAAATATTTAATTATCTAATTGAAATCAATTTTAGGTTGTATTATGAACCATGGGAATTGAGAATGTTTGAAAGTATTGAGTGTGAATGGCCATTGTTTTTTTGTTATTTAATATTAGATTACTGCTTTCAAGGCAATCAAAAATTAATTGATTACTATTCAAAATTATTGGAACAAGTTACTATAAAAACTGAGGATGGTATAAGATTAGTGCCTGAACTCTATGCTGTGAGTTCATCCACAGTTGCAGCTGAATATGCATTGCCTGGTAGTCAACAAAGAGAAGCTTTAGGTAGAACACCCTTTATGTGGGCTCAATCTCTTTATATATTAGGAAAATTACTTCAAGAGGTAAAAAAACTTATCTCTTCTTACATTTTAATTTTGGTGAGTAAATCAAATGATTTATTCAGGGCTTCCTGGCTGTTGGAGAGTTGGATCCCTTGAATCGGCGTTTGTGTAGTGAAAAGAAACCTGACGTAGTTGTGCAAGTAGTCATTCTTGCTGAGGATGCTGAAATTCGTGAAAAAATAGCTCAACATGATATTCATGTACAAACAATTGCTGAAGTTGCACCAATTGAAGTACAACCGGCTAAAGTTTTGAGTCATCTATATACATATTTAGGTAAAAAATTATCGATATCTTGTAAAATATATTTCAATTACAACGACGATTTTCAACAATTGACGATTTTCAAAATTTTTGGATAACGTTGCCTATACTTATTCATCTAGGTCGGAATAAAAAATTGGGGCTATCTGGAAGAAAATCGAGAGATGTCGGTATTCTTAGTACCAGTAAATTATATTCACTTCACGATCGAATTTTCGCTTTCACACCACAGGTGAGTTTTACGTCGAGAAAAAATTTACGATTGAAAAACAAATGAATCCGCGATTGTAGAATCACTAATGTATAGCTTCTAGCCCATCATAACGATGAAACAATAAAATAATGATATGATTAATATTTTCGTGAATATTCAGTTAACGGACATGACCCGCTTTTACATCGCATCGGATTACGAGTTGATGATCGACATATTTAAGGGAGAAATAAATTTCTTAAAGTCTAGCTGGCAAAATATGTTAGGTCGACCTTTGGTTGTCATGCCTCTCAAGAATATTCATTTAGGTACAGTCATTAATTGTGTTAAACTTGAGTTTATGGATTATTCTCTCTTCTGTTAATTATCCCATCTATCCTCCAAATGAACCAAATGCTTCTAATCTTTCACCTCGTTTAAGTTTATTATTTTGATTAAGTTTAAATTTCGTTCAAATTATAACTAAAAATTCTAAAAATTGTCTCTGTTCGTGTCTGTGTGATGTATTAACTGTCGCATGTTGTGTTTTTAATCACATTAATGTTGCATGTTATTTAATGAAAAAAGAACATCGACATCGAGGACTATTACACGTCGAACGATGCATTTTTTCTCGCCGATACTTTCACGACGAATTTGGCGTTTCTCACCATCAACTGGAAGCACATGCTGGGTAGACCAACCGTAACTCTAGTCGCAGCTAACAGTTACCTCGGTATGACATCGAACAACTCGCTCAGACCGTTCGATTTCTGATTTTTTTCTTGAATAATAACTTTTCCCTTTTAATTTTCTTACATTAACGATGAGCGATGTGTAAAATGACGAATTCATAAATTTGCAGATCAAGGAAAAATTCCGCTGGCAATGATAACTACGATGAAAAAACTCAAGAGCGGATACATCAATGGCACACGAGTGTCTTTAGGCAATCTCAATGACTTCCTAAGTACTTCGTGCATCACTAATCTGAGTTTTTTGGGTAGTTCCGAAGACGGACGACCCGATCGATTGAACTCACAGGTTGTTTTATCGATCATTTATCTTAAAAAAAAAAAAAAAAAATCATGAAAAGTTGCTTGGATCCTAAACAAGTAATTTTCGTAGGTACAACAATATCTGGACGAGCACTTGATGAAATCGTTCCCTGCGAGATCAAGTTTTCTTACGCGGACTACTGCACAGCCCGGCAGAAGCGTACGACGCCGAATGTCCGTTAAAGGAGCCATAAAAAAGACGAGATCTATCGCGGTTGAACGTAAGTACTCGTGTATACCTCCCTCGATTGTTTAATTTTATTATCATTAAAAAAATTGCCATTTGCACGACGTATAAACTCGAGATGATGAAAAATTCGAGATAAAGCAAAGTAGATTTTATTGTCACGTGACATTTCAAACCATGTTCTGCAGCTACAGAAATTCCCATCGTATTGCAAGAACGTAAGTGCCTTATGAGCTAACAGCACGATTAAAATCGCACAATGATCAAAATCTGCACGCGCACGCATTGATTTGCCGCAAATACACAAAATTCGATTTAAGTTTATATTTTCAACAAACTTTTGTTCAATCGAAACAGCCGAGATCCTCGGCATGGCCGGGGAAGATCGTCGTCCGTCCACCGTGCTCTCCGCCAATCCATTCATCAAAGTCACGGACACGAGTCTGTCGCCATCTTCGCTGAGCGAGTCGAAATCGTCGGCGTCGGTCGATCGCTCACCGTCGCCGGTCGACGACCTGCTGAGCGCCTGGAGGCCTCACTCGCCGAAACCACGACATCGCATGAATTCCGAAACGCAGTACGCCAACACGGAAGTCGAGGAACTCATGACCATGCTGAGAGAAACGGAAAATTTGGAAGAGCAAGGAGACATACTGCAGTATCTCGTTAGTCTACCTTTTTGTTACGATCGGCCTGGGATAACGACCTGGGATCGAGTTTTTGAATGATGTTTTTGACGGCGCATCTAGGTGGATTCGCAAGGACTACAATTCGACACGGGCATGACGGAGGACGAGCACCCGGTCCTGGTGAAGGATCTGCTCAAAGGCCTGTACGAGAAGGCGTGCCAGCAAAAGATGTGGGGCCTCGTGCGTCACACGGCCGGAATGTTGGGCAAACGAGTCGAGGACCTCGCCAAAGCCGTCACGGACTTGCTGGTCAGACAGAAGCAAGTGACGGTTGGCATGCCACCGCAAAACGAGCACACGATCGTCGCACCTCTGCCGGAGAACGAACTGCGCTCCTTGATACATCAAGCCTACGGCGACGACGAGTCCACGGCTATGCTCACCCAAGAGTTGCTCGTTTACTTGGCCATGTTCATCCGCACCGAGCCGCCACTCTTTCACGAGATGTTGAGGCTCAGGGTCGGATTGATCATTCAAGTTATGGCTACTGAACTTTCCAGGACACTTATATGCACCGGTGAAGAGGCCTCCGAACATCTTTTGAATTTATCACCCTTCGAGATGAAAAATTTACTTCATCATATAATGAGTGGAAAAGAGTTTGCCATCAGCAGTGGTAATATCCCTTTCGAGTTGATTTTTTTCCAATTATTCATTAGCGATTGACTTTTATAACTAATGCTTTCATGTTTATTGCAGTTGGAAGGGGTAATTTTTCGGTCGTTAGTTACAAATCGAGTCGCGTCAGTAAGGTAGAGATTATTCTCTGTGAAATCGAACGACCCACACTTTTTTTCGCAGATAAATTTTTTTTCGACTTTTTCTTATGTTTTTCGAGGCTCTTATAATTATTTTTCCATAGAAAAAATGTAGTAGTTATTAGCTGAGTGAGGCATTTTTTCAATATTATTAAAATCATAAATTTTGACTAAAACAGCTTCAGGCTTCTAAAGGGAAATCTTAAAAAGCCCCGGAAATTCAACTAAAATTTCAAATCAGCAGAAAAAAGTTTTTGGGCAATTCGATTCATCTGGGAATGGGACACATATAATAATTACTTTTTCTGCATCAAAATTGTAATCTACTTATTATTATTAGAAATCGCAAATTGGAGGGTTCTTGAGTCCCGATCAAGAAAATGTCGAAATGGAGCCGGATAGACAAGGTCAATGGCTTAGACGTCGACGTTTAGACGGAGCTTTGAATCGCGTCCCTCGCGATTTTTATTCACGCGTTTGGCATGTTCTTGAAAGAGTATGTATTTCATTTAAAAGTTTCTTCGATGCTTTTGATTTCACATCGGTTTTATTTACTTATATTTTTCATCAGTGTCAAGGTTTGGCAATCGAAGGAAAAATTCTGGCACAAAATCTTACACAAGAAATGACTTCTGGAGAATTGAAATTCGCTCTAGCTGTAGAAACTGTATTAAATACTATACCACAACCAGAATATCGTCAACTTATCGTTGAAGCAATGATGGTACTGACATTAGTGACAGAGTATAATGTTGCTTCAGAATTAGGCGGTCTCATAGCCGTCGAACATTTGGTACATAAAGCTAATGCCATGTTTTTAGAAGATCAAGTAAATAATCGCCGATCTAACTTTAAATACAATTAAAATTAAAACTATAGGCATAATTAATTTCTCAACATTTTTTTTAGATAAAAGTCGATGGAGATGCCACGCTTTGCTGCGCCAAATCTAGAGAACACAGAGAAACTACAGCCATGGGCACTTTGCTTTGTGGAGGAGCTGCTTATGTATGTCAACATTTTTACGATTCTGCACCAAGTGGGAGTTTTGGAACTATGACATACATAACAAGAGCTGTTGCTTGTTTGTTAAATTGTTTGCCAAAGGATGGCGATTTAGAATGTTCAGTATCTTAATTTATCAATCGTTTAACAGTAAATATTTAAAAATTTTTCTCTTTTCGCGTTTGAATTGTACAAATATCTTTCATTGTTTCTACAATCCATTACTGATTTTGATTAATTCAAAATGCTGTACTAGTGTATTATGTTGTAATAAATATTCTATTTATTTCAATGTTTCATGTATTTAATTTCTATTGTCTTTTACCAACTTTATTTACAAACATAACAAATAAATATATCTACTTATTCAGTTGCTGATTTATTGCTGTTACTTTTGAATATATTCAATTTTGACAACCATGATTTTGGTTCGCTGGAAAGTAATTTTTATAAGTTATATGGATGTTTTTAATGTAATAAATGTAAGTTAAAATAAGATTTAATTTGACTTTACCTTTCAACTGGCTCTTCATCTTTAACAAGTTCTAGTTTTTCTTCTTTGAGCATCTGAATGAGTTCTTCTCTAAATTTAACTTTTAGTGGTACAGTTACCATACTTTTTTTCTTATTGAGCATTAACATTTTACAAGCTTCCTCATAACTGTAACCATACCATTCTATTTCTTCTCTAGTATACTAAAAAAGTAATTATATAAAAATTCAAATAAAAGTACTGCCGATGGAAATGAATTTACTTACTCCTTCAGTGTAGTGCTTGTATTTTTCATATACTTCTTCTTGCTTGACAGGATCATCAGGGTATAGAGTTTTATCGTACAAAGCAATCAGCATATTACGTTTTAAATTTAATGCTAACAACGATCTCAAGTCACAAGCTTTTGTCTATAATAAAGAATAGAAATTTCATATGGTTTTAAGAATCCTAATGAAGATAATTATAAATTAACTTACAGATAAAATATAATGGTCAAATCCATAGTGCTGGTGAATCAAGTTTAAAGTCCTGTCAGTAACAATGGTATTCATATACTTATTGAGTATTTCACTGTATACAACTGATCTTTTTAATTGTGGTACCCAATAATGTACGTATCTACGTTTTTTATGTTTAGGTTTCATCATTCCTTGAATTACAGCTTCTCCACCCCATATTCCTTTATCAAGTTCTTTGGGGTATTTAAGGGGAATATCTACATTTTGTATAGGTCGACTGCAATAGATTATTAAAGATTAGATTAATTAGGTTCTAAGAGTGAACAAAAGTATTAATTCAATTTTAAATGTACATAGTGCCATCCGTCCATCTTTCATATTTGCCTTCTTTATCTATCCAATGTACAGGTTTTGGCCTGTCGAGTTTCCATTCTTTCCAAAATTTCTTATAGGCTTCTGGTAATTCAGCACCAATACCTTGTTGCCAACGATTTGGTTTTGGAAATTTGTACAATAGCTGCAATCATTGCAATCATTAAAACTTTATTAAAACTTTATTCCATGTCACACAACAATATTAAGTCAAGTTTACAGACATTTTAAAGGTTATACATGGTATTATCATTATAAATGTCTTAGCTTATAACTGTAAATAAATTGTAAATAAGTCTCAAAGTAGTGTTAGACAGTAAGAGCACAGTAATCACCTTTGTTAGCTCGTTTGATTTAGGGCCTGACATTTCGTAAAAATAATTTACGAAAAGTCAAAGGCAAAAAGACCAGCGGACGGTTCGGTATATTTATCGTGCGGCGTGCCTTGCAAACGGCAGACGACGCAAAGCTCCAATTGCAATTGTTATGTTGGGAACTAGCAGTGACGAGTAGTTCCATCTGCAGATGGAGATTCACAACAGCGTTCGCAGTTCAAAGCTGATAGAGATAACAGAGCGCGTAATCGCATCCGATTCCGAAGAAAACAACGCGAAGTGCAGAACTGTGTAAACGTACAATTTTTGTTAAATTTTTCGTGATCGAGTGAATAAATTAGGTGTGTTTTTCGTTTCCGTTGAAGCAAGATTTAATTAGTATGTTATTTAGCGTTTGTAAATGTTATTCGTGTGTTATGTGTCATTTTCGTGTAGGCATTTTGGAATTCAAGTGTTAAGAAGCTATTCAGAATGGATAACCTCGATCGGCCATGTTCACGGAGAAAACAGATAAATTCTTCAAGGGATTATTTCAGGTAATATATTGATATTGCAAGCATTGTCAGGTATTCAAATCGGAATTGATCTATTGAAATAATGATTCGTCAATCGAATAACGCCTGTCCGTGGGCCCCCCTAAAAAAGCAAATACTTACATTTTACTGCTACATTCGATTGATAAATTATAAGTTTATCAATCCAATGAAAAAAATCCTTTGAAATCAATAAGATTCGATTTTTCCATGTGGACAATTTTACTTTTGTATACATAAAGAATTACTGACAAATGGACAGTAGCCGCTTTTTATAAGATTAAGAAAGAATACATGGTTTAAAAAGTACAAAAACTTCATTGATATGAATCGGACTAATGATTTATTTTACACAAACTAAACAAACAACTGATTATAGATTTTTGTTACACGTTTGACAATATAGCTAAAAATTATAATGTTGAATAATTTACCGTGATATTGGTAAAAACTCGATTAAATACTCGTTTAATATACAGTTAATCATAATTTCAAACTACACCTAATATTATCATAATTCATTAATAACATTTTTTTATTATTTATTGAGGATAAAATTATCGTAATAAAAATTTTTTAATTAATAATCTACAATTTAATTAAATGAATATTTTTATAAATGTTAACGCTCCTGTTAAATTTCGAACTATTATTCATCAATCGGTTTGATCCATTACCGTTCAAGATTATTTTGACTTATAAATTAAATTTACATATTCAAATATATCGTATTTTCATAAAAATTAAATTGAAACACTACTGAAGAGAGAAGAAACAGAGAATTGCTGAACTTCTTGAGGCAATCAGAGCAAAGAATAGAAATAAAACATCAATTCGATACGATTCTAGTATATTAACATATAGATTTACTATGAATTGATTTATCGATCGTGAAAGCAAAATTTTAGTTTATAAAATGATTGCGTTAATGTGCTATTTTTTGTATTGCGGCAGGTAGTTAGTGTAAAAATAGCGAAACGTATTGTACAAAAATTAGATCTAACGAAATATATAAGAAATTAAATTGTTTTCCCATTACGGTTTAAAAGTTGAATATTTTTTTACATTATTATTATTATTAATATAATTATATAATAGTAAATGTCGTTTTCAATAAAATAAGTTTCACGCTATATAACGTGTATTAGATAATTATAATATTCGCGCCGCTGGGAGTTGCTATAAATGAAGAAACGTCCACGCCATAAGAGAATGCACTAAAGTATTCGCGTTGTTTTTTTCTTCCTTTAATAGTCAGTTACATCAGGACCTGTGAAAAAGATAAAACTGATTAATATTTAAATTCTAACTTTTTGACACTTATCAAAGTGCCTAAATTGTGAAAGTTTTGCGATAATCAGAATTCATTATTTTCATTAGTAGGATTTGATTTTGCAACAAGTACACACACAAACATAATATTTCTATGCCTTTCTACAAACAAGTTTTCAAGCGTGTTAGAAAAATTGTTCATGTCTTCGTGCACTTGTGCCATGCTATTTACATAGATAAGCCATGCGATTGACAGAGATAATGTAGTATTTGCATTCCTATAGCGCTCAAGCAGCCAAGCGCCAATGAATTAAAAATTAATGGCAACTAATGAAAACAAGCTTGGATCTTATTTTAAGATTCACTTGATAGAAAAAGCTGTGTATCTGTAAAATGTTTCGACAAGATGATCCGTTCGAACCCGAATAGAATTGAGTGTCGACCTTTTGGTTCCTGTCGATGCTTACTTGCACAAATGTTCATAGTGTATCAGATCAAAAACAGAATATACTGCATATTTAATAATTATCAATATACAGTGACTTGAACTGAAGATTTTCCTTTTAAGAATTCATAGAGAATTTTATAATGCATGTAACATTCCGTATGAATCCTCATCAAAACGAGAACAAAAATTAAAAACAACATTCCAAAAATAATATGATCTAGATTAAGTAAAAAAAATTTTGTATTGAAAATAAGTACCGATAGGAATGAAAAAGGCATATTCTTGGTTCTGTATGTACGCACAAAACGTCTCTCTTTATGGCAATATTTTCGTCTGTTCTCGATAGTAGGCAGTAATGGACCCCATAATAATAGTTTCGTTTATTCTAAATACATCAGTACCCTCATTGAGCATTGCTTTGAACAGAAGAGGAGCCACTCTACTACGTTTGCCAACAATCAGCAACGTCTATTGTTTCTCATCACAGTTATAGGACTGGGACTTGTCGCTGAAGTTGGTGTTGGCGATGATATCACAGTCGGTGCTTTTCTCAAAGGAGATTTCATGCGAGGCAATGAATTGTGAGTTCGTGGACAGAATACGTTAGTACGGTGAGGAAATGTTAAATGAACATTCGGCATGTTTCCTGGGTTTCGAGTGTTACGGTTCATGCTCTTCCACGTCTGATAGTAAGAGTCTTCGTGTTGCTCTTGGTACCGTCTGAACAATGCTTCGCAATCCAGAGATTTCGGTCGAGATATTCGCGATACTGTTTGCTCCCTCGTACACATGTCTTTATCAACTGTATCATTCGATGACTTTTCTTCTGTTTGTTTTGCTCCGTTATCCGAGCAGCTGCTTTCTGAGCGAAGTTCCTCGTTAAGCAGTTTGAAAAGTCTTGAGTGGGTTTGAGTCCTTTGGTACTTGTTTGTTTTTCTGCTAGTTGTTGAGGAATTTTTTGATGATTCGACTTTTTCAATGGTTGATGAATCAACTTCGGAACTAGAATTAGCATTAGATACGACTTTACTAAGCTCGGGAGAGGTCCCACTGTCAATATGGAATGAGTTTTCTCGTGTGTTGTCCTTTTCAACTTTTTGTTCCGATTCACCAAACATTGTTTTGGTATCAGATTCATTTGTTAAATTTGAATCATATGAGCTTGTTTCATTCAAGGTAGGGGATGTTGGTTTCTCCATAAGTACTTCTTCGTTTTCAGCTTGAATAACCAATTGTTTCAAAGTCGTATTACCGCTTGCTTCGTCTGTTTTAATGGTGCTATCCCCAACAATAACAGTAGTAATATCTTCATTCTTATCGGAAACCGAAAATTTCAGTCTTAAAGGTAGACTCACACTTACAGTTTTGTTTATTTCATCTTCATGGTCATTAGTCTGCTCTAATATTTTGCCATCCTTATTTTGATTACCCGCAATAAATTGATTTGCATTTTTTCTCTCAGAATGCAGTTTCTCTCGAAGAGAAAAATTATTATTCTTCTCATCTTCTACATTGATTTTTGTTTCAATTTTTTTGGTTATATTTTTTTTCAGTAGATTAACTGGATTTATACCTGTAGAATATACCATGTAAGAGTCAGATTCTCCGCTTGAGTCTGAAGACTCGGCTAAAGCACTGGAGTTGTCATAATCGATCATTTTTGCCGTACACAAACTGTTATTTTCTTCACTTCTTTCGTCGTCTTTTGATGATCTCGAGGACATGGGTGAAGGTGGAGGAAAGGACTGTTCTGAATGTTCAGTGGTTGTTGTTGCGCAGCTCGTTGGGGTTACCGATGATTCTTGACTCCATTGTGATCCTGCGTAAACACCATAAGGTTCGTTTGAAGGAATGTAATTGGGATAAACAATAGGGCTATCATCGTTCAAATTTTGCATATTACTACCACTTGTACATTGGTACACAGACATTAAATTGATCAGATTATCAGATTGATAATATTGTGGGTGATAATATCGAAAAAAGGGATTACTATAAGGATCAAAAGGATTATTTGGCGGTATAGAACAGTAAGTCCAACAAACAGCCTCAGGGTCCCAAAATGTAGAAGTGTATGCTGGTGATTGTAATGAATTGGGGTAAGGGATGTAATAGATAACTTGCTGATTGCTCGGCATACTAACGTAATTTGTGGCTGATTTTTGTTGTTTTTCTTGCGTTACTTGCATAGCTATAACAAACAGCATATTTCATTCAAGACAAGACTCTTTCTTCTGTCTTCTTCATCTTCTACTACAGTGGATTTATTATTTTTCTTAAAACTACTTTAGTAATGATTGTCATAGCATTAAAATAATGAGATAAGATCACTAAAATGAATGCATTTTGTGGACGATTCAAATTATCAAGTTTGAAGCATGCTAAGCGAGCAAATCATTATATTTCATAATGATAATGATTGCTTAGTATTAATAATTATCATTATTCGTATTCATTTTTATTATTTATGGAATAAAAACATTCATGTGGATGAGCTTCAAACCAAAATATGATTTGAAATTAAATCAAAGTGTAAATAGCACCTAATAATTTTGTAACACATTATATTGTTAAACTTAAATTAAAAATTGCCCACAATTCAAACTTTGATCAAAAAGTTAATCTTACATGTTATTGCAAGTTCGTGATTATTCCGATTGTAATGTACTTTTATTTCGTTTACGATAAATGCATGGAAAATGGATTAGATAATTTATATTTTACCAATGTTTTCTGGAGCAGTCATGGCTTGAAGTAACCTAAACGACCTCGACGGAATAGCTCCACCAGTGTATTTTTTTGGCTCTTGCACTTGTTGTTGACTAGCCGGTACGTAAACGCTTGGCTGAACGGGCGCCTCATCTAAAAATAGTTGGTAATTTTTCTATATTAGTAATTGCCTCAAACTCGTTTATTAATAATGAAAAATTCGCCAAAGAAAAACATACTAAAAGCTAAAAATATCTGTGCATGGAAAAACGAAAGCTTTTAATCGAGTTTGACACAAGAGCCTGTTAGAATTAATTTGATAAAAAGCTAAATAAGACACCAAACTTCACACAAATAAATTATTTCATTTACCGAAAGAATTAGAGTTTCGATTTTGTTTCTTAATTGCCGAGTTCACTGGCCTGCTAGCTGTCAGAAGAAGATAATTTTATAAATTTTTTTTAAACTTTGTCAAAGGCTAATTCATTAGAACACAACATACTCGTGTTAACATTATTCGTTACATCTCCTGAATCAGTCATATTCTGCAAAAAACGGAAAGCTCGCGATGGGATCGCTGAACCGCGATATCTTGGGTCTTCCACATTATGAAGTGATGTACCTTCTCCGTCGACTGTGATTTATTTAATGGTGAGAATCATAAGTATTTCAAACTCGTGGTAAAAAAAAGATAAATAAAACATTATTTTACCTTGTTCTTTGAATTTGTTCATGAGATATTTGTCATCTTCGGATAATTGTAATCTGCGTAATTGTTCTCCATCTACATCATCCGCATCAGTTCCCGTAATTTTTTGTAAAACTCGGAATGAATTAGACTGAAGTGGACCAGGTTCCGGTTGATTTGCTGGAGGCATTTGAACTCGCGAAACAGCTCTGAAGATTTATTATTTTCAAATTCGTAAAGTTGACATTTCCAATTAAAAAGATTCATCATTGTTTTTCTCACCTATTGGGTTGATACTGCGCAGAATTATGATTGGCATACATGGATGGTGCAACATTGTTTTGTTGATATTGCTGCGACTGCCCATCTATTTGAACTGGTATAATGTAAGAACCTCCCGATTGTGGTTGATACGGTGCTGCCCCACTCATTCCTACTGGATTACCCCATCGGGACATGTGATGTGGTTGAGTGCTGTTCATTAGCTGATGATGTCCAGATTCGCCAATTGCTGAGAATACTGATGGTCTATCTTCGATCTACATTAGAAAATCAACAAAAATGAATAATTTTCAAAGCCATTTTTGTTTTTATTTTTTGGAGTGGATGAAAAAAGTTTACTCGAGGTGTATTGTTGGTTACGCTATCTTGGCGCATTACGAGCATCGGTTTGGGATCTTGCGCGATAGCAGGATTTACAACTCGTCTGTGAGGATTTTCAGATATCGGTGGTGATGTTGGATAATCCTGTTGCCGATTGATACCAGGTCGTTTAGCCCATTCAGGAAGTTCTTCTTGTTTATGTGTTGATTTTTGCATCCAAGGAGTGGGTGCTTTAGATAAGGTCACTTGTGTCGGTGATGTTGGGGTATTTGGGCTTTCTGGAGAATAACTCATCGGCTGGAGCTTTGTTTCAATTCTAACTGTCGGTCTTGTTATTGTACCGTCGACTCTGTCAACTGTTGAATTTTCAATTTGATCAAGTTCTCTTTTTTTATTGTAACCTAGTTTCAGCTAAATCTTACCTGGTGGTGAACGTGGACTCGCGTTATTCATCATTGGTTGAGGTTGCTGCTGAGGAATATTTTGAGGAAATACGGGAACGGACATTGATGGATTTGAATAAGAGTTTAATGACTGCTGCTGTGGGTAGTTTGGAACTCCATACGGTTCCGGACTAGAAACGGTTTGGGTAGGGCCATCGATTCCTTCATCATTAGCATTCTTTGCTACTCGTCTAGCCATCCTGGGACTACGAATCATCGATAGGTCCAATTTACCTCCAATTCCCGGTGTATAAGTGAATGGTTTTTTGTCTTTGGTCATCATTGCGTTCTGTATAGCCGCTGGCGGCTCGAAACCATCACCTAAACCCATCGGAGCTCTTCGAGATTCGAACTAAAAATTCATGATAATTTTTAAGTGAATTGGAAAATATCGAACCGTCTAAAAAACTCATTAATACGAAGTATACGATGATTCAAAGTGTGTTAATGCACATTACCTCTCCCGCTGTATTGATCCTCAGTGCTGGCACGTGCCCAGCAATTGGTGGCGGTGGCGGTGGAGGCGGTGCTAATACGAAAAATCCCAAAATTGATTTGTCATTTTTTATATCTATTTTTAAATGCCAAGTAAGCGTTAGCAATGAATGATTTACTCAAATGCAATAGTAACCCCTCTAACTCGCGATATTACTTGGTTATTCTTTATTGTTTTCTTTTTTCTTTTTTTTTAATCCCACTCATTCGCATAAATGGTGAAAAATTATAATAGACCAGCCAGCGTAAGCAAAAACTTTGGAGCTTTGCATAAACTGTAAGATCAGGTTCACGAGGCTCAATGATAAGACAGTTTAACTCCATAAATAAGTAGGCCATAGCCGTGAGAGGTGTCTCAGAAAGAAATAACCGGCCTTCAAATATTTTGACGCGATAATGATATTTTAATATTTTACGATTATCTTGAAAATTATTGTTGTTGTTATCGAAGAGCGAATGTTAAAATGAGATTGATTTTTATCACAACCGTATAAATTTATATAACTTGATGTTCATTGCTAAATAATTTATCTTCGTTTGAAATTGGAAACCGACAATTTTTTTAACCTGGTTCAACCAGACTGAAATGAACTAGTTATAAATATTTTATGTGTGACAATTAAGCAATTTTTGGCAGCAACGCAGGATCAATTTTACTAGTAACAAAACCATAAAAGTACTTGAAGTGATTTTATACAATACCTCCGACTGGAGCCTCTGGGATTCTGTAACAAACATAAGAAACAGATTTTTCTTCTGTAAAATTTGGATATTTCGAATTGGAAATCTCGTAATCCGAATGAGATGCTACTGTTTCAAGCCTGTAACATTAATCATTTAAAATGAAGATGTCACTGTAATTTTCTCAAGTGACCGATCAAGAACAAAAAATGTGATTATTTTACGCATCAATTAGTTTAATTAATCGACCAATATTAACAGTTTTTCAGCTTAGAAACATTAGCAGTTAAAAATACAGACACGATGATTTTCAAAAAATATTATTAAATTTCATAAAATTAAAAATGTCATTCGCCAGAGTCTCCAAAAATACGCATTAACACACTTTTCGCCAGAGAAATAAGAAAGAGGCAGCGTTGCACAATTTTTTCAGAAAGCACTCAGTTTTTAAAGATGAATGGATACTTTGATATACGTGTTGCACTTGTAAAATACATTTCTTATTTTTGAAAAATAAATGTGTTATGCTTATGAATAAGAATTATTCTTTGCATGAATTAAGTTCATTTTTTTTTATAAAAATGTAAAGCTAAATTCAAAAGTGTACTCGAGCGGAATCACGTATTGTTTACGAGTAGTCATACTTAAAGATCACACTCATTTGAGTCGTAAATATTTTACGAATAATTTTTCGCGAATTCATAGGCTTTGGGTGAGTTTGTTTGTAGCTCTGCTGATTAATAAGTCAACAGCTACACCTTCATGGTCAATCACAATTTTCAGAACTAAATTATAATATTTTACTTGATGAAAATCTCTTTCTGCTTAATTTACGAAAGAAAGATTAAAAATAGGCTGTAGAGTACCACGTGTTAGAGCATTTATCAGCTCAGCGACGATAGACGAAAAGTAATGAAAATAATTGCGATTACAAACGTGACTAATGCCCGATGACGTTTTAGCTATCCATCTTTTCTAAATTTACTATTTAAAGTTACTACTTCTACAATCATTGCATTGTTTGAAAAATGTCATACTTAACAATATCAATTCGAGCGGTTTGGTTGAAATTACGTTAAAATTTGAATAGGTCAGCAGAATTCGAAGTAATTTTGATTGTTCAATGTACCCGTTAACTTGCTACAAAATAGTAACACAAGGTTGAGTAAAACGAGTACTGAGACGACGCACTGGCACTAATTTTTCTACGTAGCGCATAGTAGCTTCAAATACCTTTTATGGTAGCTACAAGGCTTTTTTGTAAATACGCACACACTCGCACGAACACTCTCTTTTGCGGTTCTCCTATCCATCCACTCACAAGGAGTAGCCGAAGATGACTGCATGAACTTGTAAGCGGTATATATCGAAAGCTGAACATTGCAAACCAAGGTGGGAGCAATGATGATGATGTTGATGCTCGGTCACAGGTGGGGTTTCTCGTCAAATTATGTACTTTCGTGGAAGGTAAGCAAGCGCGCGTGTGCTTTCGTGAATTCTCGCCAGATATAAGCGTTATTTTAGTCTTACATGTAAATAAATGCGCTTCATTTTCGTGTTTGCGTGCCGCACTCGAGAGCCAAAAAAGTAATAATGCACGTTCGCATGATGCATATAAACTTCACGCATCTAATTCTTGTTTTTGAAAATAAAGCGCTCCCAAGTCACTTGTACAACATTAATCATTCGTCAGAAACGCAGAGTTTAACGAATGTTGGATTATATTAATTAAAGTCACATCTCGTATGTGTTTACGCTATCGCTGATTGTTTTGGTAATTGGTATTTGTATCGCGTACTCGCCAAATCAATTCACTTAGAGTAAAAAAGAGGTAGAAAAAATTTGACCGCTCGCGTAAAGCAAAAGAGTGGAGCGTTTGTAAGCGCCATGAATCACTCGAGCGTCGTCGCGTTTATTTTCTTGCATACCATCGGCGTCGCTTACAAATTTTCCGAATAGCGAGAAAATACATTCAGATCGATTTCTCTGGCGAATAAAAATAAATGGTAATCGTTGATTTTGAATTATAATCATGCGCACGCAGACCATCTTTTTTTATGTGTTCGTCGCGCGTGCGTATGTGTTTATATAAATACGTGTGCATTCATATTCGCAAGCTCTCTTGATGACGAATATTTGTATTTTTAACTTGTTATTCGTGCAAACAGTTTTAAGCAAGTACAATAGGCTAATATTATTTATAATGCTCGGCTAAGCCTGTGTGCAATTATATGATACTTGCATATAGTTCCACAATATAATATTTACAATTGCGTCCTGAATCCTATATTCTATATAGCGTGACATTGACACCAATAGGTATTGGAATACGAAAAATGTGTAATTTTTATATGCCAAAAATAACAAAATGAACGTTCATATAGTGAAGACGATTTGACAAAATTTTTCGTTTTTCGGCAATCAAGTACAGTATAATTTACTGTCAATCGGTGAAGACACTTTCAATGTTTCTTGAATGCTACGCGTGACAATATGTAACAGTACCAACAAACGAAAAAATCAATAAAATTAGTAAAAACAGCCTCGCTAATTCTGAAGATAGGTTGAACCTAATTTTAAATTTTCCATGCGTAAAACTTTGGCTTGTTTCAATACTTGAAACACAGTTGATTTGATTGTTTGTAGTTCTTCGGCGCATTGAAAAGTCTCGATGAATTAGCAGATGATTGCTTTTGATATGAAAAGGAATTTTTCATCGATAGCTTTAGCGTCGGTAAGTTTTCACACAAATCGAGGCGCGTAAGAGCTCGCAAGCTTTCAGCGACAGACGGGGTGATCGCGAAGGCTGCACACCTCATCTTATGAGAAAGTCTTAGGTGCGTTTTAATTATAGAATCGTACAGTTCTCGCGGCTATCCACTGCCGTGACCCGCGCCCGCTCGCGAAAATGAAAGAAGGAGAGAGAAAGAGAGAGGGAGAGAGCAAGAAAGCGAAGATGTGTGTTTTGCGCGTCCGTGTCCGCGCGCTTCTTGCCGGACTGAATCGCCGCGCCTCGTAAGCAGTCGGTACAAAACTCGCTATACCGCGAGAACGCGATGGCTTATATTTTTAGATCAACCGAGCTTTTTCACGCGGAATTCGACGTATATCGCGCTGCCTGGCATCAAATCTGCTGGCTTCTTTTTTCTTTTTATTCATTTTTTTTGCAATTTGCTACGCTTTTGCTGCTACTTGAAAAATTGAACGTGTAACGTCTTGGCTGAGATTATTATTGGGCTGTTGGCGATGCTCCTGGCAATCGCGAGCAACAACGCACGTGTCTGTCGAGTAAATTTTGCTACTTGACCCACATTCCGCTTTCACAGACGAACGCAAATCGCGCTCTTTTGCCAGAGCTGTTTTTCCCCGTCCGAACGAATGAGAAAAAAGCCAACTTACCCTGACGGTGTCATCATGCTACTCATGATGCTGCTGTTTGCTGATCGTACGGACTCCTCGCTTTGGCTATCTGCTTCTTGCTCGTGCTATAACTTCGAAGCTTTCGAGTGAGAAGACAACGCACAATCTGTATCGAATTGACTATTGCACAAAAGCTCCCAAGCTGCTCTCGGCAGCAGCTGCTTGTCGAACGAAACTGAGCCTCGGCGAAAGCAGAGCTTGCTATAGATGTGGCTATGTCCACGCACTGCCTACGTTCTTCTTCTCTCTCGTTCTCGCTTTCTGCACGAGCCCAACCAGCGTTTGTTAAAAATACACCATCATATACACACTTTACGCATTGCTTTTTCTCTTTTTCCCTCTCTCTCTCTCTATCCCTTCCCGATACGTGCTGAACCGAAAGAGCATCAACTTATGCGAAGCAGACAAGCTGAACTTCGCGACTATGAACGCGTGCGAGCTTGCGAAACATTTTTCGATACACGAACTATTTAAGCTTTTTGCTCTTTCGTATATTATTGTTGCGATGGCAAAGCGATTTGGAAACTTACCATCCAGTAAAGGGATTTACTATACTTTTGAATTTAGGTCATCACTTTTCTATTCGCATATATGCTCGAGGTGAATTTTGATGTATCTTTTATTTTATACGTTATTTTATTTTTGTTATGAATATACGCATATATTTATTTCATCTTTGTGCTTGTACAATACATGAGAATTTTTATTCAGCACCTTTACTTAGCTCGAGATATTTCACAAGTTTCCTAAACTACATAACATAATGCTTGAGTAAGAACAAAAGCGTAACGAAACTTTTTATTACAATAAAGGGAAAAAAAGGATCCGCACGATTGCTTAGAGCAGAAATTTTTTCTACGGCTCGAGCGATCGAATCGGCGCGCGTGGAGAGCGACTCGGCGCGATTGATGTAATATGTCAATTGTTTTAGCACCTATGTTTTTTTTTTATCAATTTCGCAAGCCTACGGCTTACTTTCTTGAAAATGCACGTCCCGTATCGCGGAATGAAAGATACAAATTTATAATCGATGAGACACGCTCCGTGGCTATAATCGTGTCGGCCGCGTCCAAGCGAGTCTTTCTCGCGTATACACATATTGCTTTAATTCGTTGCCGCACGGGCTCTTTTTATCTCGAAATACAATGTACAGTAAGCGATACATAATGCACGACTAAAATGAATGAGAATGAAACAGAGTGTCCGGCATAAACCAAAATAAAACGTACGCGCGACACAAAGCGAATTCGTATTTTGAATGCGGCCTCGTAATAATAACGCACGGAATCAGAATCGTGCGTTCTCGACGGCTTGGTCAAACTCCTTTTCTTGGGGCGACTTGAGCAGCATGTAGGCCGGCAACGTTATGCCCAGGACCTTGTCGTAAACGGGCCTCGTCTCGGCCACGTAATCGTAGGGCTCGGCCTCGTCCAGCTCCTCGCTGAGCACCTCCAGCTCCTCGTGCTTGTCTTTGGCTGCGGCCGGCGGATCCCCGTCCTCGTCGTCTTTGGCGGTCGTCCTCTTGACTCGAGTCTTCATCGTGGTCGAGCCGTCCGTCGGGACGACGATTGCGTCGGGTGGCGGTGTCGACGACGTCGATGCCGCGTGATCGGTCACGTAGACGCACTCCTCGTCGACGGCGCCACGCTCGTCTTTGCAGCTGTAACATGTCATGGGGCCGCGCTCGTGTTTGCTGCACTTGGACTTGTCTTTGTCGCCGATATCCTTGACGATCTTTTCCATTTCGGCCCGACGCTGGCTGGCGTCTTGGTAACCCGAGTCGATAAAAGCACTGGTATCGTAATGGCTTTCGTCTTCGTGATCGTGATCGTGACCGTGTTCGTCCTCGTTATCGTACTCCTTCTCTTTCGACTGCGTGCTGTTCTTGCTTTTTGTCTTTGGATAAGTCAAATGAATCACGATCGTTAATGCCAATTTAATCAATGACTCTACAAATTAATTTTATTTTTTCAATACAATTTTATTGGTGAGCCATTCTCGATACTCTTTCTATTAAACATTATTAAAAAAAACTATTATTGGAAAAAATTAATACTCTACAACTAAGTTGTTAATATTCGACTCTCTATTCACGTACGTAATAGATAGGATTAATAGTCTTATTCATTGAGTACCACCATATTAACTACATCGTTGATAACGCTACATATGTACAATCCATACATTTTATTATATAAACTAAAAAAAACTAGACCAAGAATATTGAACTATTGATTATACAACTGGTAACTTGTGGTGCACATGTTGGTGTGCATTGATACATTTATTGAAGTACAATTAGGATAAGGATAACTAGGCCGAATTAGCCGAATGATAAATAGCACTGGCTACCTTATCCCGATGATTAGGATCCTTGAGAACGTAAGCTTTGCTCAGCTTACTTTCGCTGGCCTTGGGAATGTAATCCAAAGGAGACGTCCCCGTGGGATAGACGGCCGGCAATCCATTGGTTGCTTCGGGCTGTTCCTCGCTCGTTTCTCCGCCGTTGTCGTCGACTTCGTCGTCGTCGTCGTCGTCGCCGCTGCGATCGTCGCTCTGCCTCGATTTCGTCGGATTACCGAAATGTTTGCTCTTGGAATAGGCGTACACTTTGTCGTCGGGCTCGTAGGCGTAATTACACTGCTCGTAATTGCCGCCGGTCTTGGCATCTTTGCAGATCGTGCAAATCATCGAGTCTCTGCGGACCTTCCGACAGTCGCCGTGGCCTTTGACTTGTTTGGAAATTCTTTCCGATTCCGTTTTTATGTAATCCAGGGTCGACGGTTCTCCGGCGTAACTGTAGTCCTCGCCACTGGCGCTACTGGATCTGTCGGCTTTTTTGTCGTCGGTCGGGTAGCCGAACGACTTGGACTTGCTGTACTTGTAAGCCTTGTCCTTGGGTTCGTAGGCGTATTGGCAGTTTTCCGATTGACCGCCGGTTTTCGGATCGGTACAGAGCTGACAGACCTCGCCCTTTCTGTGAACAGTCTTGCAGCCTCCGGAGCTGGATTTGACGCTGTGAGTCGGAGCTGGAAGCTCCTCGGACTCGTCGTCCCGAGAGTCGGCAGCTTCGTAACTGCTGGGATAGTAGTGGTAGCTTTCTGGAGAGTAATTTGTCTCTTTGTCGTTGGAATGTCTCGTTGGCTGCTCGTCGCTGGTCTCGTGATCCTCGGCTTCTTTCTCTCGTTGACGGTAGGCTTTGGGATGGGCTTCTGCTTCGTGCTCTCTCTCGTCGGTCTCGGCGAGTTGACTAAAGTCGTAGGGGTTGCTCGGATAGCGGCTATTGTTTCGCAGCTTTTTGACTTTTTTGGCTTTTTTGCTGGGATCTCTGTGAGACTTTTGTTTTCTAGGGCTGCGCCCAGGACCTCCGAACGAGCTGGATTTACTGTAGGCGTAGGCTTTCTCGTTGGGATTGGCCACGTAGGAGCACTGCTCGTATTTGCCGTTGGTCCTCGGGTCCTGGCAAATCAAACAAAGCATGGAATCCCGTAAAACTTTTTCGCATTTTTCCGTCTGTTGGGCCGATGGCTGCTCCTTGTCGAAATCTTGTTCGGTAAAACGAAACGATTCCGGAAGTCGGGACTCGTCGCTGCTGCTGCTGCTGGAGCTTTCCCGATTATCGCTCGAGGCGGTCAACAAAGGATCGAAGGGCGGCTTTTCCACGTTCGAACGCACGTTTCGCGGCTTGTTCGAGTTGTAAGAGCAGTTCTCGTAGATGGAGCCAGTCTGAGGATCCTTGCATCGGTAGCAGCTCATTTGGCCGGCTGCATGCAGATCGCTCGCCGCTGCTCCCGTGCTCGTTTCCTTCGCCGCGATCTCTTGGCAGTGGACCGGATTGACCTTGGCGGCTATCTTCTTGAACTTGCTCGGCTCGTAAAAGGACGAGGCCAGCGACGACGGCTTCTTCGAGTACTTGCTGTGGAACGAGGCCTTTCCGGCCTGGTAGGGCACATGCTCGCTGCTGGCGTGATGCACGCTGTCGGCGTACGGGAACGCTTGGCCCGAGTAGTGAGAGATCAGCTCCGATGCTTCGGCGCTGTAAGGCACCTCGATGTGGTGCCAAATCTCGTGCAAGTCACCGTAATCGGCCAAGACTTGAGCCGCGAGCTTGCAGAGCAGAATTAAAAACAGCTGAAATAACAAGAGCGCGATAAATTATTTCAATCGTCGCATTCAACTTTACGCATTTATATTTATGACATACTCACTTTACATGCTGCCATATTTACGATTTTTACGATACGAGCCATTCATGCTTTCTCGAGGAATGACCGAGCTCTGACGTATCGCTCTGCCTTTATATCGACTCGTGAACGCATGACTGCCTACGTGCACAGACTCTATCCCTACTTACTCATTTAATGCATAATCTGTCTTGTATTCGCGTATCTGGTGGACACGCGCGAGTATTCAACCGAAAACGTCGACTCGGCCGCCTCTACGCTACGAGCGCCAGACGCTGCGTTTTTCTTCATCCCAGTCGAGCTTGGGAGGATGGAAGAAAATCACCAGCAGGAAGTACCTTTTTTTTCAAAGACTCCTTGTATTACGATTATTCTTCGATCGATGCAGTGAATGATCGAGGAGGAAAAAAATACATTGTTATGTCTTTCGTACGTTTTTCACGTGTATATTATCGACTCTCTATAATATACCTGTAATAATCATTGGTCCTTTATCGACCCGTGAAAATTTTCATCAAATCGTGACATTCTATCATTTTTTCATACTTTGTCCATTTTATCTTTGTATCGCCTCATAACAAAACTCTCTTGCAATGATTCTGCACTTTTCATCCTTCGATGCAAAAGATTGAGACTCTTGCCAAATATTACAGCGGAATACGCCTTATAAGCTCCATTAAAATTACATAATTCGGAAATTTCGATCTCTATATTATATGAGCATGGCAAACCGCAGCTGCATTCAATTGGTCGTCGTTGCAAATTTTTTATTCTTTCTTTTTCTTGTTTCAAGCGAAACTCGAATCTATTGCCAATGATCGAACTCATTGTAGCGAGCCTCGATTATTCAACTTTGAGACTATAGCAATTACTATATTATTCAAGTTCTTCTTCAGATAATTGATCGCACGAAAATTAGATTAAATCGTTCAATAAGCATGGTTATTCAACATTTAACAAAAAAGTATCTCGAAACTAGTTGACGATAAAGATCAGAATATATGAGAACTTGGTACAATAAAACGCACGAGGTTCAATAAAAATTTATTAATTTTCTTATACAAATTCACTAGATACTTGAGCATTTCTTTTGATTTGACTGGCTCATAGAAAAAGTAACTTTTACACGATCCGAGAAACGTTTGGTACAAGCGTATAATAGCGCATATATGTAGGTAATTGTAATGGTATTAGCCGCCAGTTGTGAGAAAATGTCATCTCAAATAAAAAATAAGAAAGGATCCGAAAAGAAGGTGCTCGTTGTAAAGCGCGAGAAAGATAAAAGGCGGTATTTTTATTCTTTGAAAGGGAAGGGCCTAGGATAGACGGATATGTGCGAGACTCGGGGCTTGGACGGCTTTACCGCGATCTGCTCGTCGCCAAAGGCAATGGGCGCTGGCGCTGCCTTGAGCTGCAGCTTAGCCGCGAGCTTTTGTATCATAATCTGGTCCATGGCGCTGACGCTACTCTCGGCTTCCTTCATCGTTATTTGTTTTTGCTGTTGCTGCTGTTGTTGCTGCTGCTGTGCCGCTGCCGCCGAGTCGTCCAAGTTCGCGCCGTTGCGACGTCTGTAATAAATGACTTCGCCGGCCAGCGTGATCATTGCCAATGACAAGCCAAAGAGTGTAGCGATGAAGACACCACCTGCCAACGAATCAGAGCGTTCAAACGATAATATATATAAATATAGTGATTTGAGCGTTACCGGCGTACCCAAGCTTTCGAGTGTGATGCCTTCGTTGTCGTCGGCGTTCGGGCACAAGCTCTTGAGTGATTGATTCCAATACTTGGAGCTCAACGCTTCAAAGTATCGATCTTTTTGCAAGTCCAGTATTCTGAAAAAGTTGCAAATTAGCCGAGCAATCGATAATATGATGGAATAGTTGCTAGATGTACCTTCGACTGATCTCCTCCTGCAGATGACTGCCCTGTTGCACGGCTATGGCGTAGGGCTGCTCGGCGAAGACCTCGCCGACTTCGGTCAAATTGCAGTTCTGAGTGACTTCGTACTTGATTTCGGACGAGTCATGAATGAAAGCGAACTCGGCGTTTTCGCTCTCGATCACCTTCGTGACAAAAGAGAATTTTTCCACTAAAGTATCATTTTTTATCAGGGAAGATAACATTTTTGTTTTGTTCGCGAAAATGTCATTTTCGGTCATCGTGTGTGACTTATAATTTATTCGACGCTGCAGAAATTTTGATCGCGACGAACCTTTTGAAAGCCATCCTCTATGGTTTTGACGGGTCCCACTTGGGTTATCGCTTGAAGAATGTGCCCGTACTGCTCTTTTATCGGGTAATCCCAAACGCGATACTCGACCTGATCGCTCGTACTGTTGAGCGTTATTTCCTTCCAAACTCTGCATCGTAAAAAGCAGTTAGCGTTACTTGGGTTTACGAAATTTTCGCATAGAAAAAGGTGAAAAAATAAAACAAACTGATAGAGCTTCTCCTCGGCGCTCTTCATATTCTTAAAGTACTGGTGAATGGTCGAGTTGTCGAGCACGGTGTAATTGATCCTCGATTGTCTGGCCAATTGTTCGAGCGACTGCACCGGAGACTGCGCAAAGGAGAAAGAAAAAAGTTGAAACGAACGTATAACGCGCTACTACTCGGCCGTCCGGCAAGTAAGTCGGGTCGACGAGGCATCAGGCGCCTCGCGTACCTGCATTCTCTCGACGGTGAGAAAGGCCGCGAGATTGGCGGTGAAGGTGGCCAGCATGAGAACGACGAAGAGCCAGTAGGCCGCGACGAGGGTGCGGCTCGAGAGGGCCTTGGGTGCCTCGCCCCCGCCCTGCGGCGTGAACGACGTCAGAGCGAACCAGAAGCTCTCCTTGAGGGTGAACTCTCGGCAGGGGTAGGGGTACATGTGCTTGTTGTTGCGCGCGCTGTACGGCGAGTACTTGTCCAGCAGCCAGATCATGATGCCGGTGAGGGTGAGGGCGCCGACGATGCTCAGCCAGACCTCCAGTCGCAGCACCGTCATGAACTTGAAGAGGGACGCTTTGCGCACGGGTTTCCTCATCACTGCAAATTGCCCGTGGATAATCGACTCTCTCGCTGACTTTTCGACAGAACGAGCACGACTCACCGATCAGTATGCCCGATTGCTCAAAGTACGGGGCGACGAAATCGATGACCTCCTCGCGCTCCGAAGTCATGGTCAACGCAGCCACGGCAATGTCCGTTTGCTGTAAATCATAATAATAAGAGCTGGCTACGATGCAGCCGGCAAAAGCTAACGAATTTGAAAGTTACCCCTTTGGCCAGGTCGCCGACGAGGCCGTTCCAGACGCCGTTGACCTTCTGGCCGAACTCGCCGTCGTCCGGCACCACGAGGTCGTAGTCAAAGTCCATCATGTTGGCCAGGGTCTGTATGAGCTCGATGCAGTAGCCGTCCCAGACGTAGCTGCCGTCGGGGTTCTTCATGGGCAGCTTGCTCAGCGGGTCGCGCTTCTTGATCGTCCAGGGTATGGCCTCGGCCGTGCCGACGCGGAAGTAGCGCCGGGCCGCCTGGAGGGTGCGATTCGCCAGCGGCTGGATGCGCGACTCGCGATTCCACGTGCCGTTTTGCACCAGCTGGCCCTGGCTCAGCACCTTGATCTCGATCTCGGCTTTGTACGCGATCATCGTGCGCTGCTCCTCGTACTCGAACGTGTCGTTTTTCGTGATTTTCTGCAAATTTTTATCGCTGAGCTATCGCACGTACCGTGTAAAATATCGTCGCTTACGCTTAGCAAACGCTTGTCGAATTCGACGTTGGTGCCGTTGCCCGGACTGCTGGCGTTTCTCGAATTGCACTGGCCCGTCTGCGGCTCCTGCAGCTGATTGGCCGACTGCATCTCGCTGAGGGTCTCGACGATCAGATTAACCAGTCGCCTGAAGTAGTGGTCGAATATCTGCGTGCACATGGTGTTAATTGCAAAATCGTCGACGACTAAGTGCCTTGCCAACGCACCTTGAAATCGGGAGGACAATTGCACGGGGAACTGGAGTAAATGAGGTGGCAGCAGACGTCCTCCTTCATGGTGAAAACGTTGACGGCTACCTTGAGCTGGGCATTGCTTTGGAAGTACGAGAACTCCGGCCAGTTGTTGTCGGTGAAAACCAAGTACCAAGTATTGTCGCGTCTCACGAGACCACCATCGACGGCCTATACAGTGCGCCGGCCGAGACACGCCGCCAGACATGCGAGAAAATCAGACGGATCATAGTAATTATACACGCCCCGATCGGCTAATCTGTGTGACCCGTGCATATGAGCCACCGTCGTCGTTCGCCAATTGGCCTGATCGACATTTGTAACGTGTGACACTTGCGGCTCGTGATATACGCGGGCCAAGAGAGACGGAGACGGAGAATGGCTTTTTTTATTGATCTACTCTAAAATAATCTACTTTCATCCTTAAAAAATAGCGAAAATTGAAAGTACGCCTCTATATTCGCACGGCCGTAGTGTGGTAACAAAAATGGTCTGTGAACTTTTTCACAGGTTTTCAAATCTCGTTCAAATTTAAATCATATGGCTATATCAAAAACTGAATGATAAAACACACGTTTGCGTGTTTTTTTTTAAATTATAGTACATTGAAAAATAAAAATCATGAAAATTTGAGATTATTTGCTCATATGTCGGTTCATGTGCTACAGGCTATAATTAAATATATTCGCGAAACTAGCAATGGTCCCATGTGAATCACAGATCATCGTTGCGGGTGTATAAAAGAAAAAACATGCGAGGGTAAACGATGGGGAATGATAATTATGCAAATGAGGCGCGAAGATGCATATAATGTATAGGAGGCGCAGTTATTGCTCACATGGAAGCGCAATCGAGCATGGAAAAAGACGCGCGACGATCGATTAAAAATAGTCGGGTAAAAATGTGCGTTTAGATTATTGTAAAAAGTGCGTGGCTATTGGACGGGGTCGGGTCGTCGTCGAAAGATGAATTAGCTCAATTGAGCGATTCCTTGGAAGCCCACGGTAATGGGCGCGTGTCTGCACTCGACTACTCGGGCTGTATAGAAGGCGCGCAGCGTATACCTATATACATCGCTGTGTAGCGTCGAGCCACGCGACTCCTCCTCCTCCGGCTGGCTTTGATGCAGCAACCCGTACCGCAGCTGCGTGTATCATGTACGAGCGCATTATAATATTATAATGTACCTTATACTATATAGCCGCCTGTGCTACAACAGGAGAAAAAGAAGAAAGAGAGAGAGAGAGAGAGAGGCAAGGCGCATTCACATTGTTGTTATTGCGCTGTTTGTTGTTATTCGTCGTTGTTGTTGTTGCTGCTGCTATGTTGCTCATAACTCACCGTTTTGAAGAGTACCTCCATCTGTTTGGTCGAGGCGTAAATGACGTAGTAGGACGGCAGAGGCCTCATGTTGCCGATGCGCTCGACCGTCTGGCTCGACAGATAGTCGATCACGACCAATCTAATGATCGAATTACCGATGAGGTAGTACAGCGTCTCGTTCAGCTCTGCACACAATATTGCGAATTATTGCATCGACTTGTGCCTCATCGATCGAGCATTAAATATCGCGTATAATAATTATTGGCCCGTGGCGTGGCGTGGCGTGCATGTGGCGCGTGTGTCAACGAACCCTTTTCGTTCTCGAAGATGAGGGCGCAGTCGGTCGTGTTTTTGTACATCATTATGTCGTCGATGGCCTGGGCGTAGGTGCTGATGGTCGTGTCGGCGCGCTTGTAAATTATGTTAAAGTCCCGCGCCAGCTCCCGCAGCTTGTCCCAGCCGGTCCAGGTCAGGTCCAGTATCATGCTTATGCCCGAGTACAACTGCTTGCAAACTGTAACAGAGATAATAACTATAATAATCTCAAACGTTCATGTCGATGCAAAATAAAAGTCCTTGGCCCGCTGCTTGCTCCGGCTTCGCGTCTCCTTCCATATAGCTGCGCATCTATGCATAGACATTATGCGACATACAATAGCAATAGTCTACTAATTGCTAGCTTGTGTCCCCCCCGGCTATTTTATGATTTATTATGAACGATTCCGAATCAATCGAATCACTGCGCGCTTCGCATTCGACGGGCTTCGATCGAGCACTCGTCGTCGAATCGATCGCCTCGGCTCCCAAACCGAGCGTCGCGATGCACAACGTGCAAGTAATGTGTATTTTGCCACTAAAAGACCGTATCGAAGTACAGGTATTAAATTAGTTTTTATCTCGCTCGCAGCTCACGGGTGGTATCTTTGCTCTCTTCACTGTGTGCATTTCGATGCCGCTACCGATGCTGCGATCGCGTTAAGTAATGACTCGACAAAAGCCATCTCGTGGGTGGCCATCGCGCGAAATGTTTCCCTCATTATTGCTCGCAGCTTTTTTCATGACCGTCGACGGCCGGTTGCATTCCCGAAATCGCGACTGTCCCACGTTTTTGTCGCGCTACAGCTACACAGCTCTATAAAGTACACGTCACCTTTCTCGTAATTCTCGTCGACGTTTTCACGATCGACCTGCACGACCTGCACGTCCAGCGCGATCAGATTGGCTCCGTAGGCTTTCTCGGCTTCCGAGACGATGTTGTTGAGGCTCTGCAGAATGGCCGCATCGGGCGCCTCGACGACCAGCACTGCAATGAGCAACGAGACCAAATGAATCATACAACGAGCCGAAAATGTCGTTGCGAGCTCTCGCGATCAAAGCGTAATTTTTTCGTATACTCACGTAAATTGACCGGCGCTTGAGAAGCTGCGGAGGAAGCCGCCGTAAGGACGATCGCCAAGAGCGCAACGATTCGCAATCGCCTCGATGCCATCCTCTGGCGACTTCTGGATCGAAAAAAATAAAGAGAGAGAGAGAGAGAGCGAGAATAGCGTCGTCGAGTGTGGCCAGCCTGCGACTAAGGTGAAAATGTCCAAAGGGAAAAAGGCGCGACTGATTTTTACCTCTCGGCGTAGACTCGGAGAATCGTAGAACGCCTGCGCGCTCATGAAATATTCAACGGCGAGTAGAAGCCTAGCAGCCGTCAAATCGGACGACCCTTTTTTTCTCACGTGACGACGCTTAGCCGCGCATAGGCGAGCACACGTGGCCACGCCAGTCGCTCAAGCTCCGGTCAGGGTAGTAGGGGAGCTCGACTAAACTCTTTCAGCCTATATAGGCGCGAGTTGTCCTGCGTCTAATGGCTAATGCTCGGCTCGGCTGTGCTTTTACGATCGCGTTCGCCTTAATGAAATCGAGCTTCTCGCCGAGCTAGTCCTGCCCGTAAACGCGTACATTGATTTTTTTCGCCGCTAATGCGTTCGGCCGCGCGCTCCGATCAAAGCCCGCTGATAAAAGTATATACGCACGGCTGAATTTGTTCAGTTTTGCGTCCGAGTAAACAGGACGTAGAATCGATCCGTTGATGCCCCTCTGATAGACCTGAATGTTCGATCACGATGCGCTCATTTTTTTTAATCATTATCGCAGCTCGACAATTCCAAATATTTCGTCAAATATTCCATGCGCGTAATTGATGCGCCGTATCGTTTGGACTATTCGCAATTGCATTTCCATAAGTACAGCTGCCAAGACAGACGCACTTGCTTGGGCCTGCGAGCCGTATAGAAATCACAGAAATTACTATCGAAGATTGCACGTCGCTTATAAGCAGATGTGATTTCGATTGGAATTAATTCAGTCAAATAGAGAGAGAATCAGCGAGCTAGAGTCGTTATTTATCGTCGCATTGTACCGACCAAAGAATAAAGTGCGGCCACGTCCATTATCGAGATGAAATGCCAGCTTGTACTTGACTGACTCTGTAGCGTGTCCAATATACACTATAATACTTGTATAGAAAATGTGGCCCGTTGAACAATAGTCGAGCTGTACCTGTGCCAATCGGATATCTGTACCGTAGGGCTGTTGTATATCTAGGGTACCGCGGCGCACTGCGACGAGCGTATATACGAACGACGGCTAAATTACCAGTTAAATCGCGCATTACTGGGAAATCCATTCACGCACATAACGCTGTAGCACGCGCAAAAACTATTTATAGCGCAGTATCGATTCGAAATGTGCACCTTCGTAAAAGTTCATACAAGCAACACTGACGTACTCGAAAAAGAGTCCGGAAGCTAAATTACTCAACTCCCCTTGTATCGCATATCACGCTGAGACGAATTAACAGTGCTCCTTCTTTTAAACGGTCTTACCCGTCAAGAATTCAAACGACGAATGAAAAATTAATATTATGATTTAGGAGCTAGCCAAACGTCGCAAGCTCAAGGCTCAAATCAATCGCGTCACATTGTTTTTCCGAGGGGTGCTGCAATCGGTGCCTAAACGCGCACTTTTGCCCTGACTCGAGCTTCACGAATGCACCAAATAGGACCGATCGTACAACACTCGAACGCAGCTAAACAGGTAGTCGGCAGATGTATCCGCTGGTTTTTACTCGTAAATTCACAGCGATAATGACGGCTCGCAGAACTAGGAGCGAAATTTCGCAAGCAGCTAAAACTTACGAATGAGTAGTCGAGGAGCCACGTGAATCTCGAAGGCGCGCAAACCGTAAAAATGCTGGAAACGCGCCGAGGACGTTTGCACAGGCAATAAACACTCGAGTTTTATCAGTCAAATACTCGGATCGATTGTCTATCGAGTGCTCGAGCCTCGACAAGCGGCACTCGTAACTTATCCGCGCGAGCACCGGAAAAAGCTCGCGAATGGATCTAGGCGCGCAGCATTCCATGCAGCTGACTGTCGCCGAGCAGCCTCTCGCCTAGCTGCCACTCGTCCGACATTCCACAAAAATTCACACATACTCCAGACTAATCGTCGCGTCGTCTAACTGACGTACGTAACCATCGATTGCTTTAATTCGAAGTCCTTTTGTCGTTTTAAACTCGCTCGTCTTATGAAAAGTATTGCTCATCAAAAGTATTAATTTTGACTTAGATACCAATTATTGCTCAATCAGATTTCCGTCGGTCCAAATCATTATTGAAACAGCGCATATTTTCCTTCGGTTATCTTTTCGACGCCTATACATCCTGTGCCTAGCAAAAGTACAAATCGAATTATTTCGCTCATCCTTGAGTTTCTAATGTGCAAGATAAAATTCCTCGAGTATGATTTGTAGTTGGAATAAAATCGCTCCGATTCTTTCAACTCTGTTTCATTCCGATTCTATAGAATGATGAGTGAAAGAAAAAACTTACATATAATCAATAGTTGACGATCATAAAAAATTGTTGACAAAGCAATTGATCACGTAAGAATGTTTTTCTAGTTTTGGAGAAGAGATTCGAAGATTTAAGCGAAATTGAATGTTGAAATGAGCATTGAATATGCTGGGGCGAATTCACGTCTATCCTCTTGGTTAACGTGCGTATTGTGTCGAGGATCAAAGTTGCAATAAAGAAAAAAAGTTTGCAGTTATTGGAGTGGCGAGTTGTGGGTACAGTCTCCATAAAGTTAGCCGCGTACAGAAAAAGCATATATATATATAGGAGCAGGGGGACAATAGGTGGCACGCGACTCTCCTCTCGTGCTGGTTTACCTCCACCTTCTTTTCTTGGCTCGGTATATAGGCATACGTGTATCGCTACGTAGCAGTTGTATACAGCTGCCACTGCTGCTCGCGAGCACGGCCGCCGCCGCCGCGCGCGCGCGTGAAAAGAAGCCAAAAAGACGAAAAGTGCACAAAGTATATTATATAGGCAGGAGAGTACGGACGAGTTCCTCCATCTGTTTGGCCGGCTATATGTATAATACAGGAGAGAGATGTATATACGCTGCATAACTGTATGTATAGTAGGTGTACGGGCCCGAAGAGAGGCCTCATGTTGCCCGATGATCTGCGATACCGGAGCGGCGGTGGCTATCCTATATGCAGCGCAGAAAAGCGACCGTCTGGCCCTCTGCGAACGTCGGACAGATCATCAAGGCAGAATTTGCCTGGCCCGGACTATACCGATCGATCTAATTATCGAATTACCCGTCGTATAGCGATACATATATAATATGCACATACTGTTTGAGCGTCAGCCAGGTCGGATGATTTTGTTGGCCAACGTATTATGCCGCAGGTATAGGCGCGCATACGATATATTTCAGGAGTCAATGTAACGTGCTATTATTTCACTCTATGCTCGTGCAACGGCCAACGATTGAATATTTCCAGAGTGTGTATAATATATTATGTTTATACGCGTGCTGGGCACACTTGCGCCTCGCGTCGGCTGATTAAAGCTCGAGCTGCTATAGCTAGTGCCTCGGCACAGTCGTCACACACACACACACACACGTATTTATTACACGCGCAAAGTCGGATATGCCGTAGTCTAGCAGCTGCTCGAATTAGAGATCGCGCCTACGACGATGATGCCAGCACAAATTAGAAAATCAGTAATTGACTCGAGTGTCGATTGCTGCCACTTCCTCTTTCTCTCTATTTCTTTACCAACTCTGCCGGCTCCATCGATCGCTCCTACTTCTCAGTCATCAAGGATACTTTTTACTCTTCTCAAACTCAATTAATTACAATAAATAATTCAAACACTCTTAATAAATGTATCCTTTTGTTCAAATTATTATAAATTACGACAAACATCTCAAACTTTAATTTTATCTCCTCTCGCTTTATTCGTTCTGTCTCTCGTACCATCATTTGGACTATAAAACTGCCAATGGGTTTGACACTTACTTATATGTACTTGACGTTCAATAAACCAGAAGAGAAATAAATTGCTCAATAAAGTTTTATTATCTTCTATTTTATATCATTACACATTTAATGAATATTAATTTGAGCAAAATTTAATTCTGCAGTTGATACATGCTTGTTAGCCGCTCATAGGCCCACCCATAGGTCCACCAGGTCCACCCATAGGAGGTCCTCCGCCAAGAGTCTGCAATGCATCAAGAGTAACATTTTTAATAGCTTATAGACATCGAGAAAATTTTTAAAACTGACTAGCTGATGATGAAAATCTTACGTGAAATGGTACGGTGCCCGCTGCTCCCATCATTTTAGCACCGGCCATCATCATCTCTTGACCCATTGTGCCAGCGATTGCGGCCCCATCGGTACCCGCAACCATAGGATTCATCAAATCGCGGGCCACCTTTCGTGTTTACAATCAATCATGAGCCTTTTACGTTTTTTTTTTAATGCAACTTTTCAAATTTTACTTACGCGTACTAATGAAGAAGGCATGGGTGGCATCGAATCGGATGGATTCTCGTCGAGCTGGAAATTCAAGATTTATACATTTTCTTTTATCGTGCTTACGATTGGTGCATATAGAAAGATTTATTCACGAAGATAGAATTGTGCATTTATCAAGTTATTATACTCACGCTTGGCATATGAGGCATTTGAGACATACCACCAGGCATACCAGGCATACCGTTACCAAACTGTAATGCATTTGTAGAAAATTATATTTAAGTAAAACTTTGATCGTGTTAAATTGGACTTATGGAGAGGTGACTTACCGCAATGGCCAAAAAGCCAAAAAGAACCGTGACTACTGCGAGCTTGAACATTTTTCAATATTTCTGCTTGTTGAAGAGTCGGATCTCAACTGTGACATGGAACAAAATCGTCTTGGCTTTTATACTCGTTCGGATTAGCTGTTGCTGGATCGAAAAATACAGGATGCAAAAAAGCGCGACTCGAACTTGTCGATTTTTATCTTCGAAGTTGTTAGATTTTCAATATTCCGGCCAAGCATTGGCTTTGCCATGCCATTTTTATCATTTCCTCCAATCTGGCTTGTTCATAACTTTTCTTTTACTCGAACATTGAAGATGATTAACCGCATAGAGGTTGTCACGGACAATTTGCGGCATAGTGCTGTTCACGCAGACAATTTTTGAGCTTGAGCTTGGCCTCGTCCAAACATTTCTACATGCATTTAAACAACTACATTGAAAAATAGCTCGAAAATAGACAAAAGTAAAGCCGAGCAGTAGCTACTATTCTTATCAAATTAACTCAATCCGGATGACAAATTTTACCGAGCTGCCTAGACTAGGTACAATTTTGAACGATACAATTTATAGGGCTATTATGTTTGTTCGTAGATTTTCTGGTACTTGGTTCGTGTTTCAGATTAATGGTCCTTACATTTACGCGGGCGCGCGTATATACACATTGGATAAATCACAATAGCCTCCGAGGCACTATAGCTAGGGTGAAAATCGAAATTCTACCGCGGCGCATTTTATTTCGAAGCGGTGGATGTAGCACACCATCAACAGCAGCAGTAGCAGCAGCAGCAGTAGCAGCGCATTGCGGCGCGACGCAAGGCAGCATTAGTGAAATGTGTGGCAATATCGATCGAAAATCGTTCGCTACATACACAGACGTAAATGTGTATACCTGTAGGGACAACAAGAGCCTCGCGTATATGCTATTATAATTCGGTCTATTATTCAGTGTAATAGCTCGACGAATAAGACTTGTTATTATATATTTACTCGAATAAGTAATGCCAAGGTACACGAGTAAAATCCAAGTTCAAAAGTGCTATATACGATATATTTTAAGCTTATTGCTCGTGACCTTAGCATATCGACGATCTATTTTCTATTATCTCGCGTAAATAACATATTACGCGTGTGCATGCATCACATTTTTAGCCTATTTTTGTAAATTATTAATCGAATCTATTTTTCCATTTGCTTTAGACAATTTAAAATTACCACTATTTAATTCATTTAACCTAGCTACAGTAAAAAGTTGAACTTGAAGGAGCTTAACTGCGAACTTCGATATTCATTCCTTTTACAAATAATCAACGTCTGGCTCACTTTTTGCATTTTTCTTGTGAGGGGCTAAAAGAATCTGCAAGTGCATGTGATTCTAATTTCATTGGCGAATTCCTCAGAATTAATTCGGTACCAACGTGCGACAGACTAAGTACACAAATTATAATTTATTTCAAGTTCGAAAGCATTTGCATACAGATTTATATTTTTAATGCTTACACAAAGTTACAAAAGGCTCGTATCTTGGCAGGACAAAGTAATTTCACTCGATCAAGTTGAGAGAGATAAATTATATGTAATGCCAGCCGTAGTACTAGGTGAACTCCTCGATATTATAAATGTACGCAGATGCCGCCTGGTACTGCAACAATCGTGCCCAAGACCGAAACGCAAAGAGCGAGAAAGAGAGAGAGAGAGAGAGATAGAGAGAGAGAGAGAGAGAGAGAGAGAGAGAGAAAGAGCAGGTGAGCAGCTTTTTTCAATACATAGAAACGACGGCGTAATGCCTCAATGAATCTTGCTTATTTTTCGATTTTTTCTTTTTTTCCTTTTCAAAACTCAACGCTCCGCTGACTTTGATTTCTTCCTTCCAAGTTTTTATAAAATGTACATGACGATGGTCAAAACTAAGACAGCATCGTTGGACGCGTGCCTGTGTTTGCCTCTCTTATATCTTTTGCGTTTAAGCTATTAATGTGTATGTGTGTATGTAATTTTATACTTGCTCGCTGCTTAGGTGGGCAGCTAAACGGCTCGACTCATTTTTTTTTTAGAAATTAGTAAGGTGTTTTTGACCCTTCTGTGCTTCTTCTCCTTATTCCAGCTTTAAAGATGATTAGAATATTTTCTCGTACAATGTTTTTATATTTCATATCACACTTTGCCATAAAAATTATATATTAAATAAAAACTAGATGTATGTTCTAGGTTTAGTTGTAAGTAATATTTCTCAACGTATTTGATGACTCGTAGTACATCATCTACGGCCTATATGTTAATTATGGGTTTATTAATAGTTTATACAAATCATCAACATTTATTTTAGCATCATTCACGATTAATAAAATACTTTTTCTTTTTTTTTTATAACTTTCTTTCGATGTTGTGATGTTCTGATATGACACTAAAATAATACTTTCGGAAAATGTAGGTAATTTGGAATCTAGCCTGTTGGCCTGTTTTTTACAAAGATAAGTTTGTTTAAGAAAACTTCAAAATTTTAAGATTCATTATTGCTTTGCATATAACTTTATTACTATACTTTTAGGGAGGGTTATTCTAGATTCGAAATTTTTCACGTTTTGTTTTATTTCAGTAAAAATATTTTATTATAATTCATATGATATCCTCGCTTACAATAAATAAAAAGAAGTTCCACTTCAATAATTTCAGATCAATCGATCAAATAGTTTTTCTGTTGTTAGTAAATAGTTGATTGTGTCTTACTCAGGGATTTTTGAGCATTCTTTTCAAAACACTTTAAGACCCAAAAAAAGGCTGAAAAAAGTCGAAAACAAATTGTTTCGTACTCTTCAAAATATATTAAAACAATTTGCGAAGTTTTAAAACGTTCGCCTTTATTTCAATTTTGAAAGAAAATGTTTCCAAATTTTTTTTTCGAGTGCTTAGGGGATCCTACCCGTTCAACACTCTAAGCGTTTAAGTTGTAATAATGTGCTTAGTTGTATAAAGAATACTATCGTAAGCATCTGCAAAAAAAATAAACAAATATTTTGATCAATCATCGTATTATCGTCTTGTAATGTTTTTCAACATTGAGTAAAAAATCGAACGGGGCAAATGTGTTTGTGGAAATTTATATCGAGCTCAAGAGTTCTGTAAACCGAGTTATATATAAATTAGGGCAACGATCCGCACGAAAAAGTATTCTCTGGTCGTCTCTGATGTCGAAGAATTTCCGCAACGAGTGACAACGCGACACAAACACGTATGTAAAGGTGAATTTCATTTAACTCGTCGAACAATATAAAATGAGAATATAATCGGCGCTACGACGCTCTCAGCGTGACGCCATGTATTCTAAGTCAGCCACAATCTCGTCGTTTAAGAAGCGGCGAGCACATTATTATTTAAGCAGCGCGGGTTACATAGCTCAAATCCAAGCTTCTTAAACATGTTAGCCAAAATCCTATTATGTCGCAGGAAAGCGGCTATACTATGTACGATGTGTCCGGTAAATAATCTCATCTTTTAAAGATGTCAGGACAATTTGGGTACACATCTAAAGTACTTAAGGGAAAATCTTGTCAATGCATGTGTATACGTATAGAGCTTTCGGCACGCAGGACGGACATTTGAGGAATTAAACTTTTCTCCTGAAATAGTGTGCCGGGCAAAAAGGATATTTCGCGTGCCAAACGGTCGTACTTGTGGCGGAAAAATATCGCAATAGTTTTTTTCTTCCTCCCGCAAGGAGTGCAGCACGCGGCGACGTACAGCAAGTCGATCGATTCATCGTCGGCTCTTGTTATACAGCTGCTGCGTGCCGCGCCGACTACAACGCGACCATTTGCCTTTCTTAAATAATTCCTTCGTGCAGTCGTCTTGTTCCTTTTTTTTTTGCACGAGATATCCGAGCCCGAGAGAAGAGAAACTTGTACATTGGTAGCGGTGATAAAAGATTGCGGTATTTCTTTTGCAGTAGCGATAGACCGATGAGGTTGACGATTGCATGTCGCGCACGTACGCTTACGAATGCGGATCGTACGTAGTCTGCATGATGCAACGTGCGATCATTGCGTAAAGCAGTCGGTCACATGTGTGCAAATATTACGGATCGTCGCGAGCGAGGCTGAGTGCAGCAGCAGCTGCTGCAGCCGAGGTCACAATACCAAGGGAAAACTCGAGTAAACAGCGTGTTGATAGATCGATTTTAGGTAGATTTATAGAGCCGAGTCGACGAGGAAATAGCCCTTTTTGGTCCAGCAACCGATCGCTAGCTTAGCGAGTCATTCTAGGAAGGATCGAGGCGCTCGCTGAGAAGAAAAGATGAGCGTAGTATGCTTATTATGCAGATTATAAGCTGTATATTAGCGCGACGAAATCAGGCGAAAAAATATTTCTCCTGCGATCCGAGAGTGTTGTTGTTGTGTTGGATGGACAGCTCATTATGTGCTACTCTTACAGTGCGACTCGATATTATGCCTATATACCGTGTATGATGTGAGCGCGGATATAAGGCCACTACATGGGACTCGAAATCGACGTGAAAAGTAATGCGAATGAGAGAGAATTCGGAAATAACCCAAGTCCATTATGCGGCATCGATCTCGTCAAAAATTTGTCGCCGACAAAAGTCTCTCTCGGTCCGTTGTATGCACGAGCGATCCGAGCCAGAGCTCTATTTTACTCTTTCTGCTGCTGCTGCTGGCGGCGATACATTATACTCATCTCGCTAAACTCAATACGCGAAGGCGCGGATTTTGAGAGCTGAAAATTAAGCCTCATCTGTCAAAGCACTACCTTTAACGTACAACTGTCGCGTTCGCTATTTTACAGATAAATATAATAATGCTGTATAAATGGGAAAGAGCTATGCGCGTGCCACGAGTGCAGAGAGGCGTAAATAATATCATCGAGCGTGCTCTCGATGCCACCAATGGTTACATTCTCTATCGTTGTTGCATATAAAGAATGCCGAGTAAAAGAGAAAAGATATATTTTGGCTAGATTATTAATGGCCGCGACGCATAGGTACGTGCATTTGCAGGCCGATTGCGCATCTCGGCATTCTCGGAGCGGGCACCGGGCCGGTAAGCAGAATTATTTATTAAAATTTTAAGGCCGCATTGATTATTTTCGCGGAAGGCGGCAGCACGAGTGGCCGATGCTCGCTGCCGATCGCTCGAGGAGCACGCGTCGTCCCGTCGAGCCCATCCAGCCGACTCGGCTATTCGCACGCGCGCACGATTTTCTCGGCGGACCTGCTCCCGGAGAAAGAGAGAAGCAGAGCCAACACGAGGATTATGCGTGACCGACTGAAAACGAGCCTAGATATATATCCGAGCCAGAGCCACGGACTCGGATAACGAGCCTATAAGCGAGTCGTGCCTGCCTCCGTTGGCGCGCTCCTTTCATCTCGTTCTATCGCGCATCTCTCTCTCTCTCTCTCTCTGCTTGCGTGGAACGCGTGGGTGAGATGTGTATTCTCTCTCTCTCCATCTTTTTCTGCACGCAGGCCATTGTTGTCATTTGGAGAAAAAACTTTTTAGCTTTGGCTCTTTTTGCGACATTTACCACGCTGCTCAAAGAACCTTATGGGCGAGCGAGGAGCAGGTTACTTATACCACAATATATAATCCGAGTTGAATGAAATTCAAGAGAGGTATGGGCCGACCACCGCGTTGAGACGTATATCTCGCTGTATATCCATCGGTCGGATCATTGGATTCGTCTAATTTCGCTGCAACTTTTGGCCTATCTTTAATCATTTGTCACCTAACACGATTCTACGATCGAGTCTCTATTAAAATTCCAATTAAATTAATCGTAGCCGTGAATATAATCCAGCTCACTTTACAGTCTACGCCTAAAACGTCCCCTGCTTCAACTTGCCTTTTGTCGAATTTCATACGACACTTTGACGTTCGTATGATAATTCACGCACAGACTCCTCCCCTCTCTCTCTCTTTCTCTTTCTATGATGTTCATTATAATCGTTTTAGATGATATCTTATACTATTCCCGCAACTTCTCGGCTAGTACTTTGGACGATGATGTATTTATACACCCTCGTGTTACGCCCGTTCAATCATATTCATATTTACATGATTTACGAGTAATACATCAATACAGTCATTTAAACACTTACGATAGTCATTTAATAGATTATTATTGGCTCTCGAGCACGATCGGTACGCTTGTAAGAGACACGACGGGCCCAAACGATTACACAATGAAACGCCTCATGTTTCGCTCGTTAAAAGTCTCGAGCGCAAAGTTCATTCTTCTGATTAACCCAATAGATCGGATCGTGTGCGCGAAGCACATGTTTTGATTTCCCGGAAGAGCTCTCGGAATTATCTCCTTCTTCTCTCTTTCCGTTTTTCCTCTTTTTCCTCTCTTTCTTTTCTTTTGTCAACATGCAAGGGGGGGGGGGGCGCATGGAAAAGACGCGAGACCGAGCGAAGAGACACATGGGCCGCTTGAAAGAATTTCGTGCGCACGAGTGCAGTTGCAGCTGGACGTTCCAAGAAAATGCGAGTGTCGAATTCCGGCCGAACTGTCAGAGCTAGCTGTCATGTTGAACGACGCGATGCGGTCGGGCCCGAAACTCGCTGGCTTACGGCTTAGGCATCGGAGTAACTAGCCTAGTCAGTAGCCAAGCCAATGATTCCGTGTATAGGTTTTACGTTTCAACGCGATGAGTCGTGGGTTGTTCATTCGAAGAAGAAAATATTAGGAGCAGCGAACGGCTTTCGTGGACTCGAGATAAAGTGGGCCTCTGCGAGAGAGAAAATCGGCAGACGGATCGGGGAGTAGCCGATGTAGTTGCCGCATAATAAGATGCGTATCGGCGCCGCGACGGAAGATTCACGCTACGCGCACGATGCAGTGCGCGCGAGCTGCAGCTAAGCTGCAGAATCGAGGGGGGAAAAAATGTTATCTTCAAGCGCCACGATCGAGCAATGCTGGAATTAAAGTTTATACACTTGCAGCTCGACCGCTTGGATATAGAATATAACACACGCATACACGCACACACTCGCTAACATATAACAGTCGTGCGTTTTCGATTAAGCTCGGCCGATTTCGGCGCCGTCTCGACTCTTATTCTTTTACTCTTTCACTCGGTCGAGCCGATGTATAAAATTGATTCGTTGCTTTGCGGCGCTCGCTTTATATATATATACACCTATACACGTAATGCATAGAGCTGCAGAGCCAATCCAAATGCATGTGTGTGCATTAAGGATGTATAGGGCTATGCGCGTGTCTGCCGCTATATACGCATGAAAAATAGCACGAAAAAAAAATTGGAATGTTTTCTCTCTCCGGTCTCGTTTGGCTCACACACGCACACACTACTCTGTAGGCGCATGTTGTCTCTCTTTTTTTTTTTTCTCTATATATCTCGTTCACTCACGGGTTGCGGCCCGCTCGAGTTATAAGGATCCGATAAAAAGCAATGCAGCCAAAGAGAAGGAGAGAGAAAGAAAGATGTGCAAGACGGCGTGGTGGTGGTGGTGACGGCGGGAGGAAGAGAGAGAGAGAGAGAGAGAAAGAGAAAAAAAGAGAAAGACGCTATCAGGGACGTCGCGCGGTGTAGCAGCAGCAACGACTCCCATCGCAATCGAGAGATTGACTTTTTTTTTATCGCTGCCCAGTCGTCGTCGTTTTCTTTTCTTTGATTGTCGATGGGAGTCGCTCTTGATTCTCCTATACGCGGCTTATTATTGTTTTAGCTGTATATTCAGGGGCCAAGCGGCAGCGGCGCACGCGCTTCGCTCCAATACGCGCACATAATAATGGATCGGAATTTCGGCCCGGCCGACCGTACGTACGAATCGGCAAATTATCGCGTTCTTCCTTCCAAGGAATCGTCCTTAAACGTGTATATTTCTGTCGTGCAGGTACACATCGACAAAAATATTTTTCGCACTATTGTAAAAACGTGCCTCGCATCGTTTTAGCTACCTATACGAGATATTATAGAGATGTAAAAAAGCGCGTCGTGTGCGCGCATCGTTCGCGACGGAAGAATAATACACATACACGTGCTTTTTTTCTCTCTTTTTTTTTCTTTTTCTTTTTTTTTTTATTTTATTTTATTTTTATTTTCGACGCTGTTTGGCACGAGCCTGGATGGCTGTCTGGCAAAAAAGTAGCGCTTCTGACAAATGACAAACAGTTATTACCTCTCTATGAATCATTTATTGACTTTTCCCACGAGCTCTCTGGCAAGCGAGCGGCTTTGCGCGCCGAGCCGCGACGCACGAGTCCAAGTCGAACGGCGTGCGCAACATTTTAAATGTTTTTTATCGTAAAATCGGCGTCATTGTTCTATATAATCAGTCGATATAAGTACGTGTACACATGCGTGTATTATATGGACGTCGCGCCCAAGGTCTGCATCGCGATACACACAATACATATACATCATACAGCGATACGACGGCGATGTAGTCGTGCGTGTTTTCGATCGTGGAAATCGGCTGCAATCATCCTATATGCTGTACGTGGCTCTCTTGGAAAGGGTTGAAAAGTCAACGATGAGACATAGTCACTGCTACATGGAGCAGGAGAAAATAATGAAAAGTGTAAAAGCTGCTGCATTAGGTTTATTTGCCGAGGTTTATTTGCCGGCCAACCGAGGAGTGAGGCCAAAAAGCCAGGTACATAGTGCTCATAGTAGCTGGAGCAATCATCGGTTTAGGAGCTCTGTATACAGAGTTGACTAGGTATCAAGAGCGATTGGTTTGGGCAATGAAAGTCAGCTAGGCTATCAACGTCCGCCAGTTCGGAGTCGGTGCTGCCCAAGACGCTGCGCAGTCAATGTATCTGTCCTATAGAGATTAGAGACGGGTGCAATTGGCTCTTGGGGCCTCGGGACTTTGGGACTCGAGAGTCAGGAACGTGCCTGCAGGAGTGTCAGGACTCGTGAGTAGCCGCAGTGGCGGTAGCAGTGACGGCGCTGCTATACAATCCGCTGCTGCACACACCGACGCATACCTATACATGCACGTGTATATATATATGTATAATTCGCAATTGCACACCACCACTACCATCACCGCCGCCGCATGAGTATACATATACAGTATATGTCTCTAATGTGCACAAGGACTGAGAGAGAGAGAGAGAGAGAGAGGAAAAAAGGTTGGGGGCAGACCGCACGCGCGCACACGACCTCCTGTTATTTGCCGCGGCGATATATATACGTGCAGCACACACACACACACACACACACACACAAACATATACACAAGCTGACTAGTTCTCTTTCTCTTTTCGTTTCTCTCCGTGTAGAGTTGTAGACTTCATTCTGCAGAGGCAAGCGGCGCGCAGATGTCCGCGCGCGAGCGAGACAGAGCCAACGCGCTATATATACTACCTATGAGGCAGTTCATTCTATGCTATGCACCGCACGCACACACATACTGTACACAATATATACATCCACAGTATATACGATTCGTGCGTACGAGAGAGAGAGAGAGAGAGAGAGAGAGATAGAGGCATGCAGAGCTATTGTACTTGTAGTGGTGACTGTAGTAGTAGTCGGTGGTGGTGGTGGTTCTCTGCTGTAGTTGCGCGCCTGTGAGTCGTTGCCGCCGCCGCAACCCAACACACACACACGCACACACACGACGAGCGACTGTAAACTGCTATATAGTATGGTATATAGTATAGTATATAGTGGCGTAGTACTGCCGACCGCTGCTGCCGCTCCGTATATATAGTACATAATACCTCCAACGCCAAAGCAGCCGCAGCAGCAGCAGCAGCAGCAGCAGCAGCAGCCAACTCATATGAGACAGCAGCAGCAGCAGTTGCCTTCGAGTCTTCGCATCGGCTGGATAGAGCCGCGAGCCCATGATATTTTTTAGCTGCAGCAGCGATTCGCATGCTTCACTCCGATCCACAGCATCGAGCTCGTTTTAATTTACCGATATAATGAAATAGTGGCGCAGAATAAAATAAGGCGACTCGACTCGACACACACTCGGCGATTACTGCATGGTGCGCGTGTGGCCCTTACTCTAGAAACTCGAGGCAAAAACTCGAGTCTTTCTTGGCCGTTTCAAAGATGATGTGCTGCGTTCCTTGTGCCTATCGACAGTGAAAACCTAATGTAAAAGTGCAACAGCGAGTGCAAAAATCCTTGTGTACCAGCGATTGAGCGTGCGCGCGCGTATCTCTCTGCTGTGTGCTTCGTGTGCTCTCTCTCTCTCTGTCTGTGTGTGTGTTTGCGTGCATTTTGCGCGCTCGACTACTATCTATTTGCAAGTGTGTGTGTGTGTGTGTGCTGTGTCAGGTTTATAACGAGGCAATCGCTATAGCTTCTCCTGTCTTCGCGATGCAATTTCTAATGTTACTTCTTGTAAAGTAACGCATCGATGGCACATTATGCTTGTGTGCCACGGCATTGTCAACGACAACAACAACAACAACAACATCAACAACTACGAAAGGAGGAGCAAGCAGGAGTCGTCGCTCGTGCCGCAGCTGCAGATTCGCTCGTTCTGACAGCATGAGCAGCGCCAGCAGAAGCAGCAGCAGCAGCAGCAGCAGCAGCAGTAGCAACAACAACAACGGCATCGAGAGCAACAGGAGCCTCGTCGACGTCCTTGCCATTATTAGCGATACGAGTGCAACAACATGCCGCCTCACTGGACGACCAGCAAGAAGAAACAGTACCATCATCACAAGAAGGAGCAACAGCGGCAGCAGCTCGAGCGAATGATGATCGCTGAAGCTCTGGCTCTCGTACACTGCACTTGTCCGACTAGTGGATCAACGCCGCTGCATTTTTTCAACGACCGTCGACGACCATTATTCTCTCTATAGTGTGGCTGTTCTGCCTATCTGCGTCTGTGCTCGCGCCTTCGTACTTTCGGTGCATATATCTGCCTGCTAACTGCACATTCGCGTTATATTTCTTATTGCTGTATACATACGTGTGACTCGCGTGCGTTCAGCTAGCTGTATCGTACGAGTCGAGTGTATACCTTCACAAGTGCAACTAGCCCAAATCCAAGTGTGTGTGTGTGTGAGAGTGTCGGTTTATCAGTGCCGCGACAAAACGTCAAAACCTAAGCATTTTTTACCACCACCGCCAACGAGTATTTTTATTACGATTAAAAGTACTTAATAACAATAACAAGCAGTGAAAGTTTGTGTACGCGTGTGTGTGTCTCAAGTATTGTACATTGAGTTTGTGTCACTACCTTTTTTTATTTTTATTTACATTTCGGTGATTCTCTTCCTACGCCAGTGCTAATAAGTGCTGACACGCGGGGCTAAAATCTCCGACGTCAGCGTGTGAAAACTCGTGACTCGATACTCGCTAGTGTCTACTCCATTTTTATACCTCTCGAGTGTTGTTATAGTTGTTGTTTATTGTTATTGTTGTTTTTCGTTACTGTTTCTGTGAAAAGTGGGAAAGAAAACGCAACAAACTTGTCGTCTCGTACAAGGATCAACAGCACGAAATTGGAACAAAAACTGAAAATTGAAGGAAATATAAGAGAGAGAAAAGAGTGAGACGTTTTATCGCAGTGCAGGTTGAAAAGTGTGTAGTACGTGTGTCGCGAGTGTGTGTCAAGACCCCGGAGCAAAGCTCGACTCCTCCTCGTACCCTCTCTGCGTCTCCCGTCTACTCAACCTCTCTCTCTCTCTCTCTCTTTCTCGCGAGAAGAGTGTCGTCGTCTACTATATCTCTTGCTGTGTGCTATCAGCCGAGGCGCGTGTAATCGTCGTCGTCGGCGGCGGCGATTTACCTTTCGCACCCGTACAGCATCAAACGTCAAATAGCATATGCGTGTGAACAACGTCAAGACTGTGGACTCGAAGATAATCGAGAAAATTGATGAGCCAGTGGATTTCTACCTGCTGGACAAGCGGAGCCAAAGTTCACGGAGGAAGGAGCTGTCAAAGTGAGCCGAGCGTCGCCGTCAAAAACGTAAGTCTATCGAAAAAGAGCGAACTTAACAGCTACACCCCCGTACGTATAAACAGAGCCGTGTACTCGAAGCCATGCATTTGGCTCCGCGAACGTAGCCGTGCTGCACTGGCACATAGCAGTAGAAACAGCTCGGATAGGCAGAGAGGTTAGGTCATTTGTGCGAATGTGAGCTGCGTGACTGCATACTGCTAGACTACTCGTAAGCGCGTTCTCTCTCTTACGACTTGCATTATCGTTGTGTAGCGAACCTCCTCGTCGGCAACGAGTGCGCACCTCTATTGCTTTAGCCGATGCAAATGCGCAAATGAGATATGGCAGATAATCCGCCGGACTTTGACGGATTTGTGCTGATTTTGACGGCGCGAGTGCAGCGGTGTGCAAGAGACGTCTATGCACACACGCACACACATATATACAGACGCGCACAGCGACATATAATGTAACGCAAACGCCCTCGGCTCGACACATTGCGTGTCTCTCTCTCTCTCTCTCTCGCTACATATATATAGAACACATAAAAGTCTCCTGCTCCTCGTATAGCTGCATAACTTGTATGCGCACACCAATGCAAGTCGTATGCACCTACTGGACATGCGTAGATATTATATGTATAGGTGCAACTTTGACTATACGTACTCGTATGTAGCTTCATAGAATAGGTAAAGGTAAACGTAAAATTTCTCGTAGCAAATACTAATTATTATTGTCGTTGTTGTTGTTATTATTATTATTATTATTATTATATATAGGCGCACGCACAAGTATACGGCGACGTTGCGGTTGGCCATCTTTGACTTATCTCCCTCTCTCTTGCGTGCTGGCTGTTGGTGCTCTCTCAGCCCGGTGCATGCACATACTTCCACACACAATCGCATTTGCAGACACACATGTTTAAACGTACATACGTGTATACGTAAAAGCGAGCTAAAGAGAGAAAGAGAGTCTTCATCTCGCTTATAATACGAGCCTATGTATGTGTGTGTGTGTGTGCGTTGTGCTCTTTACGGAGATGAGCGCAGTAAGAGCGCACGCTTTTTGCTGCTGCTGCAATGATGCGTTTTATTCGCATGACTCGCTCGAGTTCCATAACCTAAGCTACCCTCCCTGCGATCGCTACTACCTACATAAATCTATCGTTGCTTTTTGTTTTTGTTTTTTTTTTCTTATTATCCGGTCGTCTCGTAACTTGTCGCACCTGCACGAGTCGCTGCAGTGGATAAGGGGGTGCAAGTGTACGTGTGGGTCCGTTGTTTTTACACGCATTCGCTATTGATATATAAAATAACACACGCGCGGTCGTGGCAGCTCGCCTCGAACCATAGGGTACTCTGTACGTATACAGTTATTTTCTACGAGATATATATACGATCAACCCCTTTTCGATGAGTGTATATTTAGGAATCGTAGCGTGAACACGGGTCGTCATGGTGATAGTGGACAGAAAAAAACTCGTACACCGCCGCGCTGGCTTTGCATTGCCTCGTGCCGTCGTGTGCTCGCTCTTGACTTTTACGCCACCGCTGCTGCACTTGGTTGTTGTTTACACTCGAGATTAGAGACGCATTCCTCGCTCTGTACACCTACACCCACTCGTTTTGCAACGAATCCTCGTCCAGTTGTGCGAATTCGCATCTGTATGTACTAGTCAGGTTGCGCAATAATCCATCGCTTTGCCGAGACTTCGCAAACATTGAGAGATTGATCAAACCGACTGTCACTGCACAGGGACACACACGTGTATGTGTGTGTGTGTCCACTATAACACTCAGCTGACCGCATGATAGGTGGGCGGTGGCCATAGGCACTCACACGATGCGCGAATTAAAAATCTGCGCGCGAGAGAAAGAGAGCCAGAGAGTGAAAAAAGACGACTTGTCTCGAGTTATAATTAATTAATATATTATATGAACAGCACCGAGTGTCGGCTTTATGTGTCATAATCGGCTCTCCGCTGCGACACGGCGCGTGCGATGTTCATTAATCGTCGTTCCCTCGTTCGCTCGCTCGCACGCATATTCGACCAAATCACTTTTACCATTTTATTACATCTCCATTTTTATACGAATATGATATGTAAACGTGCAACGGCCTTTAGCATGTGAACCAGTCTCTGTCTTATATCCTACACATCGAGAACTGATCGATTTTTGACCTACTAAAAAACTAACAATCCAATGGCAGTCGCGGTGGCCACCTTTCGTCAATTGTAAAATTCAATTCTCATTTTAGCTCGTATTCTTTTTTTTCCGTCTGCTCGTACACCGGAGTAATCTTTGCGCAAGCTCTGGAGTGTAACAATCTCGATGCGAAGGAGGGATCGAGAAAGTATAACTCCTTATCGCTAAATTATTGTAGGTAAGCAGCGGCCTTGCCGCGCGGCTCGCGCCATATATACATAAATACTCTCCGTGTACCACTTGTCGCTTCGAGTCGCGACTGTATTTCATCACCTAGCCCGAGAGCTCTATATCGCGAGCGCATGATTCATAAAATATAATAAAAATTATGTTTCGATTCTCGCTTATCTCTGTATAATACATCCATTTATACGCACGCGTTCAGGCTTATACCTCTACTCGCCTTTGTTTTATAAGATCCACGTACAGACAATTTTTTTTTCCTTATGCGGTTTCGTGAAATGATCAAAATAAGGTGTAACGCTCCTAAAACTATCCTAAAACGCACACTGCGCCCAACGAAAAATTACTTATCTCGCTTATTAGGGCAGTGACGTCAGCTTAGAACTATTTCTTCCTCCTACTTTTTGTTCTACCTTTTGGTTATTACCATTGCCAATCAGATAGCGCTCTCGCTTACGCTCGATTTCAACGATATTAATGAGTCGTCAAAGTGCGATGCGATATTTTTGACTCATCGCCGTTTGCTAAATTTCGAGCGAAAAACTGTTTGCTCGCGATACGTTTAATCAATTATCGTCAAAAGTAATGAGCTGAGGCTTGTTTTTATCTTCGCCATGTAGCCTCGAGGCAAGACGTATTCACTAACTTATCTGCAACGTTGCTATTCGATATATATACGCATGGAATTGTTTATCGATCAATCGAATTACTGACATATGCATCGGCGGCTTTTAAGATAGATATAATTATAAAACCGTGTTTCAGTCTTGATAAGTTGAGATTTTTTTCGATATTTGCCTTGGACAGTGGTATTTTGTAAATTTTTCTATAATTCGATTACCGTTTAGTTGTGTACTGATTATAGTTGCGAGCTCGTTTCGATAAACACAACCGTCGACGACGAGACTCAAATTATAAATTCATCTTCTCTTATTCAACAAGTTTTCAATTTGCTTTCATTTGCCTTTTCGAAAGAGCATCGATTGTGTTTTGCAGTGTATCTGTTTCTTGTGTGTGAGTGTATATTTTTTCCATTTCGAACCATTGTCGATTCAGAATACAATTTTTACCTTGGTTCTGAAAAACAATGAGTGCGTACGTACTATTTGAGGCGTAAGGTCTTTATTTTAACATGTTCTCTGAGTAGATTACGTTTCTATAGAAACGTACATAGAATCAGCAAAGTAACGATATATTACTAGTAAAGTAGAAAATTTGGAGGCAAAATTGCCAATATATGCGAGACGGAAAGAATGAGCGTGGTACACGGTAGCTGAAACGTTCAGCGAGGTACATTATTTCTATGATTGATCACTCGCTCGCTCGTGCGCACATGTGTGCAGACTTTTGTGCTGGCCAAACTAGTCTGTTATATATCGAGTAGTGCAATTGACACAGGCGAAGAGAGAAAAAAAGTTGGGGAGTGCAATTTGATAGGTTGACGAAGAAAAGTAGAAAAATATCGTTATTACTTGGGGAGCGCATAGAGAGAAACGCGATGTGCTATGTAGAGCAGAAATCACATGCGGAGCGTTGTACAAGCGCCAGTTATATGGCCCCATAAAGACAAGACAGATGGGCCATTAAAAGCACGAAAATCGCGACATTGTAATCGCGCGGTGGCGGCTGGCGGTGCGGTGGCCGACGATCGATCCGAGACGTTTTCGCATGTATAGGCAGAAAAGTGCATATACATACGTCGGCTTGGTCTGCGCAATTGCAGTCGTGGCGCTCTGTTCTCGCGCGCGTCTACCTCGTCTTACATAGCATAGAGAGAAAGTTTGTTTAGCGAGTTTCTCTCGGGCGCGCAAAGCGGCGCAGCTCCGCATATAACACGCATAGGCCGCCTGTGCTAAATATATACGCGCGCGCATTATATACGTGTATACGTGTGCAACTCGTACGGACATTGCCTGCTCGCGGATAAGTAGCTCGTGAAATCATCCAATCGCGAGTCTACGAATATACGCATGTATTTTTCCCTCTATAGCTGCTCGCCTTGCATCCATCATCGTCGGAGCTTTGTCGATTAACTTCTCACGATCGTTTATTCCTCGGAAGACAAAAAGGAAGAGGAAAAAAGAAGCGCGCCGGAGACAAACGCGTTAAAGGATCGGGTTTTTTTTTTCTCTGTCCCGATCTCTCGACACTTTGAGAAATATTTCGTTGACGCGCCAAAACGAAATATCCAGTTTCTCACCGATTTTTATAGCGAGCGGAACAGGCAAATGCGCTCGTGCGAGCGATATCGCGCGCCTCGTCAAAGACCAACCTCGTTCGCTATTATAATATGTGCAGCGATGGTCTTCTTTGGTCGATGCGACGGCGACGGCAGCGGAGCTGGTGGAATCCAGCAGCACAGACAGCAAATGCTTTTATCTTTAGCGGGTCCAGACACTTCTTCCTTCCTTTGGCACTTGTGCTTTTGCTGCTGCTAGCGGCATTGCCTTGCTTACTTGCACTAACGGAAATAGCTATCGTTTCTTCTTCTTTGCTACTGCTCTGCTTTGCTGTCTTTCTCTCTCTCGCTGTGCGGCTACTATGTGGCGACGGTGGCCTGCGTCGTTGACGAGTCGCGCGTCTCATGTTAGACAGAGAGATGCAATAGTGACACGAAGCACTAAAACACGTATCGCC